ATTCATTCATTCATTATGTACACCTACATCTATACCTACATCTACACCTACATCTACACTTTCATCTACACTTATACCTACACCTACACCTACACCTCCACCAATAGTATCTTTTTTACCATTAACATTGTTAAAACGACCCGAATAGTTTCTCCTTTATTGTGTCAATTTACATGAAAACTTTCGGAAACGTAATCCTGTTCTAGAATTACAATGTTATTATGAGTGTAATCATTCCTGATCCAAGGGCAAAGTAACCCTATATTTTAGCATTAGGCTTAGGACAGTCGCAGCATTACGATTGCTTTGTGGGGCGTGACAAGCCCCACGATGACGCTGCACGAAACGAGCTCTATAATTAACCTCTCAATGTATCCAGGGTGCCAGTTGAAGCGTAAGAAGCACGCAGTTGTCTTGCGTCTGCCTCACATGTCTGATCACGGGATCCTGGGACAAACCGACTCGTGTTATTCAAGTCGTCCAGTGATACCCAATTCCCCATGTGTTAGGCAAGGTGATTATCTTTGTGGTATCGATTTTATGATCATGACATATATATTCGACCTGTAAACATTTTAAAACGATGTCGGGGAAAAAATGCTTGGCCTCATAAATTATCTGTTGAGAAAAACTGTTTTGATTGAGGACTAGTCACTTACATGGCGACTGCGTTGATTAAGATGATCAGGTGCATTGTTTACGTAACTACAGTATATGTTAGGGGCCGCCTGGGTTAGTTTGAAACAGCGTTCGATATAACGAGCACAAAGAGTACTTCAACGCCACTTCGTTTGAGCCGAACTTGAATTCCATTGAGAAGGTATCGAATTATCAATATTTCGAGATAAAGTGAGTGAGTGACGTATTAAACGGTACTTTAGTATAAACAGTTATTTCAATGCGTGTCAGCTTGATGTGGAAAGATGTCAAAGTGGCGCAGGTGTTCGTGAGTGAGTTTCGGGAAACGTTTCAAAGAGTATTTCAGAAACAGGTATATAACAGCGTGTCAACCTAATGTGGAGGAATGCCACAAGTGAAGCAGGCCTAAGATCTGGACCACTGTGGTGACACACACGGGCACTCGTATGATGCTGACAAACATAGAAACATTATCGGGGCGTCCGGAATTCAAACTCACAATCACAGCGATGTATAATATTTTTGTTTGTTGTTTAACGCCGCACACAGCAATATTTCAGCTATATGACGGCGGTCTGTAAATAATCGAGTCCGGACCAGACAATCCAGTGATTGGCATCATGAGCATCGGTCCACGCAACTGGATTACGATGACATAAATCAACCAATTCAGCGAGCCTGACCACCCAATCGCCTCTTACGACAAGCATAGTCCCCCTTTACGGCCAGCATGGGTTGCTGGAGACCTATTCTAACCAGGATCTTCACAGGTCCGACGTATAAAAATATGCCTTATATGAAATAAAGTAACTTCGCTTCAGAAGGTAACGTTCCAAGGGGGACATCATCATCATCCGGACTTCTGGATAAACGAATCATGGTGAACTAGTAAGGTCCCATTTACTTGCACGCACGCACGCACGCACGCACGCGTTTCAAACAATAATTTTCTAGAAGATCCAACGAGGTTTGTAAGATCAGTTTCATATTTATATCAATAGTAAGAGGGCGACATTTCTTTTATTTCTTTGCTTATGGATGTGCCGCTCTTTCAAAGTCCAAATGTTGAAAAAAATGCAAAAAATACTCCTTTTGTATTACTGCCGATCTGTACATATAACGTTAACAAAAACACAAGATATCGTTTCTTGGTTGAGTGTAAAGCAAAGGGAAGTCTCCTATATGTCTCGCTGGGATCCTTCTCTTGTACCATCAAAGAGTGTCAACGCAAATAGTGGTTACATTATACGATTGTTTCATAAGTTGGAAATGCCCGAAAATTTGACGTCATCTCTTATCCTCGGCGGTTATGTCCTAAAACGGTTCACGTGTCTACTTCTCGCCGTGAGAGGTGTGACAGTCACTGCCTAATACCACATTTTGATCTTATTCAATCACTAGCTGGCAGAGACGAAACTACCATTGTAGCAGAAGAGCAATTGCTTACACCTGAAACAGGCACAATTTGTTTATAAGTAAACCTTAATTTACCATATATGCAGTAAATTTTTAATTGGAACTCTACATGGTGGAACATGATATTCATTGTCTAACTCGAAAATCAGAATCTTTAAGCACTTCAAGATTTTCAGCGGGCCGTCGTGAAATTGGTTTGGCTTCCACTTGCCTAGTAGCGCCCCTGGCGGGTATGTCATATCCTTTAATAAACTTCGGATATAACCCCTCTGGCCATTGTTTCGCGAATTATGTTTGGGTGTAACCCAAAGAATAAACTAGAGGAAGACACCAGGTGGTACATATCACGTAAGGCAGTCCCTCCCGTGTGCTGTATACGTGCAAGGTAAAGTTTTGCAGCTATTTATTCTTAACGTGGTGGGGGGAGGACGGGTGGCCCAGTCGTCTAAGGCGCCGCGATTCGCTGTGCAGAGTCGCGTCCCTTGGGCATGCCAGAAACCTAGGATTGTAGGTTCGCCCCCGTTATTTTTCTAGGTTTGTCAGCACCATACCCGTGCTCGTGGGTTTCACCGAAGTGGTAAACGTCTGAGACCTGCATCACTTCAGGCTTTCCTCCCACAGTAAACTGACACGCCGCGATATAACTGGAATACGTTAAACCCAACTCACTCACTCACTCTTATCGTAAGAGGCCACTGAATGAGCGGGTGGTAAGGCTCTGGACTTGGTTGACAGCGTGTCATCGTTGCCGTAAGTGTGGCGTTGAACAACAAACTATTTATATAAGCCACACGTTAGGCGTTTTTCCTCCTCAACAAAACCCTTTTGACACTTAAGTAATGTATGTCCTCGCTGTTTGTGCGCTTGTGTTCATAAAACTTTTTGTTAGGTCCAAACACAACTCTGTCGAACAATTCAAAGTATGGGCGGGTTATTGTTTATGTCACTTCTAAGGGCTTTATGACGTTTTCAGTGTTCCGACACAGTTCACTGCACATTATATAAGGCTATAAAAGGGTATAAAGTGCTCTCTAGACCGAAGGTTCATAGGTTGTAGAAAACGAATAAAAGTTATACTGAAAGATCAATATTACCTTCCCAGCGGTAGAGAACATAATATAATATCGACGCAAACACAACCCCGAAGGGCGCCATGTTTATTACTTATAATACAGTTTATATTCACACGAATATTATTCAAATGTGCTTAACATGATACTGTTATGGAAAAACAAAAGTTACATATTTTGTTCAGGATATTCGATATAGCTTAAAAACAGTTCAAATGATTTCCATTTATCCATTGCTGATCAGCTATCAGTGCCAGTTATCTGTTGGCTTCCCTTGTTTAGTTTCCACTTTTTGTTTTCTTATAACTTTTGTTGTTCTTACAGGTACGTTTATATATTCTCGGCCTCATAGTATTCATTCACCCGATGAAGGAGTAAGCATATACTCCGAAACCTTGTGTTCTCATTATGAAGAAGTTAACATCCATAAATTCTCTTCCTTATGTGTATCACTTCTAAATGCCATTCAAAAACTTGGTTCAAATAATGTCTCACTCGCACCTTCAAAACATATATGTTAAAAAAAAAATATAAATATTGGAGCCTTATATAACTGAGTGGTAACCCCAGGACAACAGAGGGCTTGTATGAGTCCCATCTAATCGTCCCTTTCTTACGACTATGACATATAAAAATGTCAAGGTAAATATAAAACGTCTTCGTAAATATAAAACGTCAACGTAAATATAAAACGTTTTCGTAAATATAAAACGTCAACGTAAATATAAAACGCCTTCGAAAATATAAAACGTCTTCGTAAATATAAAACGTCAACGTAAATATAAAACGTCAACGTAAATATAAAACATCTTCGTAAATATAAAACGTCAACGTATATATAATACGTCTTCGTAAATATAAAAAGGTCTTCGTAAATATAAAACGTCTTCGTAAATATAAAACTTCAACCTAAATATAATACGTCTCCGTAAATATACAACGTTTCAATAAATATAAAACGTCAACGTAAATATAAAACGTCAAGGCCAGAGGATAACCAGTCTCGATTATCCGACGAAGTGAACAGCTTCCATTGGGCATGAAAACAGCTTTAGGAACATGAACTTGATTTGTGTGTGCGTCTACTTGTACCAGTCCGGATTAATGCCGATGTTAAAGTGCTGGCCCACTGAGATACCATACCGCAGTTAAACACGAATACCCAACTCACACACACAATATACTGACTCCGAGGCGACCAGTCCTTGTTTTAGCCCCTAAATGCCGAGCGCCAGGCAGGGTAACAAGTACCATCTTTTAACACGTTTTGTGGTACGACACGGTCGAGGTGCGAACCCCGGATCTTCCGATCTCCGGGCGGACGCTCTATCACTAGAACACGGAGACGGTCTAGGACCAGGTTGGGGAAAATAAGCAAACACGTAAGATTCAATTCATTAAACCTTATTTGGGTTTATACAAACGGTATTATGAATATACGTGGAATACCCTGCTTACACAGAGGTAATGTCTATGACAGAACACTCTTCTCATGCACATCGTCTTGGGTCTGTGATTCAGGTCTATTTATTGAAACAGGCAGATATGAAGGTATTGCAAGAGAACATATACTTTGTAGGATTTGTGAAACTGATTGTATTGAAGATGGATAGCACTTTTTATGTCCAGTGTATATTGATTTAAGAGCAAAATATCTGAATACATATTTCTACCACAACCCAAACGGTAACAAATTTTGGACATTAATGACTTGTGATTGTACAGAAACTATGAGATATTTATCAATGTTCATTTATCATGCTATGAAACTAAGAACATGTATGAATTTGTAACACACCCCAGACAATGTACCATTAGGCCTTTGGCCTCATCAGTACCACGACTTAAGATTGTTTGATTGATTGATTGATTCAGGTCGGCTACATCAACGTCGGAGACAGCGGGGACGGACAGGAGGTCTACGTGAAGGTGTATACTCTGGCTCTGAAGACCAAACACACAGAAGGTAGCAACTACTCCTACTACTACTACTACTACTACTACTACTACTACTACTGTTACTACTACTACTGATACAATAAAAAATACTTTTACCATCACCATTGCCACTACAGCTAATTCAGCTGGCACTGCTATTACAACTGTATAACTGTATGATGACATGCATCAACCAAGTTAGCGAGCCTGACCACCCGATCCCGTAAGCATAGGATGACCTATTCTACCCCGGATCTTCACGGGTTACGAAGTCCGAGTTTGCTCTATGTAATTTAACATGAAGCAGGAAGACATGCGTGTCTTTATCATTGGCTATTTATAGTGAATGTTACTCAAGCCCCAGCATGCTGCTACAGTCTGGGGATACATGGATGACAGCACACGGAATGCCTCAGTTAGGCGTTGCCGAATATACCTGGCACTTAACATTTGTGAATTGATACACTGCACAAAACAGGTTGTATTAAACATTAGTGTACACTATGAACCCTCACTGCCATCCTCTACCCTATCCCCGCATCTCCATATGTCAACCAACCCATCACCAACAAACCCCCCAACCCAACCCCCTCCCCCCCGCTAACAACCCCCCCCCCCCCCAAACATCCCCCCCTCCCGTCCGTCTATGTGCTCACGTGAAGCGTGAAGAAATCTATACAGGTAAAATGCGTGTCGTTTCAGGTGACACTAAACCCGATGAATTGTTTGTTGTAAAACAAGAAATTGTTCCCATAATAGATGGATTTTATCGCGATAAAATGGTGGAGAGGTCATACATATAATGGGGACGTCACTGAACGGTTCCTCTTTCGTCACAACTCGCTCTTACCCGCCACCTGCAACAATACTCGTCATCTAGATATTGTCGAGTACGAAACTACAAACCAGTAGGAATGCGCGTATGACTGATAATAAAAGCTTTTCTCCAAAACCCCTTCGTTTGTATTATTTCTTTATAAGTAGAGTCTGAAACAGACGAAAATGACACCAAACTCAATATCTCATGATTGTAAATGTCAACCGTGTATTATTAAGAACATATCCATACAAACTAACAAAGCAAAATGGCCATGAGAGGGACTCGGGTCGCTATACGGCTTGACCCGGAATGACACGAATGGTCACGGATGCGATTTTCAAATTTTGCATGACAATTCGTCACTCTTCCTCCAAGTCCTATGATGAGCAGATTGTTTATGAAGTTATTTGGGAGGTATCGCTGTTTAATGTCTGAAAACAAAATATGGACCTTTTCTAAACTAATACCAGTAATGAGCGGCTTCAGAGAAAATATCTGACTAACTCTGTGAAGTATTGGCGATTTGGTGTGTAGAGCCTGTTTTTCTTTATAAACACGAACGTTTTCTCCTAGTGTTAAGTTAACACTGGCATTTTTTTTAAATACATACATATTAAAGTTGCTATACAGCTGCTAACTCGGCGGCAAACATTAAGTTTGAATTGGCTACATAGTACACGCCTGCTTGAAATCCTAAATTTAAAAAGAAAATTCGTATCTCGTATTGAATATCACAATGAACGTTTTTTTCTACTCTTAGTTTTCGTGAAGCATTGGAAATCACGTTCCAACTGATTCGAGGAATTTTATAAATAACAACCTTAGTGCGTGGTGAATCTTGCATAATCTTCAAAGTCAGTCGAATGATAAAGTATTCTTTGATCTTTGCGTCGCGACTACCACAATGTCCCGCCTGGTCAGTTCATTTTTAACAGAAAGGCATTCACTCAAACAGGGGAAAACGTATTATCGCAAATTCAACTTATAATAAGACCAAAACACAGAATTTTCCGAACGATTCAATTTCTTGCTTTAAAAGGGGGAGCCGAACGATTCAATTTGCTGCTGTGTGAGGGGCGGGGGGATGTGAAAGATTCAGTTTGTTGCTGTGTAAGGGGAGGAGGGGGGGGCGAAATGATTCAGTTGTTGCTGTGAAAGGGGAAGCCGAAAGATTCAATTTGTTGCTTTGTAAGGGAAAGTCGAACGATTCGTTTTGTTGCTGTGTAAGGGGAGGCCGAACGATTCAATTTGTTGCTGTGAAAGGGGAAGCCGAACGATTCAATTTGTTGCTGTGTAAGGGGAGGCCGAACGATTCAGTTGTTGCTGTGAAAGGGGAATCCGAATGATTCAATTTGTTGTTGTGTAAGGGGAGGCCGAACGATTCAGTTGTTGCTGTGAAAGGGGAAGCCGAATGATTCAATTTGTTGTTGTGTAAGGGGAGGCCGAACGATTCAGTTGCTGCTGTGTAAGGGGAAGCCGAACGATTCAGATGTTGCTGTGTAAGGGGAGGCAAAGTGTTAGCTCTGTTTGCTGTTTATACTGCTCTTGTTGTCAAGTTAGATATAATTCGTCAGTAAACATTTGATAACCTACTTCATGCTCACTTTATTTTCTTCTTTAATTTCAGACACCATCGCCCACCGTTTGGACTTCTCGAAATGGTAATAGTTATATGTGTAGCCAATGTCATGATCTTGTATCACGGTATGACAATGAGTGAGTGAGTGAGTGAGAGTGCAAGAGAGTGATGAAGAGAGAAATGGATTGAGTGATGGAGTGACAGATGAAGTAAGTGAGAGTGAGTGATGGAGTGAGTGAGTGAGGGATGGAGTGAGTTTATGCTGCATCCTAGGTTTGCAGTTATTAGGGTAGTTTAGCGTTGCTACACGGACTGGGGTCAAATCCAGTGTGGGGAAAGACGTTGTAACTACTACCGTTTGTGAAGGTGAGACAACGTCTCAAATAAGACAGGGTAAATGTAATCAATCGCAAAGTACATCTTGACACTGCCCCTTATCTCAAGTCTTCAAGATGTGTCAGGCTTGACCACGATATATATCAGATCTTCATATCTACATTCAAACTGTATCTCGCAGGTTCTCGTTTGTGATCACGCCCCATGGCGAGATTCTCCACGTCTACCACCCTCCCGACGACGACGATGAAGCTGTTGCCATGAAGAAGGGAGCCGCCGCCATGTTTGCTTCTCGTCTCCACCAGGCCACTGAGGTAATGACTGACTGTTATGTCAAAGTTAATCAGGGGTCTTTGTCTCCCAGAGTTAAACTGGGCACCGATGGGGATTCCGGGTTAGACATAATCCCAGTTCCCCATGCTTAAAGAAGGGGCGGACTAATGAGGGTCGAATGGTGATTGCGTGGCGCTGTGCCTCGATGGCGTGGACCGTTCTTCATGCAGTCAACCACTGGTTTGTTTGATCCAGTCTCGATGATTCACAGACCACGTGGTGTTGCTGTAATATTGCTGAGACTTTCAAATGTCCCCGATCACATCGGTGAGTGAGTGATGGTTTAAACCGCTTTTAGCTGTATCCCAGCAACATCACTAGGGGGGACACCAGACATCATCATGATACCTGTTAATTAAACTCGGGTTTTAAGCGTGACGAGAGAACGCTTTAACCTTAAGGCCGCCCCATCCCCGTGAAAACATGTGTCATAATGCAATGAGTGGTCCATTTGCTCAAAACGATCATAGCATCAACCCTGTCGTAACTATAATTTTACTTTAAACAAGAAGTATCGATTAGTGTACAGTGAAACCTTCTTAACTTGTTCTCGGGACCATACGTGGGAAATACGTCGAGTTACTAGTAGTTCGAGACAAGCGGAAATCCGTTACTTCATCACAGTGATTAATTAGAGATTCTTTCTCAGTCGATTCAGATCTACCTCGTAACATCGACGCTATATCGAGTGAACGGATGTCAACAACCATTCTTTTCTGCTCCTCACCACATAGTATTAGACTCCCTGCGTGGGCATGAGTGGCCCATCGTCCAAAACACTGCCATTCTGAAGGCAGAATTACTTCCCTTGGGCGTCCCTGAACCCTATGATAATAGGTTCGAGTCCCACTTTCATCCTCATTACGATGCTTGGTTTGTCAGCAAATTCCAAAGTCGTTATCATCTATAACCTGCATAATTTCCAGCTTTCCTTTTGACCCACGGGAAATGTCAAGTTTTAAAGGAAAGTTTTGAAATGTCGGTATGAAAATTATGAGACATTTTCAAGTGGCTAAATTTCTAACATTTTTGTTTCTTACACTTTTGGACTGCTGACATGATCAAATATACTACTCAAGAGAAGTTAATGAACACTCGACTCCTTCATATGATTATAGTTTATCTGCCATATCATATTTATAGGGAAAATTAGGGTGGTCCTTAGCTTCTTATGAGTAGTATAAATCATTATGACTAGAATGTGCAAAAAGGTAAGTGTTCACCCAAATGAATATTCTTACCTATGTCTGTTGTCAATTGTTTTTCAATCTACATCTAAGAAAAGCATCTCGGGTGAAAGAATTGCTCATCCTCAGATATTAGCTCAACGTCTAAACTTCCCTTAACATCCTGGATGCCAAATCTACGCAATTGGCATCAGATACGAAGGCATTCATCAGCCAAGTTAGAGAGCCTGACCTCCCGATTCTGTTAGTCTCCTCATACGACACGAATTGGTTGCTGAAGACCAATTCTAAACCGGATCTTTACGGGGCTGACAGCCAATTGTGTGTTGGAGAACTAATCTAACAACGCTCGTCACGAAATAAACACAAATGAAAATTTCAAGTCTCTAACACCCTTACAAATACCGCCTCCCTCTCCCGACGGGAAATTTGACGTCCCGGAATTTTAACATTTTATAAGTTCTGCTTCCTGGTACAACACCGCTGCCTTTTGAACACAGCTAACAAAGGTAACCAATGAACAGTCGAGGCCTTTGATTACGTATTCATGAGATCTGGGCGTTCCTTTGTTGTGGTTCAGCGTCCACGAAACGGCACGTCGCAGCAGGTCGGTGGTAGCGCCGTATTCATATTACCCATGTAAACATATCGCGTGTCCAACCACTGTGAAGACGTTAATTAAGTTCATATTGTGAAAATTGGCCAACGCTCTTGACTATACAATAAATATGTATGTTTGTTTGTCGTTAACGCCGTACAATAGCGACGCAACTTTCAAGCCATATGACGGCGGTCAATCGAGTATGGAGTGAGTGAGTTGGGTTTAACGCCGCTTTTAACAGTATTCCAGTTATATCGCGGCGTGTCAGCTTAATGTGGGTGGAAAGCCCGAAGTGATGCAGGTCTCAGACGTTTACCACTTCGGTGAAAGCCATGAGTACGGGTGTGGTGCTGACAAACCTAGAAATATAATGGGTGATTCGAACCTACAATCATAGATTTCTGGCGTTCCCAAGGGACGCAACTCTGCACAGCGAATAGCGGCGCCTTAGACGACTGGGCCACCCGTGCCCCCCACTCGAGTATGGACCAGGCAAACTAGTCATTGATAATATGAGAAACGAAAAACGGCGTCGGGTGACCATAACGGGCAGTCAACTTTCTTGACCACCCGATCAACGTACGACCAGCATAGACCAGAAAGACCCATTGTAACCAGGAATCTCTAGCTGTGTCAGTACAGATATGATTCTGTTCGAAATATGGACATCATTATAAGGGGACATAGCATTCACGTGCCTATTGATAGCTGAAGACGTTTAACTGACTGAGCAATTATCTCATACATGTATGTCAATGTTTTCTAGTTATGTCATTTATCCAATCGGCCCATGCTACAGCATTACAGTATTTGCAGTCAATTGTCTGCCTGATCGTACACTGCGTGCAGAAAAAAAACATTGACAAACGTCTTATGATCTCCAGGTTATTAACAGACGTTAGTATGTATATATAACTTTGAATGGGATAGATACAGTATTTATCGGAATACAGATTTAATGTTCACAGGCAGTACTTATCAATTGAAAAAAGGGAGCATCCATTTGATTTGTATGGGGAGAGTGGTGGGGTTTTGTTTGGGGAACAACAATTTTCTCCCAGCTATTTCCAACAAACTACTTATTTACTAAGCAACCTCAAAGAAACTATTCATTTTTTTCACCAATGCCAATAATGTTTTCATTTTGGGCATATTTCTGAAAAAAATATGTCACGGTGAAACACGCCATTCCTGTCGATACATATATTTCGCTCTAGCCTTATAACCTATAAAACGTCAGTGCTATAAAGTGATATCAGAGAACAGACAGATAATTTGGACATGATAAACAATAAGCCTGTATACAAAAATCCAGGGGATCAAAGTAGTCCTAGGTGGAGTGTTGCGTCCCTTATCCGTTTCAGGATCCTCTGAACGTGCGTTTGAATCCACGATTCATCGTTACCCGACGGTTTGTTGCTTATGTTATCGTCCACTGGTTTAGGGTGACCCTATTGCAGCAATCCTGATTGAACTGATTGGGATGCAAAACAACATTCATTCTCTCACTCCATAGCATCTGGGTACAATGTATTAATCACACGAACATTAAGTTTTTTGGTTGTCTTTTCAGAACCATGTCCATGCAACTGACGACGGCTGGGGCTATCACGTGAGAGAGACTGGAAATGAGGGTAAGGATCTGGGAAACGGTTTGGGGAAGGTTATGTATTGGGTGTCGGAGTTGGTGTTGGTGGTCGAGGAGAGGTTGTTGGTCGTGGAGAGGTTGTTGGTCGTGGAGGGGTTGTGGTCGTGGAGAGGTTGTTGGTCGTGAAGGGGATGTATGTCGTGGAGGGGTTGTGGTCGTGGAGAGGTTGTTGGTCGTGGAGGGGTTGTTGGTCGTGGAGAGGTTGTGGTCGTGGAGGATGGAGGCCAGGGGGTTGTGGCATTGTTGGACAAGTCACGATTAGAAGTCAAATCTAAATGAAGCCAGTATCAGAGCATAACACAGGGGAGGGGAAGCACGCATATCATATTACGAAATGGCAGGAGAATTGCTTAAAAGCTAAATGATCTGAAAATGCCAACAATTTATTTTTTATCTTGATCATGGTTATATGTTTTATCGAAGTGCTATTGCATGCAAACATGGACAGTCACACAGCCTCATATAGTGGGAATCTGTATAGCTGTTTGGCTGATATTTGTCTTCTTCTTTAATAGCTGACAATTTCATGATTTTAGAACTCATTTATGCTATTTGAGTTTGTGTATCTGTAACATTCATACTCCAGGTCCACACAACGCCACCTACACTGTGCGGCCGACTCTCACAGGTCACGTGTTCACCAAGAAAAGGCACCCTGGCCACCATCCCGTCAAGCATGCGACGTCAGAGTATACCAAGGTAGATGACGTAGTTTCTGCCGCTGACGATGAAACATATTACGAAAATAATGTTTGAAAGTGATATTGAATTTTAAAATCTTCTGCAAATCCATTATACTTTCAAATGACATTTCATAATGGACAGTGACTATATTGCTATTATGCAAAATGCAGAAGAAAGGTTTATAAGTCCTTCCAAACCGGAGGGATCAGATTCAGATTCAGAGTGATTCAGATTCAGTAGCTCTGTGTCTTTTTCATCACATTGTTTTGGGCAGATTAAAGCCTGGATGCAAACAGGACGAGCGTATAATAAAACACACCTTTGACTTCATCCAATTTTTCGAACGCACAATTATTTTTCAGGAACGTGCACGTGCTCCACCCACAGTTAATTTTGTAGTGATGTGTTTCAAATTGGAGAATTTCCACGTAACTCGGACATCCCCATTCTACATAATTTGTTGTTGTTATTTCATTTAATTTCTGTTGACAAATCATAATTAATTAGTCACAGTTATCACTTGAATATGCAGGCACTGATAGTGACGAGTTCATCACACATGGAATACGTCCCAAGAACTCAAAGCAACTGAATCAAATAATAAGTCAACTGAATAGCATTACATGAACTTGTTTGTGTTAAATCTATATATTAAATTGCTATAATGTTGATTTATGACTACGTTTTCAGACGTTGTATTACGACTCTGCCCTTGGGACTATGCACACCATTCAGGTGAAGGAAAAGTTACAGGTCATGCATAAGACTGCAGAAGGGTGAGGATGTTGAATATTTCCCTTGAGAAACATCTTGATGCTGATGTTATCATATATTTTTTACCCCCAATCCCCCATCCCCACCCCATAAATTCTAGCTTTATCCTCATCCTCATCCTCATCCTCATCATCATCATCATCATCATCACCATCATCATCTTCCTCTTCCTCCTCCTCCTCTTCACCTCTTCCTCTTCCCCTCTTCCTCTTCTTTTTCCTCTTCCACACCTCCTCATCATCATTATCATCTTCTTCCTCCTCTCTCTTCCTCCTAGTCATCATCCTCTTCCTCTTCTTCTCCTTCCTCTTCCTCCTCCTCCTCCTCATCATTCTCTTCTTCCTCCTCCTCTTCCGCCTCATCGTCATCATCATCATCTTCATCCACTTCATCTTCCTCATCTTCCTCTCCCTCATAATCATCATCATCATCCTCTTCCTCAACATCAATTTTAATCACATGACCATCATTATACTCAGTCTTTATGATTAAGTTAATGGGGTGAGTGTAACGCCGCTTTGAAGGTATTTCAGTTATATATCCTATGATTTGAGATTAATGTGAGATAGTGACACTTTGGTGAACCCCACAATCGCGGGTGTGGTGTTTTTGGACTTGCCCCTCTCGGTCTCAATGAATATATAAGGAGCACCACACTCAAAATCATTGTAATAGTAAGCCAATCACTATACCTATTTAGTACCGTTGCTAACTATGTACAATTCTCATTTTTAACCATTATGACTATGCTTATTTCTGATTTTTAACTAGATACAACCCGTATGAAAACAGTCGCCCTGTAAAAGCGGTCAACAACTTCACGCAAATGGGTAAGCATTTTCGAGTAACGACAGACCCCTTACGGCTGTCAACGGTAGTAAAATATTTTAAAGACGCTTCTAATAATGTCCATACCATCTGTTTGGATGACTGCATACTCAGCATAATGCTGTGTACTTCAACAGTGATTGTGTGAGTTTGACAGGGCAGATGTATATTTTCGCGACAGCTTTTTATAGACTAACACAATGCCCAATTCATCCCAAATTCAATCAACTAGAAGGAACTATATTTACCATTAATGAAAGCATTCAGTAAATTCATACGCGGATCCAGACACTTATGCTTACGAATGAAAAATATTTTACTGAATCACCCGATAACATGTTATCAAGAAATTAACAATTAATTGACTAATTTGTGGCAAACAAACCTGAACAATTTTCCATTCTGTTCTTTAAGCTCTTATGGGGCACTTGAACTGTTTAATCACGATTCGAGAAAATTAACGTTTCCGTTTTATGAAGAAGAGTGTTTTGAAACCGTAACACATTAAAGTCTAATTGAGTACTGTCTCCAGACTACCCCGAGATGTCAGCTCAAGGCACAGGAAAGTTGGTGTTCCTCAGCAGACACAAGGCCGTCAGTATTCCCAGCAGACCAAAGACAGACATCACGAGGGCGTCCATTCATATCAAAGAGGTAACAAGTTTAGCTTTAACAAAATGTTGTATACTTTATTAATTTGAATTATCCAGTGCAATTCCGTGAATAAAGCGACAAAACCCTTTCCCTATCTGATAGAAGTCTCTGCATAAAGCAGACTCGATAGTACGGATCATGACAGGCGTATGTATGTTGAGATATTCTACAGATACAAGTGAGAAATGGGCCTGATCAACTGTTTACAAAACTGGCGATTTATATCCTCTGCTATTTGTGCCCTACTCATATCTACATTAATAGTCAATCTGATACAACAAACATATTTTTTCAGGTGTTAAACTGTTAGGGTGAACATGAACATGTCTTTTCGCACACAACACAAACATTCCTGAAAATAAAAACGTATGATTAAATCAAAAGTCTTCAAGTCAGAGATGATTTCATGTAATCTTGTTTCTAAAGTGCTAGAGAAAGGAATGAGGCAATATATATGTAAAGAATCAATGCTTTTGAGACATTATATGCAGAGAAACTCTGTTGTGATAAACTTTAAGACAATAAGTTATCTTGGGTTATAAAATATTATGAACCAGAAAAGGTTAGGGATCATGAATAACTTTGGGGATAATTTTTGCAGTGAAGAATGCATAAAATATATCACCAAGCCAGTCACACTCCCTTATTATTGTATTCAGTATATATCATGCTAACGCTTTTGTCAATCGGTCAACAGACCGGATAGACAAGGAACCAATCCAAAACGAGTAAACAAAACATACGTATGTGTTTTATAGGAAAAAGGTATTGGACGATGAATTAAAAATGTACTTACTCGTACTGCAACGCAGCATCCTGAACATCATCTTGTACGTTGGTATTCCAGGTGAAGCAAAAGAAGCCAGCAATCGATGTGAAGGAACACCTGCAATATGTGAAGGGGAACCTCACGTGCATGCGAAACGAGCCAGAAAAAGGTACAGTTACGTGTATATATGTCCAGGAGTTTTGACAATGTGAAATCAATGCAACACTGCCGTGTAACATTCAAGGCTATACGGCCATGCAAATATAAGCCTCTAAATCATATAGTTGATCCAACTGTAAAAGATTGCACGTAACCACGACTGTCCATTTCCATAGGTGTTTTTCAAGAAATGAACGACGAGTGGGAGTTGCTTATCGTACAATAAAACACTGCAGGGAGAATAAACCATGAGGGGCGCCGCCCCGAGTGGTCTCTTCTCTTTGCAGTGTTTTACTGTCTCATCTCTTTGGATGCGATTGTTCATCGCGTTAATCTGCGTGGCACACCTACATCTATGGGGAACAACTCACTAGACACTCCTTCTAAAAATAACGTCGTCCAATATACAACGTCATCAAGTTTCGAGCGCATGTTCAAATCCCAGCAATAACGTCCTGATAGAACAATATTTTATCTTGAAATAAACAACACCTTTTTCTTCATTGTTTTTTTTTGCGATTAGAGCTATCTTATTTTTGGTAATAAAAGAAGAATCTGGATTATTTAAAATGTTTGTGCTTTTTTCAGGTTCGAAGAAGTTGGACAAATGCTTCACGGGAATTGTATCTGTTCTCCAAGACTTACCTGACCAGGCGTTGGTTCTCCTTGCTGAAAAGTACCTGACAGATAGGCCGAGGTGAATAGACCCTTTAAGTACACAAATTGAAACAGTTTGAAGGAAATGACATTATATAGATCAATATTGTATGTGACGTCAGTTACGAAAGCAATGGTGAAAGGAATCTTCTGCGTACATGTATGCATACACATTTCGTTATGTACATTATTTCAAATTAATTTCGTACTAAAACCAGAAAGTTTATCATTTACCATCGAAAAGTGTATTTATTTTTCTACTTATAAATATATCAAATAAATAGTATTTGTAAACTCTATCAAAGCTGAATGACATTATCTACCACATTATTCCCTTTTTGTGCACTTGATGTACAATGTAGGTCCTTTTGGGTACCAGTAAATAACCCCGTTTAACCTATTTAAGATGCGAGTTTTACAGAAAATAGCTGGTTGCTATGTTGCGAAAAAGCAATAGTCCTTTCATGGTGACCTCAGCGAAGATGAGTTATCGTTATCCGTGTAGCTTTCTTATTTTGCCCTGAAGTGATGCATAGTCTGGCACACTAGGATATCATTAAACCACCATGCTTACAAAGGTACCCTCCATCTCTTTCAGACTGACCAAGACCTTCAAGGACCAGAACCATATGTTTGATGCTATCGCCAGTCTGACCACAGACCTGTCCCAGCAGCTCCTGCTAGACCTTGTCCTCAATAGATCCAGACCCGACTCCTCCCTGGTGAAGAGACTCATGTTCCACATCATCTCACTTGATGGACCACCGATAGACGTAAGTGTAACTATGTGTGTTATATAACAGTTACAAGCTCATGTTGTACATATTGTCATTTGATGGACCACCGATAGACGAAAGTGTAAATATGTGTGATATGACAGTTGCAAGCTCATGTTCCACATCATCTCACTGGATGGACCACTGACAGACGTAAGTGTAAATATGTGCCATATAACACTTACAAGCCCATGTTCCACATCTTTGTATTGGATGGACCACCAATAGACGTAAGTGTAAATATGTGTGATATAACAGTCACACGCTCATGTTGTACATAATCGCACTCGATGGACCACCGATAGACGTAAGTGTAAATATGTGTGATATAACAGTTACAAGCCCATGTTCAACATCATCTCACTTGATGGACCACTGATAGACGTAAGTGTAAATATGTGTGATATAACAGTTACAAGCCCATGTTCAACATCATCTCACTTGATGGACCACCGATAGACGTAAGTGTAAATATGTGCCATATTACACTTACAAGCCCATGTTCCACATATTTGCATTGGATGGACCACCAATAGACGTAAGTGTAAACATGTGTGATATAACAGTTACATGCTGAGGTTCCACATCATCTCACTCGATGGACCACCGATAGACGTAAGTGTAAATATGTGTGATATAACAGTTACAAGCCCATGTTCAACATCATCTCACTTGATGGACCACCGATGGACTTAAGTGTAAATATGTGTGATATAAAAGTTACAACCAAATGATGTACGTTATCTCACTTGATGAACCCCTGAAAGACGAAAGTGTAAATATATGTGGTATAATAGTTACAAGATCATGTTATACACGGGATCACCTATAGATGTAAATGTAAATATGTGTGATCTTACACTTAAATAACATGTTCCCCTTATAATGCCTTGTCCTTTTGTCACGATTGAACAGAGAAGCGTCGACTATATGGTGCGTAAATGTGCAGACAGAATTGTTATAGCAATGTTTCCTTTTGTTATACACGATATAACACGAAGTCTGAAGTCTCCACAAATCACGTAACTGTTATTCTTCGCAAAAACGATCATCAAGCAAAGTGTTTTTAACTTTGGTAGCCGCGAACAAGGCTTCTAAGACCAGTTGTACTGTTAATTCACGGAGTGTCAACTTAACGTGGGAGAAAGTCAAAAGGGATCTGTACGATGCGGTTTGAACTTATATCCACGATTATTCGGGTATTTTTTTCACATTTTGTACAGAATATCATCACGAAACTGAAGAGCCTGTGTTTTGAGCGCGATAAGGCCCCCGTGGCTTTACAGGAACAAGAAACATATCACAGAATGGTGCTGGCATTGGGGGTGGTTGCTAGGCGACTGTTGGACGCTGGGAGGAAGGAGGAAGCGGTTGATATTGTCCTGAAGCTGGAGGGATGGCTAGGATTGCACGGTGAGAATTACGTTTTGATTGAGAATACATCCACAGATACTAACGTGAATACATATTTTGACAAGAACATGGTCTCATGCATCATCACTGAAATTTCGAGGAATAATTAACACATCTATCGTGTTGTTAAGTCGTGAATATCAGAGATGACATGACATCTTAGGAAAGTACAATTTTCCACAACGAAATCTGGTATTTTACATCAGTTGTCAACCTATAACAAGTCATTGCCAAACTGTACACGATGATGAAAGTGAGTCAGCAGACGAGTAACATATTGCTTTGTTAAATTAACAATTGCAAGCCAATGTCTTCGTTGCAAGTCCATATATAACAATATGGGCTGCAGGCAAACACGCTTATTAATGTGCTCTCCAAAGTGTTTCACGGCCAGAATAGGTCCCAAGCACCCTGTTTTATTTGTAAGAGCCTTCTGACATGTGATCTTTGGCTAGGCTCTGTGGCTCTGCCTATCGTGTTTCGTCGTACCCGATGGCTTTGACCTTTGCATATTCCAGTCATAGGTTTCTCTGTGACTGATACTGTTTTTACAGACCGACTGACATAGCCTTAATATTACTGACTGCAGCTCTAAAAACTAACCGTGATCATCATTCAGTTGTCGATTACGTATTTACAAATCTGTTCCAGATCCCTGGATGTTCCGTCAGAAACGGTCCACCATGACAGAACGTGAAGTCCTTGATGACGACCGTTGGAGAGTTATCGTGCTGGGATCTCTGGGTAATGCCGGTCTCGACCAATCATTTGAGATGATTGTGTCACATGTCAACACCACCAACTCTCAGTGGGTGAAGCGAGCTGGGATACACGCCATGAGGAAGTACCGACACGAAGGGGTATTGAAAATGATTTTAAACTAACTCTTAAACAATACTTCAAATGATTTACACGGTTGAGACAGTACACTTTCAATACCGAATATTTTCTGCTGCGAAATCTCTGAATTTTGCAAGTCGCCATGACCATACTTTAATTCGAGATCTCAAGTAGAAGCTTTAATTATATTGTCTGACTATGCCAAATTACGATCTTACTCCTTCAACATTTGTTTTATTTGATTGATGCTCGAACTCAGGATTCAAAGTCTGCACATTATGTTGGCAACAATTATAAACAGGCATGGTTAAGTCTCTCAGCAACGTTGAGCACGACCTGAATTTGACACTTATGCATGTATGAATGACATATGACCTGTTGCAGGCAGCACATCTGATGTTGAAGACAGTTGTGCATGTATGAATGATATATCCGCTGTTGCAGGCAGAGCATCTGATGTTGAAGACAGCCTGTATGTATGAATTATATATCCCCTGTTGTAGGCAGCACATCTGATGTTGAAGACAGCCTGTATGTATGAATGATATATCCCCTGTTGCAGGCAGCACATCTGATGTTGAAGACGGTTATGTATGTATGAATGATATATCCCCTGTTGCAGGCAGCACATCTGATGTTGAAGACAGTTGTGCATGTGTGAATGATATATTCCCTGTTGCAGACAGCACAACTAATGTTAGGGACAGCCTGTATGTATGAATGATATATCCCCTGTTGCAGGCAGCACATCTGATGTTGAAGACAGTTGTGCATGTGTGAATGATATATTCCCTGTTGCAGACAGCACAACTAATGTTAGAGACAGCCTGTATGTATGAATGATATATCCCCTGTTGCAGGCAGCACATCTGATGTTGAAGACAGCCCTGTACGATGACGACGAGAAAGTCCGATATGAAGCTCTGCTACAATACCAGGCCCACCCAAAGGCTGCCATAATCGCTCCCATGTACAGACAAGAAGGGTGAATGTTGAATGATTTTGTGTGTTAAAAGAATTCATACATTATCCTTTTTCGTGGCACCATGATATGTTCCCTACAAAGCCAGCAGCTCATGGTGTACCAGCTTGTATGAATTGTACCTTCCTCAATACCTCACTGGGCAGATGGGTAGCTCTGTGGCTGAAGCCTCTTGTTCTAGACTCGCCATGAAAAGTGTCAGTAAATTCTACTGTCTTACTCACTCATTTCTGTGTACCTCTGGCTCCCTAGCTTGTTGGCAGTAGTCGCCTGGTTGTCCTATACAACGCTATTTACTTTACAGTTGCATCGTTTAGCCACGTTAATATCCACTTGTGGATAATGAGACTTGGTCTCTTACGAGCCCCATACACGGGTCCGTTCGCATCAGTTTTTCCTTCACATTGAACTGATTTTACGCAACTGAAAAGCTGTTGAAAACATAATACATTGATACATTACAGTCCTATGAATGGATCCATATTTCACGTGGACCCCCGCTATGTTGGCAAGCGGGACATTGAGGTACACGACCGACACAAAAGGGGACTCTTTGATGAGAAGATCGAATTCATACTGGCTTCACCCAGCGTAGACTGGAAGAAGATGCTTGGGTCAACAACCATTGGAGCGTCCTTTGGACTGATTATTAACAACGCTTTAGACTTCAAAATAGGTATGCTAGTGTCAATGCCATACATGTATATACCCTTTTATCGTATCTAGATTGTTCAAGACAAGACGGCTAATATAATAGATATTCATTATTTACGTAATTCAGATTCCAATGTAGACGTTATAAAACATCATTGTTGACGTTGATTATTATGTCAGGTTGACATTTGAAAACATTTGCCGAATACCAAACCCAATTAATGTTGAAGTAATACAAACCAAAGTGAAAGCAATCCAAAGCAATTCGTAATTCCTACATTTGAAGGATTCTGTGGAACGGAAGTTATTTGACCTGCATTTTTTTATATTATTTGTCTCTATATATTCTGTATACTGTATCTGACAGTTTATTTCGTGTTTCTTCAAAGCTTGAAAAAAGAGCAATTCCTTCCAGTGCTATTGCATATGATCACTGCATGTTACAGCGCCTCTGAGCGGACACATGAGAATAAACATCCACGATGAAGCTTACGCCCGCATCCACCTTGGCTTCTTGGGAAAGAACCTGGAATTCTTTATGGGGAGGATCTGCTTCAAGGGAGGAGCGTCTTACAACCTGAACATGCTGCAGGTGACCTCACAATGCAACCTGTTGAATCGCACTTCTGTGGGATCGAGTCTGCTCAGCTTAACCACTGTTGGCACTCAACTATTTAGGACTACCACCAGTTGTCTCTCCCCAACCACCACCCCTCCCTACCCATACTCCTGCCTGCATGATGTGTCCATTCAGGACCATCAGCCACAACCTGTAAACACATGACTTTAATGTGCCTTTCAACGTTTCCAATATTGTTTCCAACGTCTTGCGTTCTATGATATGTCTACGCTCAGTCGTATTGGCATTCAAGGCGTCTGGAGCCCTACAGTATAATAGGAAGACAATTGATTGTCAAAATGCAAACAAGATTACTATCACATCAGATTAAATCTGAAAACATTTTTAAAAGAGAATATCTCTTACAACTGTCATTAGAATATTATATTGTTCCTTATGTGATTTGCAAAGATGTCTTTTTTAGAGTTTATTTAATTGTGCACTTCTTCATGTCCTTGTCGGGAGCACGGGTGGCCCAGTCGTCTGAGGCGCCGCGATTTGCTGTGCAGAGTTGCGTCCCTTTGGCAGGCCAGAAACCTATGATTGTAGGTTCGAATCCCGGTTCGCCCCAATTATGTGTCTAGGTTTGTCAGCACCATACCCGTGCTCGTGGGTTTCACCGAAGTGGTAAACGTCTTAGACCTGCATCACTTCTGGCTTTCCTCCCACATTAAGCTGACACGTCGTGATATAACTGGAATACTGTTAAAAGCGGCGTTAAACATAAGTCACTCACTGACTCATGTCTTTGTCCATGTTGCAGGAGTACGGCGTGGACAACCTCAAGAAACTGGTTGAGCTCTACGACGCTGTTAAAGGTGATGCTGCTGGCGCTCTAGGAGCAGGTCTTGATCTGTTCAAGAGCATCGTCAGTGGAGAGTTCTCGTTTGCTGACATGATAGAAGGTTTCAGGACGGCACTGGAAGAGCTACCAGATAAGGTGGAGGTTTTGAGATCATGTAAATGTAGCGTTAATGTTGCAATGTATGAAGGGGCGGTTGCCTCTGGCATGTTATTGACCTGCGATCTCTGAAGTTACTTGAATGAGTGAAGTTACGTCTTAATTAACTGTCGATTTATAAAAAATGGATTTTTGTCTGTCACGCCCAATGGATTATATTTTCTATGGATACCTCATACTGGTTATCATGTTGCGATGACATTGTATAACTTAAGTGAAATTATGTCAAATTTGATTCCAAGCTGATTTCATTAGTCGTGTAGCATTTCGTAAAGAAACGTGACTGGGATGTTTGATAAAGGTATACACATTGAACACAAAAACAGACGGAGATTAACCAGTATTTCCTTATTGGCAAGATAGATGTACATGTATAGGTGGTATGATGCAGGTTGTCAGTGTTGGGAAGAAGGCATCAGACGCTATGGAAGTCCTTGGCCAGCTGGATGAGAAACAGCTGCCTCCCTTTGCTGAACCTGCCAGGAACCTTGTGTTGAGAATCACAAACCTTTACAAGGAAGTCAAGTCATCGGTGCTCAGCTTTTACAATGTAAGTAATTCCACAATACTTGTGTGTTCTTGAACTTCTTGTTATAAAGCCACCCGAAATTCTATTTGAGCATTATTTCTGTTAAATAATATTATAATTCCATGTCTTTGGGTGTATGAAAGTACATTATATAGCATAATTTAGGCCTCGAAAGGTTACCCTCTACTATTTGGATGTAAATTGGCCAGGATGCTCTTAGTCCGCGTGCCTGGGGAACTATTATGTATTGATTCCCGAGGATTGGTCGTGGCTGTAGACAGTACTTCAGTTAAGCCATGATGTATAAGCTTAAAGTGGGAGAAACACCCAAAACGTTTACATGAAGTCCACGTAAAGGGGTCTGGTAATTTTGCATATATCAGAGCCTTGCACCATTGGCGCCTCAAACCACCCGGTAGGCTGAGGTTTTGTTGAACTGGAAAAAAAAGAATTAATACAACATGTGCAAATAATGATTCATCATATGTTTGGTTCTCAAAAAAAGAAACAAGAAGAATATCACTAGGTTACCCATTTCAGCAACTGATGGAGACAGTGACGATAATAATACCCAGGGCAGGGAAGATGATCTATAAAGCTATCAAGGCTATCATTGATAGCTTTAGGACGTTCAACAAAGACCCCAAACAGGCCATTTCTACTGTTGCTGGTAACGTCATCACGTGAGTACATCATCATGCAGTTACACCTAGTGCGAGAGATTATCTTTCGCCAGGCAATGGTTTAACATATTGTTTGTATTTTTATTAAATGAAATAATTTGTGTGCATCTTGTATTTTTTCAGTATTGGCCTAGAAGTAAAGAATCTGGTAGACGCCGTTAACAAGACAAAGAACACATTATTTGCGACCATTGGTAAGTGTTTTTCAATTGGTAAAATCGTTTTGGTAAAGACAAGAGTGAGTGAGTGAGTATGGTTTTACGCCGATTTGAGCAATATTCCAGCAATATCACGGCGGAGGACACCAGAAATGGGCTTCACACATTGTACCAATGCGGGGAATCGAACCCATGTCACAGGTACAGGCGTCAAATCTTGGGTCCTATTGTTGTACCACATTTTGAAAACCACCATCTGGCTGTCAGACCCGGCTACATGGGTACAACGGTAGACAACAACGTTATCGACTGGTAACAGAGTTCCTACAGCAGAAGGCCATCACGACCATCCCCGTGGCCCACCAACCTGATCTCAACCTGCTTGAACACATCTGAGGCGCAGGATGCAGATGCTGAACCAACCAGTAGCCAATCTTCAGGAACTAGCACAAGCATTGTACAGAAGTAACAGAACAGAAGTACAGAAGAGCATCAGAAGTCACAGAACAGAAGTACAGAGGAGCATCAGAAGTCACAGAACAGAAGTACAGAGGAGCATCAGAAGTCACAGAACAGAAGTACAGAAGAGCATCAGAAGTCACAGAACAGAAGTACAGAAGAGCATCAGAAGTCACAGAACAAGAGGTACAGATGAGCATCAGAAGTCACAGAACAGAAGTACAGAAGGGCATCAGAAGTCACAGAACAGAAGTACAGAGGAGCATCAGAAGTCACAGAACAGAAGTACAGAAGAGCATCAGAAGTCACAGAACAGAAGTACAGAAGAGCATCAGAAGTCACAGAACAGAAGTACATAAGAGCATCAGAAGTAACAGAACAGAAGTACAGAAGAGCATCATAAGTCACAGAACAGTAGTACAGAAGAGCATCAGAAGTCACAGAACAGAAGTACAGAAGAGCATCAGAAGTCACAGAACAGAAGTACAGAAGAGCATCAGAAGTCACAGAACAGAAGTACAGAAGAGCATCAGAAGTCACAGAACAGAAGTACAGAAGGGCATCAGAAGTCACAGGACAGAAGTATAGAAGAGCATCAGAAGTCACAGAACAGTAGTACAGAAGAGCATCAGAAGTCACAGAACAGAAGTACAGAAGAGCATCAGAAGTCACAGAACAGAAGTACAGAAGAGCATCAGAAGTCACAGAACAGAAGTACAGAAGAGCATCAGAAGTCACAGAACAGAAGTACAGAAGAGCATCAGAAGTCACAGAACAGAAGTACAGAAGAGCATCAGAAGTCACAGAACAGTAGTACAGAAGAGCATCAGAAGTCACAGAACAGAAGTACAGAAGAGCATCAGAAGTCACGGAACAGAAGTACAGAAGAGCATCAGAAGTCACGGAACAGAAGTACAGAAGAGCATCATAAGTCACAGAACAGTAGTACAGAAGAGCATCAGAAGTCACAGAACAGAAGTACAGAAGAGCATCAGAAGTCACAGAACAGAAGTACAGAAGAGCATCAGAAGTCACAGAACAGAAGTACAGAAGAGCATCAGAAGTCACAGAACAGTAGTACAGAAGAGCATCAGAAGTCACAGAACAGAAGTACAGAAGAGCATCAGAAGTCACGGAACAGAAGTACAGAAGAGCATCAGAAGTCACGGAACAGAAGTACAGAAGAGCATCATAAGTCACAGAACAGTAGTACAGAAGAGCATCAGAAGTCACAGAACAGAAGTACAGAAGAGCATCAGAAGTCACAGAACAGTAGTACAGAAGAGCATCAGAAGTCACAGAACAGAAGTACAGAAGAGCATCAGAAGTCACAGAACAGAAGAGCATCAGAAGTCACAGAACAGAAGTACAGAGGAGCATCAGACCTGACAGAACAGAAGTACAGAGGAGCATCAGAAGTCACAGAGCAGAAGTACAGAAGAGCATGAGAAGTCACAGAACAGAAGTACAGAAGAGCATCAGAAGCCACACTGGGGACATGTGGAAGAGGGTTGAGATTATCATCCGCGCATGTGGTGGTTTTATAAGCTATTGATAATCAGGATGTCATAACGGAGCCGTAATGGTCATTTTTAACCAGGCACAGCTGTCTTGGGCACACTGCAGCCCAATACTTGAGTCACATATACATTTTGTCAATAATACACAAAGTGAATTGTTCTGCAATATCATTAAAATCTCTTTCTAAAATGTCATGATCGTTGTCTTTCAATTACCCTTTCAGCAAACAGCACAAGTTTTGGTTTCTATACCATATTCTTTGGCCAACGAGTGGCGAAAATAGCAGGGGTGGCTTAGCATTATGCAAGGAGTATATTAACCCCCAAATGTTATTTTTATAGCTACATGATAACATTTGACATGTCTCCGCATGTAATTTTACCTTTTTCATGTATATAATAATCATGTATTACTGTTATGACTACCCTGGTCTAGAGTTTCACCAAATTGATAAGCATCTACAAGCTGTATCACTTTGGGCTTTCCACGAACATATAATTGACTAAGTATCCGTCATAAAGATCAATACTGCTAATACCAGGGTTAAAGCATTTTTTTACCTGCTTCAACAGAAACCCCCCCTGACTGGATGAACCTAGCTTCCCAGGTGATAGAGATAGTGGAGGCGGGGTATAAGGCAAAGAAGGCACTGCTGGAAGGTGGGGAGAAGTGGATCAAGGAGGTTGTGAAGGGGAAGAGGGACCCTGTAGCGGAGTTTTCCAAGGGGAAGAGTAACGCGGTGAGTGGCTCGATATCATGTATATGGTTTTTTTAAGAACTAGAGCTAGATATTACCCTTACAAGGATACTAGCATCACCCCATTGTATTTGGCCGATGGACAATAGCTGACTGCAGCATTTAACAGTTTTCAATCATGCTTATTGACCAGGTTGAGCAGGGACTGACTAGGTGGATACAAATTTTGCAGCATAAAATACATGAATATTTATTGTATGCACTGGAGCTAGATATTACCCTTCACGGGAGCACGGGTGGCCAAGTCGTCTAGGGCGCCGCGATTCGCTGTGCAGATTTGAGACCCTTGTGCACGCCAAAAACCTATGATTGTGGGTTCGAATCCCGGTTCGCCCCAATCATGTTTTAGGTTTGTCAGCACCATACCCGTGCTCGTGGGTTTCACCGAAGTGGTAAACGTCTGAGACTCGCATCACTTCGGTGATTCTTTCCACATTAAGCTGACAAGCCGCGATACAACTGGAATACTGTTTCAAGTGGCGTTAAAACCCAACTCACTCATTCACTGTTACCTTTCTGGAGGATGCTGGCGTGACCTCATTGTATGTGTTGTATTATGGACTAGGCCCGTGTGGTATCCAGTGAAGTAAAGGTCCACAGTATCTCATGCTTTTCGCAAGGGCTGACTAAAGATGATGGGGGATGTCAGACTCTTTCACATGGTTGATTGTGCCACGGTTGCATGGGTCGTCACTCATGTTTTGTTAGTCACTGGTTTGTCCTGTCCAGACTGGATTATTCACAGGCCATTGAACAATAGCTGGAATACTGATGACTGCAGCATGAAAAAAAATCATTCATTGCCTATGGACCAGTCAGATCAGGAACTGATCAGGTGGATATAAAGTTTGCGAAATCAATTGCAGTATAAAATACTCCACATGTGAGGTAAAAGCACGAGTGTATGAGTGTATGTCAGAAGTGGAACATGTGCTTTATATCGGTTTTCCCCACTATAATGCTTCGTATAATAGAATGGTCGATCCTCTAAACCTACAAATAGTCTATTTATGCATGGATTGAACAGTACTGTTCAAATTTTGTAGACTGCACTGAGACAGGAAGTTGTGACCATGCTGAAGGACATTGTTGATGACGTCCTGGCTCCTCTTGAACCTCTGAAGAAACTGGGAGGGAAGTTCTTGGACACTTTCAAAAAGGTGTTTGATCTCATCAACAGTGTGAAGAAAGCTTACAACGCTCTGAAGGAAGGGTAAGGGGAGGCATACACGCAATAAAAATGATTGTTATTAAATCGTAAAATTGCTATCCTCAACTAGTATATATTTTTGTCGGGGCGGTCGGGTAGCCTAGTGGTTAAAGCGTTCACTGGTCACGCCGAAGACCCGGGTTCGATTCTCTCATATAACACGAACGCGACTATTTCTGTGGAAGATACCTTATTGCAGGTATGAATTTTTGTCCAAAAGGCATAGCATTTTTTTATTATTTTATTATATAGTTGGGTGTCGTGATATACATTTCAAATAAACCAACCCGAAGCAGCATTTTTGTAGAGAACGCATGCTTGACTACTAGCTATGTATTTCGTTTTTCATGTGGAATCCTTATTCAAAGTTCATTCATAAATGGTGGTTTGTGAGTTAAAGGGAGATAGGAATTTGGAGTATTTTGTACATTACCTTATGTGACCTTCCTACTCCTATGAATCTATGTTCATAATGTTTCAGATATCGTGCAGCCCGCTCTTTGATCGACCGTGTCTTCGGCCCCAAGTGTCATAAGGAGTTCCCCCGCACCCTTCGACTTGCTGGGGGTGGATGCAATGGGCGTGGCAGCTACCCCTCCGAATTGAAAAGTGGAAAGGAATACGAGCATGAAGGGATAGATGTGACCATTTCTTCTGGAAAAGACGTGAGTAACATTTGTCGGTCTTCATCTTCCACTCCTGGTGCTAAGAGATAACGTGTGCGGTTCTTTGGTAAACATGTTATATTTTAAATGATACATGTATTTCAACACTTTTCCAAAACTATGAAATAATACGTATTTGAACTTTTCAAAAGAATATCAAAAGAAAGGAGTATCTCTTTTCTGGAGAACGTAAGCATTTCTTGTACTAAAGAACATCGAAACAAAATATTGAGTGAAGAGGTGTCGACATTGACATGTGGTTATATCGTTTGGTCGTTCATAAAAAAGCCAACTTCCTAGCGTAGCCTCATCAAAACGTGTTCGGAAATATTAGTTTTTTCATAAACCATGTTCCCTTTAAAAACAAGTTTCCCATACTTTCATGTTCATACTCCGGTCTAATTTCTCTTCTTATATTGCACATAGGGCACGGATAGGATATATGTCAAATCATTTGAGTATAGATATTTTTGATCGGGCGTTTTCGGAGGCTTCCAAGTTATTCCAGTGTTTTGAGCCACAGTAGTGTGACGTTGGTACTTGTTGTTACCCTGCCTGGCGCTCGGCATTGAGGGTTTAAAACAAGGACTGGTCGGCTCGGAGTCTGTATACTGTGTCTCAGTGCGGAATATCTATTAAACTGCGACTGGTATCTCTGTGGGCTTCCACTATAAAATCAGCTTTAGTCCGGACAAGTACAAGCAGCCACACATACACACACACACACACACACACACACACACACACACACACACACACACACACACACACACACACACACACACACACACACACAGAAGGGCACGTACGTGCAATAATCTTGAACGCGACGTTAAACCCCATTTCACCACAACGCACCTAATAAGACACAATTAGATGTATGAAGCATGTGCAATGAAGGCAACAACAGAGCAAGTTGACATGTGGTCATTTTACTAAAATAATGTTTAAAGTGGCATCAAACCCAAGCTACTCACTCACTCACTCACTCACTCACTCACTCACTCACTCACTCACTTGAGGTATATGTCCATAACAACAACACTATATTCAACTTCTCCGCAGATTGTGGCTCCGTTTGCTGGCAACATCAGGCTGTCTGACAATCCCAATGAGGTCATCATCATCCCGACTGCAGGATCTCTGAAGGAAACTGAGGTCATCATCACCAACATCGAGCCCGACAGCTCCTTAAATATCCAGCATCCGGGTGACTCTACTTATGTCGACAGCCCAGTAAGTCGTGAATTGCAACATGGAGTAGACAGTGACAGGCTTCTGAGACGAAAGGCAATAAATACTTACTTTTTTGTGAAAATTGTATGAATGGCGGGAGCTACCGGTAGGGCATGCTTACCCTTTTTGCGAACACCTGGTGTCACCACAGATTTTCAGTCGTCCATTCATATACTTTCCACAGCTATTTGCCTTTTACTCCAAGTGCTATCTGTTTCGGCAGAAAATCTAGCTGGTTTTTCTCTTGCACTGACAATTTATAATATAACCTCGAAAAACATTTGGAATCGCAGCTCACGTTTCACGTTATATACTACTATGTACACACCTAAAGATCTCTCTGAATGGCCTAACATGCATACATTGAAAAACATGTTTATCCAACATGTTTATCCATTAGAGTAAAAGATATGAACAAAATGTCCAATTTGCTTGGGTGGTCAAGCTCGGCGATTTTGCGCGTGCTACCGAACGTGCATCATGCTATCAACCACCGGTTTGGATGACCATGATATTATTTAAAGATCCCCTGATATAGCTGGACTTTTACGTACTGGGAAATAATTTTTTTTAAATTCATAGTTATACCTTTGTACTACCATTCACAACCAGTCAATTGCTCGTCCTTTCTTATGTCAAGCGTCGTCATCAATGTTATCTTCAAATTATCTGGCATTATATTCGCCTTCTCGTATGCTGTCTGTGGACGGCAGATTGAAAGTGCAAAACCAAATTGTCCTTTGTTTTGTGGTGGGTGTTAGGTTCTTATATATGCACGTCGATTCATTCCAGAAATTAAACATTGTTATTGTTCAAATTCATTGTTCCTTCGCTATGCCAACTGAAAATTATTGTTAAATACTTTGTCATGTTTTTTTATTATAACTGAATGTCTGCCCCAGGTGAATGCTGGACAAAAGATAGGCGTGGCGGCCAACTCCCCGTGTGGGGGTAACGAGCACATCCACCTCGCCCTGAGAAGAAAGGGTGGCTATGTCGACCCAACACGCTACCTGGAGGTCAGATTACCCGAAATCCCGGAGTGGGTGCAAGAGTGTGACGACTACAAAGTGGTGTTTAAGGCAAGTGACATATTTTGCTTTCTTTGTTAAAAAGGGACAGACACATAAACATGTACGTGTACTTGCTGAGGTTATATTTATCTATGTATCCTATATGTAATTAGCTGTTGTCCCAAACACGAAAAGTAAGAAGTCGAGCTGGTGTCATTTGCATAACACGCGCATTTGTATAAACACAAACTGTTACGTGTTTTCTATAGACACATGCTTTGGCATATGTTGACATACAAGTTTTCTATGTACACATAATGTTACATATTATGACATGAACATGTGTTCTATTGAGACATAATTTGACATATTTGACATATTGTGTTTTATACAGACACAAGAGGTAATATATTTGTTGTGATTGATTTCCAAATTCTTATTCAGTTTGAGACTATAGCTGAAAATTGCATCATCTGTCTGGATGGTAAGAAGGACAATGACACCAGTCCAGAGAGAGAAGGAGAGGAAATTGAAAAACCTGAGGATCTTGATTCCTCAAAAGATCCTACCTCAGTCGCCGACGCCGAAAATGGTAGGTTACTTCATTTTTAACTATTGAGTTACCAGAAGTTTCCCGATAAAATGCGGTAAATATTAACCAGTGTACTGATTTAGGGACATATATGTGTGATTCTCTGCATGTTTGTGAAAGCGGTGAAAAACTTATTGTGTGTCATGCTCCCGATACTTTAATGTTTGAACGATGTTACAAATTCAAGTAAGTCAAACATTATTATATTAATTTTGTTTATTCAAATAAGACAGGTGACACAGTCTGAGATAACAAAATGTACAACTTTATGGATAACAACTTCTGATTTATTGCATACAGCAACGTTTCGATGTATGTTCTGATACCCTTATGAAGCTTGGGTGATAACGGTTTTAGAATCTACATCAAAATGTCGTCATATGCAAAACATTAGAACTTGTTATCCATAAAGTTGTACGTTTCGTTATTTACTCTGCAACTTCTAGAATGCCAATGAAACAGTTAGTCAAAGGTAAATAATACAAATGCATGATAAATAATGTTTTCATCCAAAACTGGCCCCAACAGGAGATATCGCTTGGGTGAGATGAATCGATCTCTGCTTCAAGATATCGCAGTAATGAAATTGCTCACAATGATTTGCAGACAAAGCAGGTCAAACATTGTTACCACCAGATTCACATTTCAGTCAGCTCTTAAAACGGCCAAGAATTACTCAGGAACACAGCATCTCAGCTGTGCAACTTGTAAAAGATGAAGACACAGAAAGGCCTTTCCGTGCAACATACATGTATCCCGTAGCCTTCTAACTGTACATTAATGTGAAAGTTTGGGACAGGACATATAGGCAAAAAGAAGGCATCCCATGGACATTAATTGTGCTCCCCTACTATTTGTGCTCGATTGGCAAAATGAAAACAGGGATTTGGCCAAGATGTGTACCTGAAGTTCCAGGTATATCGATGGTCTGGCATCGTTCAATAATGGTTCCTTCCACTGATGTATCTTCTTTATCTGAAATAAAACTAGAAACCAGTGAAACGCAACTTCTGTTTCCTATTTAGATAAATGCATAAAGATTTACAAAAAGCTACCAAATACAAGAACGTATGAAGAGGGATGACATAAACCTGCCAAAAGTCAACTTTCCCTTCTATAGAGGACATTTTTAAATGTGACGCATCGGTGACCAATGATGTCCGATACAATTCATTAATTTGAGACCCATATGTCCCTGTGTTTGTTTCAGTTGAACAATTGACATTGACAGGTGCTCACATTATCACGAACACTTGGTATCACTGTTTTATCGTGATTCATAAACACATGCTTATGATAAAGAATGAATTGTACAACTACAACTACCTGCTATAATTGTGACTATTTTATATTTTACCACTTTTATTTCAGAAAAGCCAGATTCCATGTTCAAAAAGATGCAGCCTCGAAAACAACAAATCCAAGAAAAGGCCAAGAAAACCAAAGATGGTGGTGAGTAGATCGATGCTGCTTATGCTTTCATTAGACTCATATACAGTCCCTGCTGGCAGTATCGATCGAGATCGATGCCTTCAAAAAGTCTACACTCAGTGTATGTATGTTTTCGATAGACAGATAAATCTGACATGTTGTGGCGTAGGTGTCTTTTCTATCGATACAATCGGTGACGAGTTTTCTTTGTGACATGCATGCTGTAAAACATGTTAATTGCAAAATATTCCGTGATGGGGAACTACTTAATAAGTTATTTATTATTCCAAGCTATGAACTCACTGACCGCCGTTCACATGAACCTACATTCTAATACCACCACATATTTATTGCAGCTCTGGCAACCCTCTTCCAGAAGGCTGGTGCTTTTATGAAGAAGTTCTCTATCCGTAATCTGAAAATGGGGTCTATCTTGGATCTTCTAGAGATTCTTGGCCTTGACGAGAGTCAGGAAAAGATGGCCGAGGTCATAAGAACAATAAAGGTATATTTTGCAATGCTGGACTCATGTGAAGCATTGTTACTGTCTGTTTGGTGGGACTGTGGCGAACTTCCTGGACGATGACTGACAGTCTGTCCTATAAAATAGTATCGTGCTACCTGGACCATGACAATCTCACAAAGCAACCTCGATCTTAACTGGCGATGGAAGATCAGTGTAATAATATACTGTCCAGCTATTTGATAAGCTGTATCGTAAACAACCAACATACCATTTATCATAAATATGTGCACGTGTTCTGTGCTGCAGGAGATGGTCGACAACAAGCCGTGTTTCAACCCGTATCAGATGACGGACGACCAACTGAGGACGGAGCTGACAGAGAGAGGGATGAGGGCAGAGGGCACTCGGGAACATATGATCAACTCCCTCACCACGCCATCCAACTGTGAGTACACATGGTTCTTATAACTTACTGATATAATGTGGGGACTCGGGAACATGTGATCAACTCCCTCACCACGCCATCCAACTGTGAGTACACAAGGTATTCTTATACATTACTGATATAATGTGGGGACTCGGGCACATATGATCAACTCCCTCACCACGCCATCCAACTGTGAGTACACAAGGTATTCTTATACATTACTGATATAATGTGGGGACTCGGGAACATATGATCAACTCCCTCACCACGCCATCCAACTGTGAGTACACAAGGTATTCTTATACATTACTGATATAATGCGGGGACTCGGGAGCATACAATCAACTCCCTCACCAAGCCACCCAACTGTAAGTACCCATGACATTCTTATACCTTACTGACATAATGTGGGGACTCGGGAACATATGATCATCTCCCTAACCACGCCTTCAAACTGTGAGCACACTTGGCGTTCTTATAACTAACTGATATAATGTGGGGACTCGGGAACATATGATCAACTTCCTCACCCCGCCATCCAACTGTGAGTACACATGACATTCTTATAACTTACTGATATGATGTGGGGACCTGCGGACATATGATCACCTCCCTCATGTACTAAGCGTGATCAATATTGACAGGCTATTGTTAAAATCATATGAATAAAAGCACTTTTGTCAAGTGAAAAGATACCATTTCCCTTATATGCTAATATTCTTTTGTTATTGTGCAGCCTGTCCTCTCATGAAGATCTCCATGCCTAACAACATCTACTGTACATTTGACGACAAATGTCTTGGGCTGGAATGCTGCGTACATTTCAAACTCTTTGTGTTCCGAAAAACCTATAAAATATATTCAAGATTTGACCCCTGCGATTTGAAATTTTCTGTCGGTGCTGGGAAGTTCAACAAGTCGTTTGGAATTGACGGTGACCTAAAGGATATATATGCAGGTTGGTGACACTTGTTGAATTCACCCTCTATATATAACTCACAGTATCAAGGAAAACATTATGAAAAATGGATGCTGTGTTAGGAGTTAATTTGTTTTATTTTCCCTAAATGCACCAGAGTTTCAGCAAATATACAAATATTTCCAATAATGTTTCCAGATTTTGATTTCTTTGCTTTGCAGTTGATAACCTTTTGATTAGAGAAATTTTGAATTGCTTTGAATTATGCTTTTATGGTTAATATGAAAGATGGTAATGCTTATCTGTAAAACAATATTGAAAACATATTTTTCGGGAATTAAACATAATTCCAGCTTTGGAATGATAGCTTGTTTGTTTTCACTTTCTGTTTTATTAAAAACCGTTTTGTTTTACAGGACTGGAGAAAACAATTCCGACGAATGTAAAACTGGATATCTTAGGAGGAATAGAGCTGGTCATTAAGTATGAAGTTACTTCCTCACTTAACTGTTCATTGAAAATTCAACTTCGTGTTTTCAGTGATATAATACAGCCTCAACGAGATCGTTGACTTCAGAAATGCAACACGTTTTGAAACGTTTACCTAGAGGAAAATTCCATCAACGTATTTCAAGGCCAATTCGTATACCATTGGACCAACGTGGACCATTTTTAACCAAACTGTAACATTTTATAGCCGTATTATGAAAGTCAAGATTCTCCGTATTTTAAGAGTTAGATTATAGATCTATTGCCCCTTGTCTGAACTATGCTTGCATCATTCTTAATGGGTTATTTGACTATTTGCCTGGTGACCTGGTCATTTTAAAAACAATTCTAGGGTTCTGATGAGAAACATACTTTTCACTGCCTCAAAGCGTATTCGTCTGTACATACAATATGGACGTCAACTACCTTTCCCTTATGTTCACGGAGGGGATCGCCACACTCCCCACTTCGTAACTGGACTGGACTTTCGTCCAATCCAGACTGTGTTACAACCATGGAAAGAAATCGCCTCGTTACCTATGTACCACACTGGTGCTCAGTGGTCTAATGCGTCGCAATTCGCAAAACAGAGTTTCGCCCCCAAACTGATAGGATCCGCAGACATTTGGTTCGAATCCAAGATTTATCTTGATTAAAACCTTTCGTCTGTCAGAATCACACCTATCCAAATGTATAAACGCTTCACTGCTTCACTCTGAGCTTTTCTCCCGATTCAGACTGTAATGAAATAAATCACTTCCGTAGTTGTAACCGTTGTTTCTTTATGTTGCTATCATCGGGAGTTATGGCCTTGTCTTGGCTGTACTGGAGGAGTGGTTTATTATGACACCATTGCAGTTGTAGACATACATGTCTCACCTGTGAGGTGTGATGTTCAGATCCTACATTCTTCAGTATTTGTTCTTCAGAGTGAAGCTGGAGAAGGATGACACTGCTGCTCTGATCACAGTGGCCGCCGGCTTCTGTTCTCAGGATGACCACGAGAACTGCATCGCCTTCTTTAACATCCTTGACGAGTTTCCAACACCGCTACCAATATGTCATCCAGACGGCTCAATAACCTGGCCAGAGGGTAAATATCGTCATTAGTATTCATCATCTTGACGAAACTGTGTCAAAATATCCCTCTAATATCACACGAACGTGACTATTTCTGTGGAACATATCTGATACAGTTTCCTTATCGCAGGTATGAATTGCATATCCAGTATTGGGGAAGTGTCAAGTACTAGCCTAGTATTATATTTACTGTTTGATACAAGGTCAGGGGCGCTGGGCTGACCTAGTGGTTAAAGCGCTCGCTCGTCACGCTGAAGACCCAGGTTCGATTACCCACATGGGTACAATGTGTGAAGCACATTTCTGGTGTCCCCCGCCGTGATATTGCTCGAATATTGCTCAAAGCGGCGTAAAATAATACTCACTCACCGATAAAAGGTCACCCACTGCCTTTGGCGAAGTCATCACCAGAAGACACTTTTGCTGGAAAGGTAGCATACCACGATTACCACTTTCAGTTTAAGAGACGTCTTAAAGGGCAAGTTCACACGGAAATGAACCAATTTTTCTTGTACTTTTTCCACATTAAAAGTGTTAACATAGAAGTGTCATAGACAAAAATATAAAAACATCATATTTAATTAACATATTTTTTGCATTAAAACGATTTATATTTTTCACATTTACCAAGTGTTCTATTTCCATAACAAAAACACCATGGCTTATGCCCCTTGCAATATGACGTCATTGGTGCCAATTGATAAACATTATGACGTCATCATGCTTTGTTAGAGCCGCTTCACGTGGTGTAGGTACAGTTTTGTGATTCTAGCGTCTCAGATGCCAGCCAGAATTGTGTTATGCTGAGTCACTACTGCGCCGGAGTGTGTCGTAGACCATGTTGTTTTACCGCAAACTGGTCCTTGATATCTTTTGCGTTGAGAATAGACAGGGACCCAGTTGAATTGGCACCAATTACGTCATAATCTAAGGGGGATAACTCAGGCCTATTTCGCTCGTAAAACGAAGGCCTCATAACGGCATATCATTTTAACACTATTGTGAGCTTCCTACTTTCACTGTGAAAAAAAATTAGTGTATATTTTCAAACACAGATACTAATTAATTCTAAAATTGCGTTTCGTTTAGAAAAAGAAAGAAAGTGATTTTTGCGTGTACACTTCCCCTTTAAGTACAAGGCACAAACACAGCGTACATACATACATTACTGTTCATAAAAAACGTCCCCTCGATCGGGACGAGTCACGTTTATCAAAATCGATATCGCATACAAAAGTGTTCCAGTGATTGCGACCTTTTTGCGAATATCTCGCACGCATATCCTAATTGATGGGACGGTAATGTTTACAAAGGGGATGTCTAGAGGCTGTATTTAGTGACGACTGAAAATTGTATTGCTCGTTTGTTTTGTTCGTGTGTCAGTCTAACAAGCATCCGCTCCTTTCTTTGACAGTTGATTACAAGGGTCTGTTTGATAAGGAATCAATTAAGAGACGAATTCGTGAAAGTGCCAAAGAGTTTGCCAAAGATGCTATAAAGAAGGGCATCGAAGAACTACTTGACTTCATCCCGTGCATATCCCCTGATGTAAGTATGGCAAGAATGTGGTAATATTGTGACAGAAAATCAGTGTCGCTTTCCTGTTATCCACTGTCCTTTCAGCATGATGCAAATATGATGAACAGGAACAAATATAAAAATAACGTTGAAATATTTGAAAGGAAAGAAGGGACCATGTTGAAAAAGATTTTTTTTTTCTGGTGATCAGGTTAGAGTTGACATTTTCACTCGTGGCCACGCCAATCATGAACATATCAATTCCAACCACGTCACACGATAGTATAAACATTAAACAGACTCCATTAAATATACTCTCTATAATCTTTAAGTTATTGTAACTTGCATATATGATCTCGGCAGAATGGACACTTTAGTTCGTATTTATCGGTACTCCTAAACAGTGGTACCCAGGTCTAAATGAGTTAAAGTGGTAAAGTGGTAAACAAATTAGAAAGTACACATGATTGCATTTAAGGCTCCAGGCAAGACAGATCCCTGTCCCAGACCTGAGGCCCTGACTCGGGATATCCTCAAGCAGAAGCTCCAGCAGCGGGGATTGCAGATCACGGGCACAAGACAGGAACTGGAGCAGAGGCTCAGAGTTGGACACAAAAGTGAGCGCTTCATGATAAGGAGAAGTTCTGTTCATATTAAAAAAACATATACCATTTGGTGAAGAAGAGGTCTGGCACAATATACTCTATGATCTCCCAACACATATTATAAAACAAAAAAGCACGTACTGTGCACTTGGTGGTAAGGAAGGTTGTGGGAAACTGTTCAAATGCAAATATATCGCATTAAGAAAGTATGGCATTTTACGGTTGGAATTCTGTTGTCAATTTGTGCAGGTCTCAGGATGATGGTTTGGATTTGACAATAAAAAGATTGTACAGTACATGTTTGAGTTATTCAATATACTTGTACAAACAATTTGCACACTAGCAATACACGAGTATGGTATGATTTGTAGATCTGATTGTATTGAAGATGAATATCACTTTTTATGTGTATGTCCAGTGTATAATGATTTAAGAGAAAAATAACTGAAAACAATTTTTACCATAATCCAAATGGTAACGTATTAGGAAAATTTAATGACGTGTGATTGTACAGAAACTACGAGAAATTTATCAATGGTCATTTATCATGCTATGAAACTAAGAAAATGTATGAATTTGTAACACGCCCCAGACAATGAACTATAGGCCTTTGGCCTCATCATAATAAAGATTGATTGAACGAACACTTTTCATAGAGGGATATGGAACATGAACGTTCACAATATATAATGTTTAACTTTTATAGTGAAGCAACATACCTAAACGATAATGAAATATATACATGTATTTCGAATCATAAACAATTCGTAAAACAAATCAATCCTGAACATTATGCAATGGAATGTATAGTAATTATAAATATACCGCATGGCATTGTGTACCCCCAGCTTGCAGATTGCTGAACAGGACAGTGACCCTCCCAACAATAACAAACGAGAAGATCAATAAGGTCGTTTACATGGAGATAGCCCCGGACTGTCTGCGGTTTGATGCGTGTGTTGACATTAAGATCGAGAAGCTGAATTTCAACAAGGCCGTCAACGCTTACATACAACTTGACCCTTGTAAATTCACAATGACCGTCAACTTTGAGGACTGCACTACGACAGTAATACTGCTGGGATACGACTGGGGTAGGTAGTGGTTTGTAAGTTAAAACTATTTTGGAAAACTGTGAGTCCTTTGATTCAAGCACTATGATAATTTGAATACAGTTAACTAATGAATCGCACCAATGTCATTTGAGTGAGTCAGTGATTCAATGATTGTTTTATGCGCAAGATCAGCAGATCCATAGTATAATGGTATATAGTTGAATGCAGTGTAATCATGAATTACCATAAAGACATGTATTACAAATAAATGTTCTTTACCAGAGTTGTAAAAATACAATTGTTACTAGCATGCGATTGCTTCTCCACATGCGATGAGGCTTGATGATAAGAGGCGTCAGCATCACATCGTGTTTGCTTCATAGAGATCTTCATCCCGTTCACATGTAACACATTTTCAAGTATACAACACTACTGTTTAGCAAACTATATGATATGTCTGCCATTCCATTTACAGGGAAAGAGAAGACCACTAAACTGAACGACTGGGTTTCCATAAGGTAGGAAAATGAGAGCACCTTTCGTATCTTTGTTATATCCATTCGGTCTCCCTTTGAGGAAACGGTGTTGTCAGCAATAATTGTTTTTACAATTTCATTGAATATAGATATGTGCAAGGTTTCACGTCCGGAGACATGCATAATGGCAAACTGTCGATCCTAACACTACGTTTTTTTTCTGAAATATGTAAATCATGATAAATGAGGAGAATGAATAACTACTCAAATGCAAGACATATTATGAGGATGGGACTGTTTCTCTACAAATTATCAATCTTTCCTACTGGTAAAAGATAAATTGATGTATTTTATTTCTGAAGTGCCTTTCTTATAAAATGTGTTTGTTTGTTTGTTGTTTAACGCCGCACTCAGCTATATTCAAGATATATATGTTGGCGGTCTGTAAATAATCGAGTCTGGACCAGACAATCCAGCGATTGATATCATGAGCATCGATTTACACATTTAGGATACGATGACATGCATCACCCAAGTCAGCAAGCCTGACCACCTGAACCCGTTAGTTGCCTCTTACGGCAAGCATATATACGCCTCTATAGGGCAAGCATGGGTTGCTGAAGACCTATTTTACCCCGGATCTTCATAGGACTATAAAATTAGCAGACGAATGAATTAAAGCGGCGTATCACGTCGATTTATTATAGAATCGCATTTGGACCATCCAAACAAGTAGTGGATAGCAATAAAAATTATTCAACTCGTCAAGGTACGATGGCCCAGTTTTATCAGGTCACATAGCAACACCCCACACCCCATGTGTGTGTGGTACTGAGATATTTCGAGCGGATTTCTTCGACCAATAGTGTAGTGACGATATGAGTCAGTCAATCATAGACCACACTATCACTGCGTCATGTTTACCCTTCTCCAGATACACCATTGACAGAAGTGAAGCAAGGAAGGTTTTTGTGATTGACATGGGTCTACAAATCAGTGTTGGAGCATCGGAACCGATTCTGGACAGTTTGTTGATCGAAAAACTAGATGTACCTATTCCCATTTGTAATGAAAACTTCTCTCTGCCGGGTAAGTGTCGAAAACAGTAGTTACTTTTATCAATTCATTGTATTACTCAAAGTCGAAATATTCTGAACCATCCATACAATAAAACTCACTTAGTCGGAACCAGGCAGTCTGGAAATCCAGCCTTCCGATCGAATACTGTAGGAAAATAGAGGAACCTATGTGAACGAATTCAATAGGGTCGATGCTGGGGTTTCGCTATATACCCTATGTTTAGTAGATATGCATTCATCACGCGCATGACATCTCTAACAATGCCAATCATTTGGTTAAATTCAGCTCAATATGAAGAGGTAACATCGTCAGCTTCAAATGCATAACCATTTCATAAATGTCTGATTAAAGGAAGCGGATCTCTGAAGAAGCTTGCGGAGGAAATGGGAGGAAAGCTAATCAGAGAAGTTGTAGATGTGGTGTTTCGAAAACTTGGACTGGATGTAAGTTTTCAGAACCGACTATTGGCTTATATGTCTCCATGAACTTTCTACAAACACACACACTGATCTTTGATGCGAAACTGAAGTATGCTATGAACTATGTAACTATATTACCCACAAGGGTAGAATAATCGGGTGTAATAACTGACATTTGCACATGTGCATTTTGTCAGTGTATTCACCCGGGATTATAATCCGTAATTCCTCGCAGCTAGTGGTTATTCTCTATATCTACAATGAAAGTGCCAGGTGCACCCAGGACACAAATGTTGTTATTAATGTTTTGAACCTTTTTTTCAGAAAGTTCTGTTAGACGGAAGCTGTGCAGCATTAACACCCAAACCAGGTAGTATGACAATTCCGTGAAGATCCGGGGTAGAATAAGGTCTTCTACACGCTTGTTGTAAGAGGCGACTAACGGGGTCGGGTGGTCAGGCTCGCTGACTTGGTTGATGTAAGTCATCGTATCCCAATTACGTGGATCGATGCACTTGACATAAATCACTGGATTTCCTGGTCCAGATTCGATTACTTACAGACCACTGTCACATAGCTGGAATATTGCTGAATGCAGTGTTAAGGAACAAACAAACAGCAGGAAGTTAAAAATCTATGTATACATTTTATGTTTGTGTTTTACAGAATGTATGTATGGAATCATTTGTTTTCATTATCTGGTAGACCTGAAAGTAATAGATGTTTAGTGTAGACAAAGTAAGAAACACAAAAACAAACTTTAAAGACTATCACTCCCACAAAACCATTCCGAATCAGTTATAAGTTGTAGATAGTTAAAGCCAACTTCATATATCAATACATTTTATTAACCCTGTTGATAAATACATAGTGAGACCTTAACTCGAACTTTATATGATATTTGTGCTTTAAGGCGATGTGATATAGTGATTGAGGTCCAGTCTGTATATGCACTATCGTTTAATATTGATACTCCGCTTGTCCCGAACGAGAGATAACTCGATATACTTTCGATGGTCCTTCGACCTTGAGACTAAATAAGGTTTCATTGCACGACCTAATACACGCACATAAATATTATATGACCGACCCAGGTGGTTGAGTAGACGATATCGTTTGTATTACTACAATATTTAATATAAACTGACGGCCAAAAGAAACGTTACCAACGATATTTCTAGGATAAAATATGACCAACACAATTTGAAGCAGCTATAACAAATGTATTGTAGAAATGCATCATTCAGAACAGTAAAATGCGAATTACTAATTCAACAACAAAGTCCTTGACCTCCAACAGGGACATTTCTTGACAAGGGGTCATTCGTCCAGTATTCGATCAACAACATTTGTTACAACTAAGGTGACGACGGCCCAGACCATTCAATACGGGATATGACCTCGAATGCGGCGTCGAACTGAGTAGACAAGCGTCCTCACATCGACTGCAGGTATCCGATTCCATTCCTCACGGAGGGCAACGATCAACGCTTGTCTCGTGAAGGGAGGATGTTGACGTTTCCGAAGACGACGCCCAAGCTGGTCCCAGAGATGTTCTATGGGTGACAGATCTGGTGATCGAGCTGGCCACGGCAGGACAGTCACATTGTTGGCGTTGAGGAAGTCTCTAGTAATACGGGCTTTATGGGGTGTGGCGTTATCTTGTTGGAACACCGTCCGTTGTTGTCGCTGGATAAAAGGAAGAACCACTGGCCGTAAGATATTGTCAATGAAGCGTTGTGCTGTCAGATTGCCTTCGATGATGACAAGTTCCGTCTTCTCGTCCCCGCAAATGCCGCCCCAGACCATCACACTTCCGCCCCCGTAAGATTCCACCTCCTGGACACAACAAGGAGCCGTACGTTCACCACGTCGTCGATAAACTCGCGTCCGCCCATCAGGTTTGAAGAGTTGGAACCTGCTCTCGTCACTAAACAGCACTCGCCGCCATTCCCTTCGTTGCCATCGATGAGTTTGCCTGCACCACGTCAATTAGGCACGTCGATCTTGACGGGTCAAGGTCATGCCCTTGAAAGGGCGATAAGCCCGGAGACCATAATGTCGTAGTCGTCTGGTCACTGTTTGTCTGCTGACCGGATGTCCTAAGCTGTTGGAAACTGATGACGTCACAGTAAGAAATCTGTTCCTCAGATGAAGTACCCGTAAAAAGCGGTCATCCTGCGGGGTCGTGACCTTTGGTCTGCCACTCCGTGGTCTGTCTGCAGTTCTGCCAGTCTGTCTGGTAATAGTCATCTTGGAGCAGTTCATGTTTATGGCAACCGCTCTCTTTGTCGCTCCCATCTGCAGCACACCTATGGCTCTCTCCCTCTGGACAGCGGTCAGTCTTGGCATGTTCGTTGGTGTTAATCATCGCAACCAATGATAGTGAACAGATCCGTGCATAATTTATACCCGGAAATTGCACGATAATTTGGGAAAGAATGTTTTAAAAATTGCTGAAAAACACCAATATCTCCCAAAATCCGCAAAGCACGTGCAAAGAACGACAGGGCACATGAAGGCTGTATTCGTGAGATGTGTTCTTTACTGTTTTTGAACAGGTTGGCATCTTTGTTTCAAAGTGGCAAATCAGTTAATGTTGGTAACGTTTCTTTTGGCCCTGAGTTTAGTTGAAAACGTCTACATTTATGTTCAAAAACATTTTAACTTGGCATGATGACCTCAAACTGTCTGTTTTCCCCAGACTGCCCTTGGTCCCTCCCAGACTACAAGAAGCTCCTACCCGGGAGTTTCCGGGACAACGTCAACTGTAAACTGCCGGACAACTGTTTCGGTGTAGAGTGTTGTGTGGACTTCTCCTTCAACATCCCGCTGTTTGAGACCCCCCTCGTCAAGCACGTCCCCTTCTTCCTGAAGTTTGAGCCGTGTAACTTCACTGTTGAGGTCGGCTTCGGGAGCTACTACCATAAGGAAAGACTGTTGACATACAACTGGGGTAAGTCGTTTGACTGTTGACATGCAACTGGGGTAAGTCGTTTGTCTGTTGACATACAACTGGGGTAAGTCGTTTGAGTATTGACATGCAACTGGGGTAAGTCGTTTGACTGTTGTCATACAACTGGGGTAAGTCGTTTGAGTGTTGACATACAACTGGGGTAAGTCGTTTGACTGTTGACATTCAACTGAGGTAGGTCATTTGACTGTTGACATATAACTGGGGTGAGTCGTTTGACTGTTGACATGCAACTGGGGTAAGTCGTTTGACTGTTGTCATACAACTGGGGTAAGTCGTTTGAGTGTTGACATGCAGCTGGGGTAAGATATTTGACTGTTGACATACAACTGGGGTAAGTCGTTTGACTGTTGACATACAACTGGCGTAAGTCGTTTGACTGTTGACATCTAATTTCAACCTGCTTTTTTTCTTCTTCTTTTGTGCACCGTTCTAAGTTATTAATGTGTGTTATTGCTCATGTTTATGACGTATTTCGTGCCATATATGTGTGTGAAGGCATCCGTGTGTGATTTCAGGTGCTAACTAGGGGCATAATCTATACATGATTAAATTTTCTGCTTATGTCACCAAGGTCAGACATGGTCCCGGGTACCTAATTCTATCGGGAAGAGTTGACTGATATTGGGACCTAAGTTGACCGATTCTGTGTCTTCTTTTCCCGATGACGTGATCGGGACTTGTTTGCCTGATTAGTTTATCTACCGGCCGTGATGGTGTGGCTGGAATATGGCCAAACATTTATCGATTCATTCGATGTCGATAACGTCTCGGGCAAATGAAACATACATGTGTCAATCATTAGTTTCAAAATATACACTATACATTTCGAAATAGTATTTATTGATGTTCTTTAATAGATTTTTAATATTTTACGCTTCATTTATATTTTCCCTAGGGACTGAAAATCAACTGCAAATAGGTAATGGCAACCCATCTCCAGTGATCATCAAGTGAGTAACCTTTTTCACATTTAGAAAATCTTTATATTCGCTCTGCAGGAACATACAAAATGATATATTTCTTGCATGGCCATGAACAAAACTCTAAATATATAGACGGTGACAGCTTCTGTGTATTTTATCTATTCAAGATTCACGATCTCCAAGTATCCCAAAGGTTTCCTCGTTGACCTGAGTGTGCACACGTGCATCCCTATAGATGGTAACAGCTTCTGTTACCCAGAAGGAGGCATGACGCTAATGAATCAGGAGAAGATACCTGCCTGTGATGCTAATGCGCTGGTCGAGTTCACAAAACAAAGTAAGTCCACCTTAGCACAGAAATGCTTATTTACATTCACTGACAAGGTGTTCGTGATCAGTCTGCTGAACACAAGATCTAACTTTGAACTTTAAATGTGTCTACCTTTTGTCACCGTGTAATTCAATTTTTGTCATTTTTATTCATTTTTTACTTACTTCAGAGGAACTATAATGTTGTTTCCAAATTTTGCAAATTGTATTTTTCATGTTCCATTTTGCATGTAAGAGGTTTGATGCGATATGATTCACGTTAATGAAAAGGTATGAGAGTTATTTGTTTTCATGGTTAAAAGGGGATTGTTGCCTATGGTTGTAGATTTCTCAGTTTCTGACTGGCTGCGCGACCTTGACCTTGACATCAACCTGAAGTCCCTCTCCCAGGCAGCTGCCAGGATGCTACTGGACAAGTTCGGCATCTCCGAGTACCTGCTGGACCAGAGATGCGATGTGTCTAGACCACCATACAGCCCTAGTGTTGACGGCTGGAGGAATGGTATAAAAAGTTTAATTTTCCAAACACGAATCAATTCCGTTTTGGTTGGGTAACCTAATGATGAAAGTGTTAGCTCGTCACGTAGAAGACTCGGGTCCGATTCCCCATTTAAGTACAATGTGTGAAGCCCATTTCCGGTGCCCCCGCCGTGATATTGCCGGAATATTGCTAAACTCGGCGCTTTAAACAATACTCACTCACTCACTCTAAGACAATTTCACAGTTCAGCGTGCAGATAATCTTGTAACATGGGTTTAGATGATTGAATCAACGGCCCTGAATATATTGACAACCAGAAGTTTCCAGTCGAATGTACCTCTCTGAATAAGAACGAAAAACATGATATTTTCATACACAGAATATTACCAACCAGGGAATGAATTACACGTTGTGCTTCAGAATGCCCCAAGAGTATTGGCAAGCTGCCCAAGCTTCCAACAGATCTGTACTGCCACCTAGCGGACACATGCACCAAGATAAACTGCTGTTTCCACGTCCCCTTTCTGGAGATGTCCTTCAACGCCGTCCTGAACGTCGATATGTGCGACTACGTCATTTATGCTGCCATCGAGAACAAAACTACCACCATAGGAATGTTAGGGGTTGATATTGACCTTGATGCTGGTACGTGGCCTGGTGTCGGCTAAGATACTGCTCTGTATTTGATGTGGATAAATGTTAAAAGTAGTAGCGAGGTTTATTTAACTCACTCCAATCTCAAGAAAAAAACTCTCCTTTGTAATATGAGGCTGATCCAGATACTGGTTTTCAAGAATATAATGCCATTCTATGTACTTACATTACAAAACAGACGTGCCTTAAAATGTTTCCGTAAGCTTATCATTACCTGAGTTATTATCTGATTCTCATCATCTGATGGTTCATCTCCAGGTACATCAATGATGCTGGACATCGCCGATGTCTTCCAGATCAAGTAAGCTACTTTTCAGGAGTGCTGGTAATATTAGCCTCAGTAATGTACTTATATGGTGTAATAAGTGGAAATGTGTTCTGGTGTAAATAAAAGTTTCAACATCTGCCATACGATCAAAAAGTTTATCATTTTCATTAACACAGATTTGGTTTGAAGAAGAAAGACAAGGTTCTGCTCCTTGATCTTGACATTGAGGTGTGCTTGGAGAAGGATTCCTGCCTCTTCTCCACGCCTATTATGAAGGGAACCGAAGTTCCACAGCTTGTCTGCGACCTTGATGCCAGGTGGAATCTAAAGAGTAAGCCAGATCTTTTTTATGGTGCCCCCGTCCGGAATCTGGATACTACATAACTTCATAATGTATCTGACCAACTCTGAACAAATAATGTTGTTTAGAACTTTGAAATGTATGCACCAAAGTTGCATAGGTAACTTGGGTGGGTCTTGGTAGTGACATATAGCTACCCACTCAGTTGCGTTAGACATTCAATGACAAAGTATCACAGTTTGGAAGGTTATCCCTTTAGTATTTCCAACACATAGTTGTAATTTTCAGAGGCTAAACTATTTGAAGATGGGGATCCTGGGCGTAGGGTGTTGGGATGATTGCAAGGTGTAGGGGTAGGGGTGTAATTGGTGTGACAGTGTTCCATTAAATCTACCTACCTATCCACCCATACCCCAATTCACCCTTACATATATCTACCTACCTACCAATAATGTTTCAATCTCCAGACTTCAGTATATCAGACTGGGCCAAAGCCAGGGGACAGGACTTGACCAAGGGTCTGGCACGGACAGCTGTGAACCTTTTGTTGGAACAGCTGGGTATCAAGGACAAGATGCTGGATCCACCCTGTAACCGCACCAGTCTCAAGTACCAGCCAGCTGATGCGGGCAACTGGAAGAATGGTCATTATCATTAGTCACTTTCATTGCACAAATAGGGCACACTGACTATGTAACCTTATTTTTACACACCATGAATAACATATTTCAATAACATTACATTCAGGTAATTAGGCACGCATGCGCGATGCCCTGAATAGTGTGTTTTTGTCTTAAGTCTTTTTCACATGCATGTTTGGTCTATTAGACGATTTAGTTCTCTGTTTAAAATGATGCGTGATTTACATTTTGTTATAGTGACAATAAGAGGTTGGGGACCACGTGGCACTCATTGGCATCTCAAACAAATTTGGGTCATGTAATTCAAACTCCCTTTTGTATGTCTGTAAAAATATAATGTTGTTAGATTAACAATCAAGATATTAATCATTACCCTATTCACACACAGACACTCAATTTGACACAAATTACTCAACAGGTCAAGACCTGTATCTGGGATCATGGCTTCTCTTTAAAATATTATCATCTTCATCCTTATTTCAGATTGTGACTTGGGCGGCAGTGCTGTCACCCTCCCAGCAATAACTCTTCCCGCCAACTGCCACATCAACGACAAGTGTCTGGGGATAGACTGTTGTCTCCATAGCAACGTCCTTGACCTGTCTCTTCACACGGCCTTCAACATTGACCTCTGTAACTACCTTATTGAAGGCTCCATTGAGAAGTTCAGCTTTAAGCACAGCATTCTGAACTCTATCTGGGGTATGTCTTATGTGAAATAATTTGTAATAAGAAGACTTTACAGAAAATACAAGATGAAAGTTTAACGATCGAAAAATATGAAAAAATACGAAAGAAGAAAGAGGAGATGCATCATGTTGTTTTCTGCGTTTTTTACGGTAACGTTTTTCGGTTTGTACGGTACATAGTCTTGTTTCAGGAAAAGAAGAAGTAATTACATTCGATGGTGTTCCTCTTCTCAAACTGAGGTAAGTGTTGACAAGGTTATTTTACATCTAATACTTTGCCATCATTACATGTTCTTGGCTTTTTAATGCCGAGCGGTCTGGTTGTCTAGTGGTTAAAGCGTTCGCTCGTCACGCCCAAGACCCGGGTTCGATTCCCGACATGGGTACAATGTGTGAAGCCCATTTCTGGTGCCCCCCGCCGTGATATTGCTGGAATATTGCTAAAAGCGGCGTAAAACCATACTCACTCACTCACTCACTTTTTAATCACCTGCAAACATGGACATTCAACTTATCTTGGCCCAGACAACAAATCCGATAATACACATGTATATAATCTGACTAAAGCTGGTTACATGTACCTTCAGGTGCATGAAGTTATTTTGAAACGTTTCAATTAAGAAATGACATTTTTGCGTTTAGGGAGATAATAAAAATAATGTAGGAACCGGTAGTCAATTTTTATAATAAGTTTACAGCTTATTTAATCATGAGCACATATTATAGAGAATATGCCACATCAATGACATCTTTACGAAGAATAAACCACGCCCACTCTGTCATCAAGCGATCAGAAAACCGTAATCCGCTAGAGGGGTGATATAATTTTGGATGGTTTATGGAAGCAAAAAACATAAAACACATTACTTTGGTAGCTAATCAAATGCCATGGAATTGTGAAAATACTCAATGGCCGGATGGTTAGGTCGGTGATTTGGATGATTGTCTGGTATCGACTCGGGTTTCAAGAGACAAGCAAACAAACACTGTTAAATTGTCCCATGAGTTTGATTTAGAAAACCAAACATTGAAGGCCGAACAGTATCGGTCCATGCATCAATGCTTGTTAGAACTACAGCTTTGATGTATTCGACATTTTCTGAACTCCCACAGATGGTCCATTGTTTTGTCTATCTGTGTGTTTAATTCACAGGTTCAAGATTGATCGGCTTCTGTCCCAGCAAGTGTTCATTGTGGATCTGTCTGCGAGTCTGTGTCTGGAGGGAGATGACTGTGAGCTGGATCTGAAGGTGCTGGATCAGACACGACTTCCCATGCCAGGCTGTGCCAAGTTCCAGGGATTCAAACTACAAAGTAAGAGAACAGTGTCGGGATATGGCGACGTTACGATATATAATTTAACATCGAACATTAAGGTTAACTCACTCACTTAAAGGAAACTGTGGCCCACTAAGTTATACTTATTTTGACCTTATATATCGGAGGGGCGGTGGGGTAGCTCGTCACGCCAAAGTGAGTGAATGAGTATGGTTTTACGCCGCTTTTAGCAATATTCCAGCAATATCACGGCGGGGGGCACTAGAAATGGGCTTCACACATTGTACCTATGTCGGGAATCGAACCCGGGTCTTGGGCGTGACGAGCGAACGCTTTAACCACTAGGCTACCCGACCGCCACGTCACACCAAAGACACGGGTTCGATTCCCAACATATGTACAATGTGTGAAGCTAATTTCTGGTGTCCCCTGCAGAGATATTGCTGGAACATTGCTAAAATCGGCGTAAAACCATACTCACTCACTTAAACTTCGGATGTTGTTTGTTAACAGTCAATCCACAGATCTAAAATATGAGTTATTGTATTGAATATTAATTTTTCTGGAACCATGTCCATTTCTTCTTCAGATTTCTCTCTGAGTGAGTGGCTGAGGGAAAAGGGCGGTGAGATCACAGCTCAGCTGTCAGCAGTCCTGCTGGAAGAGCTCGGTATCAAACAGTTCCTACTGGACAGACCGTGTCAGGACTACCTGGAACCGTACAGGGGCGCTGTGGGGGGATGGAACAATGGTAGGTGTCCCACTGAGTGAATGTTGTGATGTAGCTGATGGCACATAAGTATTTTGTTTGTCATCGTCATCGTCTGTGGATTCTATTTTACAAACATGGGTGGGATGTTTAATTCAGAGAAAGCTTTACTGGTCAATACCTGCTGGTATAATTTCTGCTTTATTGATTCATAGGGTTTGGGTAACTTTTGAGATGCATACATTCATTGCAACCTTTTTTTCACAAGATTTCTTTAAAAAAAAGCCAAAGATAATGACAATGGTTATGCATTGCGCTGAAATCCGGGTCTTGAAGAAATATATCAGCTTGATATAGTCCTGCTACATGCATGTAAACGGTTTCTGAATGATAAATCGTCCGCGTAAATATGAGGTATTAGACTATTGTTCATGGTTTCGGTAATCTAGCATATTTAGAATTTGTGTGTGGACGACATCACAATGCACAAGAAACCGACTTGTATTTTTATTAGTTTAAATTTGTCCTGCTTATGGTAATATGTAATTGTACCAAACAACTAATTTTTAACTATATTCTATTAAATGAACATGCTTTCATAAATGAAATATAATAAAGGTAGGAATGTATTTGTATTGTGTACATCAAGTAAGAAATACAATTATAAATGTTTTAGCATAAAAACCTGCATGTACCTTGTCGTATACTAAGGCCTGGAAACAAACTGACTGATTGAACTCAGGATAGAGGGGGTATCAGTATGGCCGTCAGTTGATTTAATCAGGTAAGAATGTACCTAATTAATTTTGACTGTTTGACAGTGTACATTGAGTGTCCAGTCATATGGTATAATGAGTGTAGATATGTTGAAAAATTGCAGCTTGTCCTGAGAACATCACCCTGCCAGCTCTGCCTCCCAACGTCTTCTGTCACGTGACCGACTACTGTACCGGGGTCACGTGTTGTGTCAAAGCGTCACAGGTCAAACGGAACTTCAATGCCTACCTCTTCCTGGACTCCTGTAACTACAACTTGAGAGTCGGTATTGAGAAGCTGGAGTTCAGTCACACACTGTTTAACTATACATGGGGTAAGTTGTACACTGTTTAACTATATATGGGGAAAGTTGTACACTGTTTAACTATACATGGGGTAAGTTGTACACTGTTTAACTATACATGGGGTACGTTGTACACTGTTTAACTATACATGGGGTAAGTTGTACACTGTTTTACTATACATAGGGTAAGTTGTACACTGTTTTACTATACATTGGGTAAGTTGTACACTGTTTAACTATACACGTGGTAAGTTTACACTGTTTTACTATACATGGGGGCAGGTGTACACTGTTTAACTATACATGGGGTAAGTTGTACACTGTTTTACTATACCCGGGGTAAGTTGAACACTGTTTTACTATACCTGGGGTAAGTTGAACACTGTTTAACTATACACGGGGTAGGTTGTACACTGTTTAACTATACACGTGGTAAGTTTACACTGTTTTACTATACATGGGGGCAGGTGTACACTGTTTAACTATACATGGGGTAAGTTGTACACTGTTTTACTATACATAGGGTAACTTGTACACTGTTTTACTTTACATGGGGTAAGTTGTACACTGTTTAACCATACATGGAGTAAGTTGTACACTGTTTAACTGTACGTGGTGTAAGCTGTACATTGATAACATCAGATGGGTACATCTGACACTGTTACAATAGATACTCAAAATCAGTTCACTATTCAAAGCAGGCAAAATGACAACATGTGGAATACTTCTTCACAAACCTTTGCACACATCCCATCCTTTTTCTGGTAACTCCAGGTGAAATAGACTTTTGCAAAATATTTTAAAAAGATAAACATAGTGAATGATCGCATCATATTCTAATTCATCTGAAATGGTGGTCCACATTTTTTTCGGGGAAGGTTTGGGTTTAATTAAAATTAATGGGAAATATACACCTGTCATTGTACAGGTGAGTTCATAAATGCGTTGGTATTGATTACAATATGTTATTCTTCAAAGGTGAAACAGAAGTTATTGATCTTGGAGGACTTGTACGAATTGAGTAAGTATTTTAGTTATTACTGTACAGTTAACATCTAATCAGTTTAAATAAGTGATATTGAAAGGGATACACATCTGGTGCTGACGAGAACTGTTTGGGTTTAGATCTGAATCAACTTTCCATTGTCATGTTCAATGGTAGTCTAGCTCGCTGTCTTGGTTGAAGCATGTCATCGATTCCAATTGCGTGGATAGATGCTCATGATATCAATCACTGGATTGTCTGGTCCAGACTCGATTATTTACAGACCGCCGTCATATGGCTGGAATATTGCTGAGCGTGGCGTTAAAACAACAAAACGAAACCAAACCAAAACCAATGCTAGTCTGGAAAGTTGATTGTACTATAGTGTGAGTTAAAGAACGATTTACAGTTCTGATAGAAATATTTACATTTCAGATATACCATCAACTCGGGTCAGAAGAAGTTCCTGGTGAACCTGAGCCTTAAGGTGTGTCTGACTGCTGGAGAGGAATGTCAGTTTACCTTCCCTGTGTTCACAGACATGATCCTACCTAAACCATTCTGTGACTGGGAGGCCACCAAACAGCTACAAAGTAAGTGTACCATTGGTAGCCTTTTTATTTATGTCTCATATTGCTGGACTGATGTGGGCCTAACATTCCAGTGGAATTATTATTTACATGTATAAGAATGAAGTAATTTATACATTGAAGGACATGATTATATAGTGTTTCTCAATCCTGTCATTTGTAATCATAGAAATATCCATATTAGAACATAGTGACTACGTGCTAGAACATGATAGCTGTAAGTAAAGACACGAACTTATATAAGAACGTTATGTCAAATGATGTTACTTTTCTTCAGATTTCTCCCTGAGTGAGTTTGTGACATCAGAAGGCGCTGCATTGGCGGACAGACTGACGGACGCCCTGGTAGACAAGCTGTTGGACACTCTGGGTCTTTCAGACTACGTTCTGGAACCTCCGTGCTCCATGGATGAGCGAGGCGCAAATGGTTGGAACTCAGGTCAGGAAACATTTAAAGAAAAATCACATTTATTCGAACATTAAACTAAACAAAAAAAATCAAAAAAATAATGCAACAACACCTTTTCCAAACTCATAAAGAAATATGTGTCAAGGGCACTATAAAGACATTATAAAATCACTATCATTATAGTGATGATGCCAGTTGTTCGCAAGTTGTTCCTGTGCCACCGGTAGCATCCATAACAAACACGTGCAAAGGCAAGTCAAGTGGACATGTGAACAAACATGCACGGGAACATTCGATACTCAAAACAGGAAATTGCATCGACTTAATTTTGACCTTTGATGCGTTAAAATTTGGAAATGTCCTCCACTCTTAAATTATACTTAGGTCTTGTATGTTTTAACCTTAATCAAACAACGTTTGGCCAATATTCAAATGATGCTCTTGGCAATTTTCGAAGAAAGAGCAAACGCGACCGTAAAGGTTATGAAATGTACACAACAAAGGCTGAAGCGGCTTGACAGTTATCAATCGTAAAGCTGAATGCATCTCACATACAATCTTGGGGATAGTTTCTTTTGCCCTTCTGAAGGTCTATGCATAGATCTAAATTCATCATCTGGTAGGCCAACTGTCATTGTTTCTGTGGAAAAGCCTTTGGCCAGGAAAGTTCTTGAACAGTTATGCAGTGAAATGAAGTGATATTTATTCCTAATTCGTGTTCGTTGCAGACTGCCCAAAACAGGTTTCACTCCCAACACTACCAGACTCTGTGTCCTGCAGTCTCCCCGACCACTGTACAGGAATAGACTGTTGTCTCAGTGTGCCCCTCATCAGTCGAAATGTCCACTTCAAGGTCGATCTGGACATGTGCAAGATGACCCTCACACTAGCCATAGAGAAGCTGGAGTTTAGTAGACTGCTCTTCAACTACCAATTTGGTAGGCGAAATGTGATTTATTAATAACCTTGGTGACAAAGTCGTAGACCAGAACATCCAATATTCTTTGTTATTAGGAACGGCCAATGTGCCATCATATATACTTTTCAAATCAGTGTTTTCCTTTTTCTTTCTTCAGGAACACCTGAATCGTTCAATCTGAAGGGAATATTCCGAGCAGAGTAAGTTATTCAAATATTTATATAACGTTGTAGTAAGTTGCTGCTGTCATGGCTGCTTATCGAATATGGCCTGAAGGAAACCTGCCTAGTCTAACCTTACCTAATCAGTCTTAAATTAGTGATGAATGTGAGTCATAACTTAATGTTATCATAGTGCCTTGTATTTGAAAAAAAAAAAATCATTTTTCAGTTTCACCATCGACAACCTCGAGGGAGAGAAACAATTCCTTGTCAGTCTCAACATCAGTGCCTGTTTCGAGGCTGGAGGGAAGTGTCTGGTTGCCCTACCTGTGTTAAACCAAGCCAGATTCCCCAACCCTGGATGCGACTGGAACTCAACACTATCCCTCAAAGGTAAGTCAGTGGACACTGGGTAATTCAACAGTTAACATAAGAACTACATTGTGTAAGGAAATATCCCACGCATCATGCTTTGTGTATCATGTAGTACATAACTTCGTTTGGTTTGAGTATCCCTATGTAACAATAGACTAGTACTCGAGAGACAATAATAAAAAGAGGCATGACCATTGCCTACATTAATGATAAACCTTGTTTGATCACCTCAGTGTATCAGTTGACAAGACCCGAGAAACAGTAATACTAGAAGACGAATGTCTATAAGGAGGCTTGAGTTTAGCATGATAAACAATTGACTTTTATGAACTTTTAATTCAAATTAACCTTTTAATTTTAAAATAGTAATATCACTTCATATTCAATTGACAAATTAGATTATGATAAACCGGATTTTGCTTAAGCATGTAATTCAATGTATGATAAGATCGGATACGATAATAAAAGAAGACACCACCATGGCTTACATCACAGTCTAATGGTGAATGTAGATTGCTAACGTAAACTCACTGTATCCAACTTGTTATTTTAAATTGTACATTAACATGATATGATGGTTATGCATGTACACTATCTTATTATACTCCATTATTCACAGGTTTCTCCCTGAAGAACTGGCTGAGCAATAACAATCTGAACATTGGTCAAGTCTTGACCTCAGCATTCCGGTTCCAGCTGTCTCTAGCCCTGGGCATCTCTGAGTACCTCCTGGACCCCATGTGTGACAGACAGAGGGGGATATACAAGGCGGACGCTACAGGGTGGAATAATGGTAAATGGCTCTAGAACTTTGCAAAATAATATTCTCATCCAATTGCTCACATGTAGAGAAATACCGATGCTACTAAACGTAGGAACCTCTGTTGTTCCAAAAATGTCAAGAAATCCTCAGCTTATGTACTGCATATCATAAACTGGGGCATTTGCTTTGGCGGATAATCGGGTATTCTTTGGCATTTCAGCATGTCCAAAACCAATGACCCTCCCAACCCTACCGGACAGCCTGTCATGTCACATCCCCGACTACTGCACTGGACTGGACTGTTGTGTGGATTTGGTCAGTCTTGGGATGTCCTTCAACTTCAAGATCCTCCTGGACACGCGGAACCTTGTCCTGACTGTCGGTATCGAGAAACTCACCGTACAGATATCACTGTTCAACTACAAATGGGGTAAGTCTCTTTGCATCAACATGAACATCATGCAGATGTGTGAACATTCCTGTCGAGAAGAACCCCAACCGTTTATTTTGAATAGCAGTGTATGTATAGGAACATACTTTTTTACAGTTTTACTGACAGAGACATGAATGACATATAATCCACATTTGATTATATTTACGAGTAAGTCAACATGTTGCTTATGGTTTTCAGGTGAATGGGAAAATTTCAACCTTAATGGCGTCGTTAGATTGAGGTGAGTTCAATGATTAATTATGTACAAACGGTAAAATTTATCATATTTTGTATGGGGAACTAAGCTTTACACTTCAGCTTGACATGAAGTTGACTCCACAGACTATATGAAACGAATGATGTGATACTGAAAATGAATGCAAAATCTTGGAACATATTGAACGTTTTGTTTAACGAGGAAATCCTGACAGTACTACCATGACAGTTGATGTTACTCGGATACAATGTCTGAGTTACATGCAGTTTGGTCCATGTTTGTGTCAAGATCTGCCCTTTCTGTTATTTAGCATAAAGTCTAAATGTTTAAACCATCAAATAGAATATAATACCTTGGACCCACGTTCCTCAAAACGATCCTTGTGCTATCTCAACACGCATTGTATCACAGTCTTACGGTCTCTAATATGTACTCCTTGATACAAACCAAGTGGGGATGACCATGTGTTTCGGCCGTTGATAACCACTTTATTAATGCAGTAAAATCAATTAATGAAGATGAAACACCTTAAAGTTATGTGCATACAATCGTCCAGCAATACCACAAGCTTGTGTGTATGTTCTAGTTACCATTGTGTATACACCTCATCTCTTCAGTTTCAAGATTGACGACCTTGTTCATGCTTGGAAGTATCTGATGAGTCTGAAACTATCCCTGTGCTTTGAGGCTGACCAGCCTTGTGCTCTCAGCCTACCTGTCTTCACAGATATCAGCTTCCCTAAACTGGTGTGGAACTGGGACAACCCTTTCTCCTCGACTGGCAACGGTAGGACACAAACACCTTGCACAACTAGATTCAGTTCTATTAATATCTGATACACTTCACACATTGTAATATTTAAGGAATCAAACACAGGGTTTTAACGTACCGAGACTGATGTAACCTCTACTTTAAATAACCCTCGATAAAAGATTAACATCGTCTGAAGCGTTAACTACAAGAATTATGAAGATGGCAGTGTCCTTATTCATCGTGTATTTTCTACTGAGGGACAATATTATCACATGTTGATCTGACACAATCACATTGCACAACTAGATTCGGTTCTATGACCATCTCATGGACTACGTACCGTAATCTTTAGGGAATGGAACTCAGGACTTTAACGTAGCAATCAACCACATTAACGTATAGATTGAATAACCCTTGATAAATATATTAAGACTACAATGTTACGTAACTGAATTGTACAGATATAACATGGTGTGGCATATTCAGTTCATATGGCTGTGTCCTTATAAAGTATGTTCATGAATTCTGCTCAGGGACAATATTATCACATTTCTTTCACATCTATTTGTAGGCTTTTCTTTGAAGAACTGGCTATCTGATTTGAAGCTCCCATCTGGCAAGAGACTCGCCGGTCTAGCTGTGTCCAAACTGCTGGACAAACTTGGTCTCACAGGCTACCTGAGTGACCCCCAGTGTAACAAGAGCCTGCCCCCCTATGCTGGAGCAGTTGGGGGTTGGAAGAAGGGTAAACTGTTTCAATGATGAACTTTTGTAAAATGCACATTAAGACTGCAAACATCGTTTTGGGGTCATGTAATCATCGTTGAGTTTTACAAATCCACTTACTGACACAAACGTGTTTTCTGAAGTAGTTGCGACGGGAAATGCTTGTGATTATTGTTTTCCTTCTTTGAATAGAAAAGCCACCTCAGTGAAATTGATACTGACAAGGAGTAATAACACACTAATTCACACGTGTTTTATGTTTTCAGACTGCCCTGCCAGTCTCACCCTGCCCACACTACCAGACTCCGTCACCTGTCATCTGTCAGACCCGTGTGGCTCCATACAGTGTTGTATTGACGTGGACTTTATCGGGAGATCCTTCAACGTCCAGATAGGAATAGACCCTTGCACCTACACCTTCACCATGGGCATAGAGAAGCTCGTCTTCACCAGGGCCTTGTCCAGCTACAAATGGGGTGAATGATACAAATATATCTCGAAATAGACATAAGGTTGGATAAAAGGTATTCGGGTATCCAGATGCGAGAAGTAACAGTATATTTATATCACCGAGTTACCGGGAGAATTGACTGTAATGTGTCTCATTTTGTTATAAAATCGACATGTGGAGATGCAAAAGAAGAGTAAGCTGTTCATCTGTCATGTCTTAAATAACAGGGTTTTTTGTTACAGGTACTGTGGAACACTTCAACTTGAAGGACGTAATCCGTGTAGAGTAAGCATTGATATGGCATTGCTAATTTACTATTAGTTTTAAGAAATCTTTATATTTGTCGGAGTTGTAATAATACGCCCAACATTTCAAATCAAAGGTGTTCTTGACTTTCGAGGTTCACTGTTTAAGGACAGTATTAAGGCCATAATATATTGCTACACTTGTTTTTTGTTTTGCAGTTTCATGATCGATGATCTGTTTGGGGAAAAGAAGTTCCTGATCAACCTCAACATCAGTGTCTGTTTTGAGGAGGATTCCTGTCTCATTTCCTTCCCTGCTCTGAAGGATGTCAAGATTCCCAAGTTGATCTGCGACTGGGACAGTACAGCAGCTCTTGCAGGTCTGATAATGCTTGTTGGATGATTAACAATGTATCCTGACTTTTCATTCAGAAGTAGGACTGTGACGACTAGATTATAATTGCTACAATTACTCCACTTGTAAGAACTATTTTCTCAAGTGAAGCTTGATATAAAGCTCATAAAATATGTAATTATCATACTATTTAAACGAAAGCTTTTCATTAACATATCAAAATATATTCTAAATTAATTTGCTGTAGTGTTATGACATAAAATACGGTTTCTTATTGAAATTCCACGTAGTTCTCGTTTATTTGGTTTTTTTAATCAAAGAAACATGCAATGGCACTCCTCAATAATCTTCAGTTCCTATATGGATATTCATGATAATAATCTTTCCTCCTAGATTTCTCTTTGTCTGACTTCTTGTCTGAGATGAAGTCCACTGGATCAGAGAGTCTCACTTCAGTCATCGCAGCCAAACTGTTTGAGAGGCTGGAAATAGCAGGGTATCTGAAGACACCACAATGTCAAAATACAAGCAGCCCTTATGTGCCTACTGTCAATGGATGGAACAACGGTAAGACCCGGAATATTAGGTTATGCTGACCTGGTATGAAAAACAGAAACCAATATTCTTACGACATTAATTTGTTAAATATTTCTTTTATAAATAGTATAATATTCTGTTCATTATTAATGAATGAATTAACTTCTACGCCCAAAACGGAAATCAATGATAGATTGAATTTATATATTCAAACATTCTAAATAGTTGCAAAATTTCCCAAATGACCAAATGGAGCAATAAGTGGCTTATTAATGGTGATGGTTTCCACTACAACTCTCAGAGTGTCCAGTTCCTGGGCTTGACCAGAACCTCCCAGAACTCCCTGGTTCCATGGCATGTCAAGTACCTGACATCTGCACCGCCATTGACTGCTGCATCTACATCGACTTCCTGTCACGAGCCTTCAACGTGTTCCTGACCGTGGACATGTGCACCTATCAGCTGACAGTGGGCGTGGAAAATCTGGTCTACAAACGAATGCTGTTTGATTATCAGTGGGGTATGGCTTAACATGTTTCTTTTTAAATCTGAATATTGTATCATATTGTTTTGTGATGCATGTAAATATGGATACATTATGATGATCTGATATGAGATACGTAAATGGGATTTTTTTTAACGAAATGCATGTACGTGTGTGCGCGGGTGTGTGGCTGCTTGCACTTGCTAGTCCGGACTTATGTTGAGTTTATAGTGGATACCCTACTCAGACACAGTATACTGACTCCGAGACGACTAGTCCTTGTTTCATCCCCTTAATGCCGAGCACAAGGCAGGGTAACAAGAACCACCATCCTTTGGTATGACGCGGCTAGGGGATTGTTCTTACAACCTTTGATAGTGAGCTTTCGCCTTCGAGTGTGAATTATGTATCAACTTTAGTCTGAACGTTTAAGATTATTGAACGAGGTTTCCCATGTGCTGAAATGAATGTTAGTATTGCATTGCATATTTACATATTTTCATTTTGTTTACAGGCACAGAGGAGCATTTTTATGTGAAAGGTGTCATTCGAGTAGAGTAAGTGTTGATGTCGCCTTTGTGGGAGAGGTCTGTGCCAATTGTTGATTTAAAAAACAAGGATTAAGTAAAATACAACAAGAACACAATAAATGTGAATCTACACTACATGCATGCACCAAAGATGTCACGTTTAAGTACATATAGATGCATTTAGGAAACTATGATGTTTCAGTTACACAATCAATCGACTGCTGTCTGAGAAGAAACTGGAGGTGACAGCAGCTGTCAGTGTGTGTCTGAAACAGAACGAGTGTTTGTTCTCTAAAACCTTCCTTGACAAAGCCAAGATACCACAACCCCTGTGTGACTGGGAGGCCATGCTGAAACGGAGAAGTAAGGCTTGAATAGATATGTGTAATCTATTTTTATTACTATCTGTCATTTCTTATATCATCATTATTTTGCCTTAATTCCAAATAGGTTGTTAATAGACAGGCCGACATTGTATATCAAAGAGCATGGTATTCAATTTTAGATGGTTAAAGAGTCAATTGTTTTGGGGTTTTTTTGGTGTGACGTTCATCATCATGACGAGCACGTATTTCTATTGTATTCTATTGGTTATGATAGCCGAAAAGCTAATTTCCAACAGAAGCCTAAAATGAGTGATAACGTAGCACGCTAAGTATACGGAAGGATTCGCTACATATTATGCCCGTTTGATGTCTCAGGCACGTTTGTAGGTGTGTTGCACACATAATTGTGGTATCATTTCTTTTAAAAGGCCAATGTTTGTGATAGGGGTATGCGTTTATTTCCGTTTATTGAAACGAATCATGTTGATATATCGTGTGGCAATCAAAGTCGAATATATGTATTCCATTTAAGGAATCCGGTCCATTAAACAGGCGTTACATATAAGTACAAAGATTTACATATTCGGATAAATCTTTCGAAGAGAGAAGAGATATATAATCAAGGTAGTAAGTAGCCATACATCGGAGTCCACAAAATGTTCCTTTGTATTTTAATGATACTCGTGTAAACGTTTCGACCATCTATGATCATTAGACATTTATGATTGTTTGTTTTAGATTTCTCACTGTCCAACTGGGCGTCAGGCAAGGGGCTGTCCTCCACCGTGTCTTCTCTCACGGATACTCTGATATCTCAGCTCCTGGATGATCTCGGGGTGTCACAGTATCTCCTCAGTCCAGCCTGTGACCAGTTAGCAAGTCCATATTCTCCTGCTGGGGTAAACAACTGGAAAAATGGCAAGTGTATTAACATGGAGTTAGTTATTGCATGTTGGTTTGCATCTAAGTGTATCCTGGTTGAGGAGAACAAGTATGTGTGTGATCGTACAAACGCATTGATGACTTCAGGGTTACTGATGACTAATGTTAGAATCATAGGGATCTACAGGTTTTGAATGATTTGATTGGTTTTATATATCTACATATTCTGTAAAAGCAATGAACTCAAAGATCAGCTGAAATCTGCTATGCCCTTTATACACCCTAACTTGCACTAAATCTGTGAAAGAGTCAGCCACTGCGAAATCTACAACAACAGCTAAACAAACTGCATGTAGCATAGCAAAAGTCATGTTTTAATTATTTCCGAATTCTCACACCATTCCAAATTACAGTGAGGCGTCAACGTTGTACATGAGAGTAAGAGACCCGTCTTTATATTTAAGTATCTCTGTGTTTCCAGAATGTAGGAGCCGAGCCGTACCATCCCTACCAGACTCAGTGCGATGTCACCTGGCCTCCAACTGTTCCACTGTAGACTGTTGTGTCGATGTTCGTCTCATCAAGAGGACCATCCAGGCCAAGTTTGATGTGGATGTTTGTAACCTTCAGATCACAATGACCATAGAAAAACTATCGTACACCGTGTCACTCCTGGAGTACGAATGGAGTAAGTCATTATGTAGTCAATACAAATTACAGTACAGGTCCTTGTGTTTTTCTACACTAGATTGAATACTGATTTGTCACAATGTTGTATTATACATAGGCTCAGGGTGGGTCAGTGGTGTAACCCACTGCAAAGTTGTGTCCAAAAGTTGCCGCAATCCACTGATCAGGCTTTCCAATGTCAAATTCTACTTATTATAATCTATGAATGGACACCAACAAACTTGTTATATAAAACTTCACCATAATGGTATATGATTATACCATGGTCTCTTTGAGGTATTATTGAACATAAAGCCGACACATATAAACATTAAAGACTGATAATGAAATACTGATGTACTACCCGTTCTGCTTCAGGAACAGAAGGACATTTCATCCTGGGAGATATGACACGGCTGGCGTGAGTATCAGATGCGTTTTAGTTCATGTGACTGAACCTGCTGTGATACATGTAGATTATGTGGGTCATACATACTCGTGTATCTTTACAAACTGATGTAACAAATTATCAGACATATTTAGAGAGGAGTCATTGTTTTATCATCAAAAACTGCCTCCCACAGGAGATTTCGCTTGGGTCAAGCGATATCTATAAATGAAATAGCATCACAATGCTTTGCAGACCATTGTGACGTCATTGTTACCATGACGTCACAATCTTATGACAATACTAATTGGTCTGCTACTGAAGCTGTTAGCAATATTTTTTACACTTAAGACACTGTTTATTACTGTCTACAACTGAAAACGTTGGATGATGATGATGGATGATAAAAAAAATCTCACCCTCGTGTCTTTTGATATCAAATATATCAACACTCGTTGATAAAAGTGAAAAATCTCCTCGGCAAGCCTCAGAGTTTTTTTAACTTTTATCAATTCGTATTGAGATATTTGATATCATAAGACAACACAACACCGTGTTCGCGTACCAGGCGATACCTAATTTACGTTACAGCTCAAGCCAAAAAATGTGTAGTTTTGTAGCCATACTACGAGGAATATCAATTTTGCGTTATTGTGGAGTAACATATTTCCTTTTATTTTTCAGCTTTTAGCAAATTGTTAATAAGTCATTCAACTTTATCCTGCGCCTCAGCTTCTTACTTCTATCCACAATAATCTACCATGGAATATACATTTTGAATCAATATTCAATAGATAAGTTGTTACAACTACCAAGAATGTCTCTCAGGCTTAGGAAATAAATGGCATAATTCTATAAATCTCTTAGAATTCTTCAGAATAAAGTCACAGAAAAATATTTTGTTGCATAGAAGCGTACGGATACCATCCACACATTATGTAGAGTGTCAGAGATAATTATTATGTACACTGAATACTATTCTGGCGAGAATAAAGTTACAGAAAAGTATTACATTGCATAGAAACTTAATGATACCATCCACACATTATGTAAAGCAGCTTATCAAATGTCGTCCCAGGTACAAACTAGAACACATCCCTGCCTCCCAGAAGCTGGTGATTGACCTGAACATCAAGATGTGTTTTGAGGACAACACGTGTGTGCTTGAAGTCCCAGTCTTCTCACAGTCAGAGTTGGTCTATTCTCCGTGTAGCCCGAGTCTACCAGTGTCGTTTAGTGGTATGTGCGTGATATTAGTAGTGTAAACATAACTGTTGATCAAGTTCATGGCCTTAATAATTAAATGTGTTCATGGGGTCAGCCTTACAGAAACTGTTGGACAAAATTTATACTGGGTTTTTACAGGAAGATCCTGAGTGTTTGTGTATATGTAAACACGTATACTTGTGTGCGTGCGAGCATGCATGCTTGCGTGCGTGCGTGTGTACGTGTGAGTGAGTTCGTCGGATTGTCTATCAAAAATATATATCCATACTTGCATCAAATAGCAAGTTAAGACAGTACTGAAAATCACCTTCCAGTCGTATTTGTGAAAAAAAATCTTTTAAATAAATATTGTTTTAGCGAAATCATGGTCTAAATTGGAATCAGCATCGCTGGCGGACCAACCAGAATGCACCATTTTTTAATATCATCTTAGAATTATGATGAAATATATAGCAAGTGGTTGTCAAATGATATGCTTTTGTTTGTGGAAGAACGATACCCTGGCCATAAGGAAACACGATCAAACTCGCGATATATAGTTCTCTACACAAATTCTTTACCCAGCATATCTAATATTTCTTACTTTATTTATAATGAACATTGATATTCTTCTTTGACAGCAATGGTAGATTGGTGTTTTTGTTTGTCGTTTAATTATATAATGTAGATACGCAAGAGAAAATGTTTTACTATTTACATTGCAGGTGTCTCCTTTGATTTTTGGAAGTCTGAAAAATGTGCTCTGCAAACTTCCGGTAGGTATATTAATTCTTTTAATTTTATGTTTCTAATACATGATCAAACAACGTAGAATATGAAATGAACAAACATGCGCATGTTCGTAATAAATTAAGAGTTCCTGTAAACAATGGTTATATTATTTGATTGTACTTCCTAAACGCATGCTTCTGGTATAGCCGGAATCGTACAATGGAGTTTACATGAGCCATGGGTTCTATTTATGATCCAAGCTTGTCCGGCATCCCTCCCTGCTGCCATCTCGAGCACCTGCCGACTGACTGACAACTGCATGGGAATCACGTGTTGTGTGGACGTCGACCTCAAGTACCTCGGCATCTACTCCATCACTGCCGGCATCGAGGTTGACCACTGTAATGACCAACTTGTGTACCATATAGAGAACAAAGAGTGGACGAAGAAGCTTCAGGCTGTGGACTATGGTGAGTGGAGAGGGTAACTGGGGCAGGAACACCCGAAGAAAAGAAATTCATTGAGATGTTCTTCTTTATGAATTAAGAACGTTAAATGCAAAAGGAAAAAATACATGTAATTGAAATTACACACCATAATTAAAACAATCCATTTGATCTTTATCTTGGTGATTTCATTGTCTTTGACCATGAACTTTCACATTTTCAACACCTTTAATGAAATCATATCTAGACTTGTGAGGATGAAATTTCACATTGATGAATGTCGCTGTTTCGATTATGAAAACATATTGAGCAAATTTTAGATTCATTTCTATCTCAGTCATTTTAAGTCGTATTTTGGACGATGTTTCTTGATGGTATTATGGCAGTGAATGAGTTACTTTGGTTCAACACCAGATTTCAGTTATATCAAGGTGTGTCAGCTTAATGTGGGAGAAAATCTCTCAGAAGTTCGCACCTATGTGAAACCCACAAGCATGTGTATGGCGCAGACAAACCTATAAACATAATCAGAGCGATTCGGGTTTCGAACCAATGGTCAGAGGTTCCATGCACGCCCATGAGTCGCACAGTGAATTACGGCACCTGAACCACCTATGTCCCCCTATTATGACCGTTGACATTTGATGTAGAAGGATTTAGCATGCATGACATACTTTGCCCAGTTAGTAATACAGAAGCTGCAGGGGTAAAGGTTCTGGGTTGGTTCCTCTAGTATTTGTCCAATATCTTACTCGTATGTGAGGATTTTCGTTGTTAATATGTACAATAATGGCAAACACTGGTATGTGACCAGGCTGTCAATTGTCATGATGTAATTATTATTGTTCTGCTAGACAAAAACCACACTGAGCCAGTTGGCAACGCCATCACTCTGAGCTACGTGATCAGCAAAACGCCATCTTTATATGAGGTGTCCTTCCACGTGAAGGTCTGTGCTATGAACGGGCACGACCTCACCAACAACTGCTACTACTACAAACTCCTGGATGAAAAGACATTCCAGATGCCATCTTCATGTTCGCCTGTTGGACGAAGAAGGAAAAGAAGAAGTCCTTTAGATTTGTGAGTGTTGCATAATCCCTTTACTGAGGACACGTACCATTTCCTTTTTCTCCATTGCTTGTATACGTTAGCTGGAAAGTATGTGGGTTTTACAAAAAAAATAACTATCTTATACACCTGAGCTGTATTTCATAGCCCTATTGACTATTTTCACAAAGTGTTACATCTATTAGCATTTTCGAGAGTTGAAGTATTGTGCTGATGCGGGACTCGAACCTTTTCAATGTCCCTTGTATACATATGCGTGTGTATAAATGCACTTTTGAGTTCCACATCAGCACAATGCTTCAAACTTCAGTAAACTACGGTAAAAACGAACACGCTTATAACGAACTGACGGATATAACGAACTTACTTTTTTGGTCCCGACTATTTGCTGTAGTTATGCTGTATATATGCTTACAACGAATTATGGTTATAACGAACTAAAATTAGTAGTTCCTTTGAGTTCGTTTTAACCGTAGTTTACTGTATTAGAATTGCTTGAAGATGAATAAAGACTCTTTCCAGCTCATCTTTCAAGAAAGACGTTTAATGGAAGGGTTTCTTAGCGTGTGATAAACATAAAAATGCAGATTTTGAAATTTACAAAACGTGGCTGAAACTCTTGACATACAAAAACATGCGTGACAAACCTGTTGTGTAAATAAGTCGGAAAGGAAATATAGCTCATGTGTACAACATAATTATTTTCCTGAAAACAAATCCTTTGCTACCAACGTCTTGAATTAGCATGAAACATCCAACATTTTGAGATACGAATTTAAGACAAAATATACGTTCTGTAGAAAATTCATTCGGTGTCACTCATGGTAAAGATAGAACTAACTAACGGATGTCTAGGATTTAACGAGACTTCTTCTATGTCCTTCTCCTTATTCAGAATACCCACAGGAGATGCCAAGCGGATCCTCAATGAAGCGATGAAACAGAATTTCACGAATGAAGAAATCAAGGATCTGTTTGACAGACTGAAGGCTGAAGCAGTATGATACTGATTTTTATTATTTCTCTATGAATCTTTAGGAAGAATCAAAAATACTCTCGTTAACATATAAGGATTGTTATCCGTTTGATAACAGACATAAATGACCTTCTTTACAGGAGGCTGTATCAGAAACATTTGTAAGAAACATGGTGTAGCAAAAATTCGAAAACTGATAGCCCGAAAGTGACGTATAGTGTTTCATCTGCTGGTGGATCACGGGAATGGGCGCTGAAGTGGAGGTTTGGTGATCAATATATTAATCCGTAGGAGTTCTATACGCCGACATAACTTTGTACTCATCACGAATGGGTTTGTATACTTTAAAATCTGCAAATTAACTTGAAAATTCCTTTTATGAATCAGATTATTTTTTTCAAATTTCTGAAATTCAATACTTTGAAGTACTTACAACATGACTTATCTGATTTAAATGTAAAGAATTTCATATTGCTCAAGCTTGGTTCCGATGTTCATAGAACAATCATTTTATTTTATTGATATACCTTTATTAAAAGAGAAGACAAATCTAAAAGCTATGTACGAGCGTAACTTAAATAGCATTGAAGACGAGTATCACTTTCTTCTCATTTGTCCAGTTTATTCTGTGACAAGACATAAGTATCTTAAAGACTATTACTATGTTACCAACGTCTTTAAGTTTATAGATATGTTAAATAACTCTCAGATTTTACTATTACACCAATTGTCTATGTTTTTATATATTGCAATGATGTACAGAAAGAAGTTTATTTAATAACAGATATATTGTACCTTTTCGATATCACATATAGATGTCTCTACCTTCCAGAAAAGAGATAGCTCACTGATTATATCACGCACGGATGAAGATGGCACAGCGACCAACACTAAGAGTGCCATCAAGAAGATGGGTATAGCCAACCCAGGAACCATTCTGTACTCAGGGGAGGTCGGCGGTGGCAACGTTGTTCTGGGCATGGAAGGAGGTGGGTAGTTTGTCTTGTCACGAAATGTGCATAGCATTGTTTAGACATATCGCCTTTTGATTTAATATAGGAAGATATGCATCTTGTTTGTCTTTTTGTGGTTAGTTTCTTATACATCTTCTGCTATGTCCATTTGGTATCTTAATTGCAGTTGCTATTTTCTTTGGCAATATTATTTACCTGCACGTAGAGAAGCATTAGTAGTACTCTGTCCTTGAAAGTGTTCTTAGAACTTAGCATGGCATATAAACCATAATTCACCTCTCTTTGTAGGTGTGAACTTGCATTGCTTCATCGACATTTTGAATGTTTGCCTGCTCCGATTCGATCGCAATGTAATGCCTAATTACTAAAAGCCAGTCCACATGTTTGGAGTTATACGTTGGTATTGTCCATTGCAACTAATATTAGAATGTCTCTTGGTTACTTGGAATGTTTGCACCCTGGACAATATGGTAACCAAGTGGTTAAAAAGTCAAAGACGCCATTCCATAATCACTCATCGCTCATAGGTAGCAGTGTCTATCGTACGATTCCGACTGTCTCATAATCACGTGTTAATGAATCACTATCAAATATGATGAAACCAGGAGTTCGCGAAAAGGTGAGCATACCCTGCTCCACCTGTGACACCCATCACAAACACAGGCAAATGCAAGTCAATTATTCACTTACAAAACCCCTGGAACATATGGAACAGTTCAAACTAAGGAATTGCATCGGACATTATTTTAGTCACAGATGTCAGTCAAATTTGCAAATATCTTGACAACGGTCTTGAATGTTGTAACCCAAACCATCAAATAACTCTTGAACAAGAGTCGTATTACGCTCATTGAAACAATAAGCCGAAGAACTTGTCAAATTTGTGAAATCCATTATGTCTGTACCCTGAGTGACATGTCTTGAATATTGCTAAATGCAGCGGTAACTGCACTCACTGAGACTCACACAGCATCCGGATCTAATCGCCTCATTCGTACAACTTGGGAGGGCAAATGTTGGTTAAATTCCTTGTTAAGAGCCTCTTATCTCAGTCACGTTTTAGTACTGTAACTGGTGTTCCCAGGCGAGAAGATCATGAAGGTCCTGGGTCAGGTCACCGACATCCTGGGTCGCGGGGATCAGGCGTACACTGTGGGGAAAGGTCTGACTGGGAAAGGACTGCAGCTGCTCGGTGCTAAACTGGCCAACATGAGCATCGGGGAGATGATCGCAATGTTTGATGCCAAGAACATCGACCCTGAACTTGCTCTTCGTGTGACGAGACAACTGAGAGATCTGGCTCTTGCCCTGGTAAGGGACATTCACTATATCACGACAGACGTGTGTTTTGAGTGTACTTACAACGTTAATGCCTCTGCACTGCTAGATTGTTCTTTTGGGCAGTGGACGTGATGTTTCGATAATTAATATGACATTTAACACCTTCCCTGCTTTGGCATAACATATCGTTTTATCAGTGTCAGTTTCTAAGGCAAACTTTCCTCTCCACAAACAGGAAACGTCATACTTGCATGTACCATGTTGATGCTATGTCTATCAAAGGTCAAGGTAATTTTGGTTAAGGTCAAATGCTGGAAGTACTATCATTGAACAGTGCTTGGAAACCCTTCTTATATTAGCAATGACGGGAACATTTATCTTGATACAGATACAGGAATTATATAGATGTAGACGTGTACTGCATGTGCTAAAAGTAAGACCAGCATGTATCATCAAAATACTAGTGTCTGTTGTAAAGTAAATGATATTCTCTGCCTTAAGCCAGCTCTCCCCGTATAATCAGCAATCTCAATTTCAGTATTCCGAGATCATCAATGCTGTCATCAATGGCGATGGAGACAACGCATTCAGCTCATTTGACATTACCCTTCAAGGAGACTTCAGCATACCCAGAAAAAGCATCATTTTCTTCCGCTACGAGTATTTCTTCCTGATTGGGGGAATTGTGCCCATGACCTTTGGTGAGTATGGATTTATGCTACAATCATGCTAATAAATTGAAATATAACTGATTCTGCATGACATGGAATGTTTATCTTATGTTTCTACATCCAGATTATGATTGTTGCCACTGTCACACGCCACATGGAGTACAGTTTTCTTTCTTTCAAGGACCGATGAAGTAGTTGCCTTAGGGGTAAAGCATCGCATGGGTACATTGTGTGAAGTTCATGATTGACCCACCATGACATGACTGGAAAACTGCTTGAAGTTCACACGTTTGTTCACTCACTCAATACTTTTTTCCAGTATTCAATACAACTAGGTGGTCAAAGTTAATAGTCTAAGGAGACGCAACTTGACATGGACCATTGCGTCCCGCTGATTTAAGGTCATATTCGCGCTGATTATGATCCCTGATCTTCACCATACGTATGCATATATCTACTGACTTTGTCACTTTGGGTTTCCTCTTTCTACTGTTTTGAACTTCGCTCAGCATGAAAATCTTCTTTTTCATGTCTTCTATTTACAACTACCCACTCAGACACAGTATACTGAATCCGAGCCGGCCAGTCTCTGTTTGATCCCATAATGCCAGGCAGGTTGCCAACAAGTACCATATTTTGAAATATTTTGGTTTTTTATGCGACCGAGGATCGAACCCCCGACCTTCCACTCTTGAGCAAACGCTCCATCCACTAGACCACGGTGGCGGTCCTTAAAACTGAAACTCCCCTTTATGCATGTAAACCACTGAATCACTCTATTAAGCCACTGAATCACTGTATTAAGCCACTGAATCACTGTATTCAGCTACTAAATCACTGTATTAAGTTACTGAATCAATGTATTAAACCACTGAATCACTGTATTAAGCCACTGCAATTTCAGAATTCGGAGCAGGAGCCACTTATGGAATGGGAATAGTCGTAGGAGCTAAGATCCTTGGCATGACGGTGTTTGGTCAAGTCGTGCCCTATGGAAGTGCCCATGTCTACGGAGAGCTTGGCATTGGATTTATACTGTATGGCAAACTGAGATTTGACGGCTACCTCATGAATATTGCTTTCCCATCCCGGGCTGAGATAGGGTTCTATAAGTTTCCACTTGATTTAAGGTGAGTATACTCAACTAACACATATAATACCAAATACCTGTCTGTCCCACTATATATTCTTTTTTAGATTCTTCTAGACAGCCTAGGTCACCATCCTAATTAACGAGTGTGATATTAGTAGTGTGTTTAAAAGCTCAGTAATGTTTGAGAATAGATTATATTTACATTTTTCGTGTTTGCCAGCTTGACTTCAGAGCATTTCAAGGGCTTTGATCCTGCTCCACATTGAAAATGTTATTTTTTTCGTTATTATTATTTTAATTTATGTTTTATTATATTGATATTTGTATCGCAGGACGATAATCCCTCTAAGTCTAGACATGTTAGACTTTGGCACCATGTAGAATAATGACGCCAGGTAAAATGAGCATTGTGTTAGCTAAATGAGTTCCTTGTACAATTACAATATCATTGCAAGAGACTCATAATACTAATGTAAAACTATTGCAACATTAAAATGCCACCAATGTGTTCTCAATTTTGTTCTCAAAAATGTAAAAAATTACTCAAGGAATCATATTCCTCTTTTGCAACATGTTCTAGTTTGACCATGGATATGGAACTGGTCCCTCTCGAGATGACCCTGCGAGGTCTAGTCACCCTGGAGGTCAACCTCTTGTTCGTCAAGATCAAGAAGATATTGTACCAGGCTGTCATCTGGCGATATGCGACTCCTGTGATAAGGAAGAGACTGATAGATACAGGCAAGAAGGAGGAGGACAAGTCTCCACCACAGTTCCTCAACTATGTGGACAATACTGTACGTTGTAGAATAGTATTCAAGTATAAATTTCAGATGCTATCGATAGCGTTGGGCGTTTGCATTTCTCAATCGCTCAGGTGCTTTACAAGTAAACAAGATTACTCCACCAAAAGTCCCAGTTAGTCAGTCGAGAAATTGTATGCTTGACATTCAGGTGAATTTACTAAATGTGACACGTCGCTTGTCAAAGGGTCAAAGCAATGTATTTATGATCTGTGCCCACCAGGGAGGTTCTGGTCGAAAGAAGAGGGCAGTGTCCACATCACGGAGCTGCTTAGTGAGACAACTCCCCGATAGAGACTACACAGAGCCGGCTGTAGAGATAGCCATAGCTGCCCAGGATGACAGGAGTCAGGTCCAGATCTTTGTGGATGCTGGGACCAAACCTGGACTCAGTGATGTGCTCCGAAGAGTCAGTCTTGGTGGACCATCTACAATTATCACTCAGGTATGCAGGAAACGTCATCATGGCCAGTTTTAAATCTTACTTGGAATGATGTCTGTCATGATCAGTTAATGTCGGTATGATTTCCATATTTATTCCGTGTTTCTTTCTGATGAGCATCAAGCTTGAACCTTTTGGACAATAATACCCTTCCCCCTTGTGTTGTTATACCCTCTCAGTATATATACATATCCTTGTTGTAGCGATTTTCCAAGAATGGCTATGGCGTCCCCGTCTTTTTCACGGTGTATGGTGAGAACAGCGCAGGCGCGAGATCAACCGTGACTTGCAGCATCCCAACCTATGACGTCACGCCTCCTGGTGGCAGACTGACATCAGACTTTAGTTCAACCAGTAACCCAGCTGAGCTGAGAGGAAATGTGGTGGTGTATGAAGATTCAGATCTGGTTAAATCTTCCGTGGGTGTTGGACTGGGAAAGGGAATCTACGGAGATGAAGTCATAGCCTACAACTCTGTCAATCTCAAGGACAGGACCAATGCTCACTATGACCGTAAGGAAAATATAACTAATACCATGAAAAACTTATTGACTTTGTATATTCCAAGAAACAAAACAAAAACCAAGGCCTACAAACTATTTGTGGATGACTTAATAATCAAAATGATAATTAATGGGATATGAAATGTTATCAATTAACAATAGATCAACAAAATATTTGGAAAACAATAAATGTTGAAACTAGGGTTAGTGAATAGTAATCAAGATTGTTATTCAACTTTTGCAATACTAATAAACTATTTTATCATATAATGGGTAGGTTCCTCGGCAGGATAAAGCCAACGGATAAAAACGATATCCGTTGGGGTCATATGCGGATAGAGATGCAAATATCAAAGGTCAAGTAGGACTACTTGCACTGTTTATAAACAAACATGACGTCACCCTCGGCATTCTGCGATCGAGTCAGAATTAACCATCGGGAATCTGGATAAACTACAGGGATAATGGCTATCATTATCAACAGAACACTCTAATATGCTGAAAATCAGTATCTAACTGTGACGTAGCTAAGGCATTTTATAAGTTTTGGCAACTTTGGAAATATAAATTTCGAAAAAATTCTGCGAGGGCACGAGGCCTAGCCAAGCGGGACCAGTAGCCATATATCTGTACTTGTAGACCTCTGCGACTTGAAACCTTCTCCACAAATTAAAATAGTTGGATTTGGCCGAAATATGTTTGAATTGTTACCTTGTTTCGTTTTGTCTCTGGGTGTACATTTGACTACACTTCTGAACGTTATAACAGGACAGACCGACTGTCAACAACGTCTGACCGTGGCCGTGACGCCTCATAGACTAGGGTTAGAGTAGCTTCCCTTTGACAAAGAGCAGTTACTCTAGCGGACAGACCGATGGATTGCCGCGAAAGGATATTAAAAACAACTGTTGTTTTCCGTATATGTTGCTTCGCCACTGTATAAGAAACAGATTTCAGTTGGAAATATATTGGCTACTGTCACTGTCCGACTGACACATCACTTACCCTGTGACGTAATAAATATTAATGCGCGCATTCCAGGAAAACTCGCAATGTTTCGGTAAAGGGAAAGAGAGGGAAAGCGATTTTAAAGCACAGAATTAAAGAATGACATTATATGATTAAGAGGTTATCACGCTTGTGTGTTTGGGGATGGTAAATATCCTGCATTAGGAATAAACACTATGTATTTAGCTCGCCAAGGCTCGCTAAATACAATGTTTATTCCTAATGCAGGATATTTACCATCCCCAAACACACTCGCGTGATAACCTCTATTTATTTTACGAAAAGGTGCGGTGGGGTAGTTTAGTGGATAAAGCGTTCGCTCGTCACGCCGAAGACCCGGGTTCGCGACATGGGTACAATGTGTGGAGCCCATTTCTGGTGTCCCCCGCCGTTATATTGCTGTAATATTGCTAACAGCAGCGTAAAACCATGCTCACTGACTCACCCACTTTTCGAAAAAGTGACACCATCTTTGTTACTGTAGTTAAAGCCTAAGTGATACACATTGAAGCTTTGTCATTGCCAATCAAAGAATCCATAGATCATTGTATTGCATTGCTACAACAACCAGGCCATGGTGTACAGTTCATTCAATACGGATACTTGTTGCGCATACGGTCTTTTTATACGCAGTAAATAATATGTCATTTCTCGAAGGTTGAAATCTCCAAATAATATATGATCGTATTTAGCAGGCTGGATATGTGAAAGGCGATTGTTGTTACTCCTCACAGCTTCATCTGATAATTTTGGCCACGAAGCGCTGAAACATTTCACGGGTCTGAAGGACGGCCGACTGATTGGTCCGGTGTTTGCCGAGTTCTTCAGTATGAACCATGCCGGGTCCTGTGTGAAGGAGTGTATGAAGTTCTCGGAGACCAAATGTATGAGCGTCAACTACGACTACGGCCCGAAAGGACATTGTGAACTATTAGAGGGCATTGAAGGACACGACCATAAAATTTTCATTGTGAGTTTATATTATGCATTGTTATGTGATAAACAACTCATGTGTGCGATGTCGATTTTATGGAGCTTTTAGACCGGAGTACAAAAGAGAAATGGACATGTCTTCAGGTTTTGAAGTCAAGTCAAAACTTTACAGTACTGATTTGTGGTTTTCGCAGATTTCTGCCTCGGTTAACACACTGGCCTTATATGGCAACATAGCTGGGTAGAATAAATGGGCAGATGTGAGGAGATTTAACTATGAAGGATCCCGGAAGGGTGAGCTAGACTACCAAACTAAACATTCGACTCTCACACTTTCAAATGACAACAAGCTGCCAATATTGGCGCTGACTCATTTGAAATTCGTCCAGCGATAAAAACGAATACCGGTGATAATATTCCACGATTACTACATTTTCTTGAATTTGCTCGCTGTTCAAAGATGTCAAACAGCTTCTTGTCATGACACTTCAAAATCTATGAACACAATCTTGACTTGAGCCTGTCATGTCAGTACGGCAGTACCAGCCAAGATATGTGCAGTAGCAATGGCAAATCAAATTAGTTCCGTCATTTCAGTATAAAAAGTCTTCTTTCAATGATTAAAGATATGTGTATACAACAAAAGGGGAAGTAAATGCGATTATGTAGTGACAAAAGATTGCCATAAGCTTTGATTTTCCAAAACTTATCTATTTAGTTCGCAGGGGTGTTCTAGTATGCGACTCTCCATTTACATTTTGCACATATTCATTGGCACGTTTCAGCCATTATAAGTACACATAGACATAGCTATATTTAGTTGATAATTAATGCAAACGTCGTTGGTAATAAAAACAGGATACAAAACTCGTCATCATTTCATAACGAGTGGAATATGTTTTTACTCTTCCCGGGCTTAGCGAGGGACAGAAAAAATATTCATAAAATATGAGGGAAATATGAAGCTCCTTTAATATTCTGTAATTAATGCGTTGATTTTATAATAACTTTACACAGATGGTTCAAGGCGTGTTTTGGATGTATTATGTATTATATAGTAACCAAATATCATGTTTATCCTTGTAGTCTGATCAGTATGCTCACTATGAGAGGCTTGGAGTTGGTCTTGCCCACGAGTTCATCTACAAGGATCTGTCTCTACGCCACGGTGTCATGTACTACTTCAACATCCACCTCATCAACGACCTTCAGTTCGAGTCCATCCTCCATAGCAAGGGTGTTGTGGTGGATGTCACATCTCCTGAGCCGGGTAGGATTTTACCTTAACCTTGATCTGTTGTATGGTAGTACTTTGCTTATCCTTGATCTGTCAAGATTGACCACAGAGTTTTCAGGTGAAAAAAATAGTTATGTTTGGGACGAGTGCTATCAGTGGGCAGTATACGCTCTCATTTTCGCGAACACCTGGTATAATCACTATTTGATAATGATTCATTAACACAATTTTATGTTATTGTGCCACTGGCCTGTCAGAATAGGCCATGGGGTTACCAAACTATCAAAAGCGTGATAAATGTCAAACATCTTAGGTCACCTTGTTTGAACATGTGATATGAGCGACAAATTGTTGAATGAGTCATGTTTTCATTATGGTTATTACTTAGGAAAATACATTGCCCACTGAATACAAAGATGTTCTTGCTCTACGTTCAGCTATTTTTTGTACTTCGTGATGACTTGAAAGAATAACGTTAACACCTGAATTAGATTTTGTGATGCATTTTCACAATTACCGATCGATACAACTTGTGTTTCAGGTCCACTGGCTAATGTGAGTCTGGATGTCCTGGAGGTGACCTCGTGTGAGAGTGTGGTTCCAGATGACAGACCGGACTGGGAAGTCAGGTGTCGAGGTGTTAACAGTCAGATAAAGAACCACAGGTGAGAGACAGTGCTTTCATAAACGGTACCATGTTCACGACAGGGTTTATTGGTCAGAATTTGTGACAAAACCCGACGAAAACAAAAGTAAACTAGTTTCTATTCTTGTGATGATGTGAAATGAACAATATGTTAACCTTGTATTCATATACGTGTCTTATATACAAAATAACTTCTGAAGCACTTAACTTAAAACAATCAGTGGAAACTGGTACAAGGCATATAACCTTATGCACACGCCTATCAACATCTGGTGTGGTGATAGCTTCAAGGTTACTTTTAGAACCTATTTCAGTTTTCTTTTCCTGGAAGAATATGTAAAGATCACAGATTTCTCAGATCACGGAGCCACCTTTGTGCGTGGGTCATGTGAACTTGAGTTCTTACATGGGACGTGAAATTACTTCTAAATGTAATCGTTGTATTTTCAGGATAATTCATGACGGCACTGGGTCAAAAACCCTTTTCAATGGAGACACACCCCTCACCGATCTCCTGTACACCAGAGCAAACAGATACGTATCAGGTTGGTGAAATATTTTAGTTTTTAAAAGGAATTTCGACTATGTGAAATTTATTTCGGCAATACGGCTAAAACCACGATGTTGACATATTTTAACTTGTCCTGAAAATACTACTTATATCCATGTATTGTTATGTTCTTAGTTCATTATCCATGTATTTTCTTTGTAAAAATGGGTGCTATTGTTTTGAGGCCAGATTTATTTGAATATATTTGGTATATATGGTATATATGATTTCTAATATAATTTCACATTTTGTATTAATTTGGCAAAGTTCTATGCTAACGATCTTCTTATATATAAACACTTCTGTGACTGTAGATTTTATAGGTTATACCAAACCGAGTTGGAATAGTTGTTTAACGGTTTTGCATTATGCTTCAGTGGCATATACCATTTCATTTAAACAATGTTTCCACTTTATATCCTTTTGAAAGCATCATGTCCTATGGTATGACGACGTGTCCCTGTTTCAGCTAACTGGGACGGCATCATGGATAAAGAGACTGGCATCCTTGGCTACTCCTGGACCGTGGGGAGACAAATCTGTGAGGAGCTGATCCACCCTCATCATGACCCTCACAGGCACCTGTTTGACGAATCAGAGTGGACCAACACTGGCCTCATTTCCCCCATTCCAGCTCCTCACGACCCCCTCCCAGGTAAAACACCAGTGTGAGGCTTTTAAAAATATGACAACGCAATGACCTAAAATATCACTTAGGATTGGCCTCTCACAAGAAGATCGTCCAACCTTACAAAAATAATGGATGTATATACTAATATGAGTTGCGCAGTTAATAAGCCCTCAATAATCATTTAAAAGACGAGGTGATTGTGTGGCGTAGCTCGATGGCGATGTTCAATGCTCTTATCGCTCTGTAAGTGCAATAATATTGAACATTGTTGATATTTTTGAGATCATTAGGGATTGCTTCAGAGATGATTTTGGTTTTGTTTCAGATGGGAAATACTACATCACACTCCGTGCCTTGAACAAGGTTAACTATGGAGGTCCGCTAGTGACAACCATCTGCCACACAACGCCCCTTGGAATAGACAACTCGCCACCACTTCTGCATGAAATCTATAACATCTCCTATGATGAAGATACCTTCTTCATCAATGCACAGTATAATGCCAGGTAATAATTTGTTGTGTTTCAAATGCTGTATTGCTACGTAAAATAAATAAATAATAAAACCCATTCATATTGGAACATCAACATTACCTTCCTTTAATATTTATTGACAAGTATTACAATTTAGTTCATCCATTCACAGTGACCCAGATTCAGACATCAAAGAAGTGGATTTGTGTCTGGGACAGACCACACGTGACTGTCATCACATGGACTGGCAGAGGTCCTCCCACAGTGATGGCGACATCACTCGTCAGTTCCAGATCCCAGGTGGAACTCCTGTCTGGATTAAAGTCAGGGTGATCAACAACGGTGAGTCATGTAAAAGGTGTTTTCACGGCGATGGAGACGTCCCCGCCTGTTCCAGATCCCGGGTGAAACTCCTGTGTGGATTAAGGTCAGGGTCATCAACAATGTTGAGTTATAATAACAGGTTCCTACGCAGTGATGGCGATATCACCCGCCAGATCATGATCCCAGGTGTAACTCATGTCTGGATTAAAGCCAAAGTCATTAAACATGGTTGAAACCCTATATTGTGATGATATCTTATATTGTGATGATATTGAGGAACTTAAAGACTTGATCATTATAAAATACTGCTGTTACGAACGTTGATCTCTTTATTAAAAATAATCACATTCATCCTGATATTTCAATAGAAATGGCACCGTCCGGAATAACGACGTTTCATTGTGGAATAAAATCATTACCTGCATCACATCACGTTGTATACAGATGATATGCCATCAGTGAGGTTGGTTAAAGTTTCTTTTGCAAAACTTGTCAGCATCTCGATGTAAAGACACCAACAACAATTTGTTTGTTTATTGTTTAACTCCGCTGTCAGCGATATCTCCTCCGACCCACGTCGCAGGGGTTCATGCAACATATCAGATATGACGTCCCGATCCTCACCAGTCTCCTTTTATTCGAAGGATAGGTTGCTGAAGATCAATTTCTTATCGTGGTGTCATAAAAACAACCTCAAACATTTTGTAAATATCACATTATAAAGAAATCCATTATTAATTGTGTGTTTAAGTTGATTTGATGAAAGTGGGCGTTTCCGACCATCCGATCATAGTCGACACATCACCCCCTGAACCAGGCGTTGTTTATGATGGACCCGTCTTCAGACTTGACCTCAACTTTACCAAGGATGCTGACAAGGTAGATTTTTACTTCACAAACACGTTCTTTGTAAAAAGTTGATAGCTAGGTGTTAATATTCCATTTTACTTGATACACAGCCTCCAGTAACCGATAAGTTGCACAAAATGGATTATGCCCAAAACCTTTTTTCCCTTTTATAATGGTCTCATTTTATAATCTGATCTTTTTATTCCAGATTTGTGCAAACTGGTTTGGGTTTTATGATCCCGAGTCTGGAATTTCCCACTACGAGTTGTCGGTTCTTGATGTCACAAACACCACGATCTCCGAGCCGGTCAGTCTTGACCACAAGACACACGAGACGTGTGTCCAGCTTGACCCTGACAAGAGGCTCGAACACGGCAAGGCCTACAGCTTCTATATCACCGCATTCAACGCTGGCCACAAACAGCTTAACGTATCGGCAATGTCAGATGGAGGTAATGTTATGTCAGATGAGGGTAATGCAATATCAGATTGCGAAAATGTAATGTCAGATGAATGCAAAATATGCAATGCATCGCAATGTCAGATTAAGATTATGCAATGTCTGATGGAAGTAATACAATGTCAGTTTGAGGTAATGCTATATCAGATAGAGGTAATATAATGTCAGATTAAGGTTATGCAATGTCTGCTGGGCGTAATGCAATGTCAGATGGAGGTAATGCAATGTCTGTTGTAGGTAATACAATGTCAGATGGAGGTAATGCAATATCAGATTAGGGTTTTGCAATGTCTCCTAAGGTAATACAATGTCATATGGAGGTAATACAATGTCAGATGGAGGTAATGCAATATCAGATTAAGGTTTTGCAATGTCTCCTGAGGTAATACAATGTCTGCTGGAGGTAATACAATGTCAGATGGAGGTAATGCAATGTCTGCTGGAGGTAATACAATGTCAGATTGAGGTAATATAATGTCTGAATGAGGTTATGCAGTGTCTGCTGTAGGTAATGCAATGTCAGATTGAGGCTATAGAATGTGTGCTGGAGGTAATACAATGTCAGATTGAGGTTATACAATGTTAAATTGAGGTTATGCAATGTCTACTCGAAGTAATGCAATGCCTGCTGGAGGTAATACAATGTCGGATGGAGGTAATGCAATGTCAGATGGAGGTAATGCAATGTCGGATGGAGCTAATGCAATGTCAGATGGAGGTTATGCAATGTCTGCTAGAAGTAATACGTTGTCTGCTGGAGGTAATACAATGTCTGCTAGAGGTAATACAATGTCAGATGAAGGTATTACAATGTCAGATGGAGGTAATGCAATGTCAGATTGAGGTTATAGAATGTGTGCTGGAGGTTATACAATGTTAGATTGAGGTTATGCAATGTCTGCTCGAAGTAATGCAATGCCTGCTGGAGGTAATACAATGTCAAATGGAGGTAATGCTATGTCTGCTGGAAGTAATACAATGTCAGATGGAGGTAATACAATGTCGGCTGGAGGTAATACAATGTCAGATTAAGGTTTTGCAATGTCTGCTAGAGGTAATACAATGTCCGATGGTGGTAATACAATGTCAGATGGAGGTAATGCAATGTCAGATTAAGGTTATGCAATGTATCCTGAGGTAATACAATGTCAGATGGGGGTAATACAATATCAGATGGAGGTAATACAATGTCATATGGAGGTTATGCAATGTCTGCTAGAAGTAATACGTTGTCTGCTGGGGGTAATACAATGTCTGCTAGAGGTAATACAATGTCAGATGAAGGTAATACAATGTCAGATTAAGGTAATGCAATGTCAGATTAGGGTTTTGCAATGTCTCCTGAGGTAATACAATGTCATATGGAGGTAATACAATGTCAGATGGAGGTAATGCAATGTCTGCTGGAGGTAATACAATGGCAGATTGAGGTTATGCAATGTCCGCTGGAGGTAATACAATGTCAGATTAAGGTGTTGCAATGTCTCCTGAGGTAATACAATGTCTGCTGGAGGTAATACAATGTCAGATGGAGGTAATACAATGTCAGATGGATATAATGCAATGTCAGATGGAGCTAATGCAATGTCAGATGGAGGTTATGCAATGTCTGCTAGAAGTAATACGTTGTCTGCTGGAGGTAATACAATGTCTGCTAGAGGTAATACAATGTCAAATAAAGGTAATACAATGTCAGATGGAGGTAATGCAATGTCAGATTAAGGTTATGCAATATCTTCTGGAGGTATCACAATGTCAGATTGAGGTAATATAATGTCTGAATGAGGTTATGCTGTGTCTATTGGAGGTAATGCAATGTCAGATTGAGGCTATAGAATGTGTGCTGGAGGTTATACAATGTTAGATTGAGGTTATGCAATGTCTGCTCGAAGTAATGCAATGTCTGCTGGAAGTAATACAATGTCAAATGGAGGTAATACAATGTCGGCTGGAGGTAATACAGTGTCAGATTAAGGTTTTGCAATGTCTGCTAGAAGTAATACAATGTCAGATGAAGGTAATACAATGTCTGCTGGAGGTAATACAATGTCAGATGGAGGCAATACAATGTCAGATGGAGGTAATGCAATGTCTGCTTGAGGTTATACAATGTCAGATGGAGGTAATACAATGTCAGATGGAGGTAATACAATGTCAGATGAAGGTAATGCAATGTCAGATGGAGGTTGTGAATGTCTGCTGGAAGTAATACAATGTCAAATGGAGGTAATACAATGTCGGCTGGAGGTAATACAGTGTCAGATTAAGGTTTTGCAATGTCTGCTAGAAGTAATACAATGTCAGATGAAGGTAATACAATGTCTGCTGGAGGTAATACAATGTCAGATGGAGGCAATACAATGTCAGATGGAGGTAATGCAATGTCTGCTTGAGGTTATACAATGTCAGATGGAGGTGATACAATGTCAGATGGAGGTAATACAATGTCAGATGGAGGTAATGCAATGTCAGATGGAGGTTGTGAATGTCTGCTAGAAGTAATACGTTGTCTGCTGGAGGTAATACAATGTCTGCTAGAGGTAATACAATGTCAGATGAAGGTAATACAATGTCAGATAGAGGTAATGCAATGTCAGATTAAGGTTATGCAATGGCTGCTGGAGGTAATACAATGTCAGATGGAGGTAATACAATGTCTGCTGGAGCTAATACAATGTCAGATTGAGGTAATGCAATGTCTGTTGGAGGTAATACAATGTCAGATGGAGGCAATACAATGTCAGATGGAGGTAATGCAATGTCTGCTAGAGGTAATACAATGTCAGATGGAGGCAATACAATGTCAGATGGAGGTAATGCAATGTCTGCTAGAGGTAATACAATATCAGATTGAGGTTATGCACTGTCAGAAAGAGGTAATACAATGTCTGCTGGAGGTAATACAATGTCAGATTGAGGTAACTAAACTAAATAAATAAACAGATACATCAACACTATCAGATCATAATGTATGACACATTTCTCCTCGTACTCATATTGTTGAATTGACATTCTACAAACTTGTGGATATATTTGTGGATAAAGTCTATCTACAAGCAATGTTGAGTAGGAGCTGTAATGGAGATTATCAGATACATGAACAGAATGTAAAGTTTTCTTTCATCCCAAAAATAGTAAGCACCGTATTCTGCTCTGCATCAAACTATGACTCATCTATGACCTTGGGTCTTGGACTACAACTACCACCACTCCCCACCCTATCCTCTTCACTCCCCACCCCCATCCCCATGCTCACCAATACCCATCTCCACCCCGCCTTCATTACTCCCCACCCCACCCCTTCACTCCCCAACCCCATCCCCATCAAACCAACACACTGTGATTTAACTGGAATAATGTCACTATTCCAGTGATCGTGGACCTGACTCCCCCGGTGCCGGGTAAAGTTGTTGACGGTATACGGAACGGCTTTGACGACGTTGAGTTCAGTACCCACGTTGCCACAGTAGGAACCCAGTGGAGGAACCACAGTGACCCCGAGTCAGACATCAGAGAATATGCAGTACAGATACTCAGAGCAAAGTAAGTGGGAAGTAAATCACTGAGGAACCACAGTGACCCCGAGTCGGACATCAGAGAATATGCGGTACAGATACTCAGAGCAGAGTAAGTGGGAAGTAAATCACTGAGGAACCACAGTGACCCCGAGTCGGACATCAGAGAATATGCGGTACAGATACTCAGAGCAAAGTAAGTGGGAAGTAAATCACTGAGGAACCACAGTGACCCCGAGTCGGATATCAGAGAATATGCGGTACAGATACTCAGAGCAAAGTAAGAGGGAAGTAAATCACTGAGGAAACATTTGCTATATATAATGCTACACTGACTCAAACATGTTCTTATGAAATGCAAATTATAAATGTGTATGATGTTAATGCTGAATAACATTATTCGTAATTATGGCACTATTGTAAAATGAAAGAGCAGGATTTCATATATGCAGCGTATACGTAAGTGAAGAAAAACATTTATCATATAATGGGTAGGTTTCTCGGCAGGGTAAAGCCAACGGATAAAAACGATATCCGTTGGGGTCATATGCGGATAGAGATGCAAATATCAAAGTTCAAGTAGGGACTACTTTCAGTGTTTATAAGCAAACATGGCGTGGCCCTCGTCATTCGGCGATCGAGTCAGAATTAACCATCGGGAATCTGGATAACCTACAGGGATAATTGCTATCATTATCAAAAGAACAGTCTAATATGCTGAAAATCAGTGTCTAACTGTGACGTAGCTAAGGCATTTTAAAAGTTTTGGCAACTTTGGAGATATAAATTTCGAAACAATTTTGCGAGGGCACGAGGGCTAGCCAAGCGGGGTCGGTAGCCATATCTGTGCTTGTAGACCTCTGCGGCTTGAAACCTTCTCCACAAATAAAATAGTTGGATTTGGCCGAAATATGTTTGAATTGTTACCTTGTTTCGTTTTGTCGCCAACCTCGCTAAATACAATGTTTATTCCTAATGCAGGATATTTAACATCCCCAAACACACTCGCGTGATAACCTCTATTTATTACTTATTTTATGAAACAATATCTTGAGGAACATATTTATGCTTACATAGTCTTCAGCGGGATATTTGGGGAACGTCTATTATTATATGACCACAAAGTCATTCCTTCATATCTATGAGTCGATAATCTGGACCAGGAAACTTGAAAAGAGACCGAAGTATTGTCGGAACACATGGTACATGTATTCAAGTCTTGGAATATCCCAACACAGTATGATACTCAGATACAGCGATAATGTTATGGCATCTCTCTGCTGTGTTTAAACGTTCCCTACCGACTTCTTTGAGAGGTATTTAGAAGTTGGAGTACTAAGTGAGGATAGATATATCGATGAACAACTTCTTCATTACAATGAGGAGCGACGTTTCGGCGTTTAACATTTGCTTGAAGACGGTGTTAGATCCTACACTGAAACGTTGCTCCTAATTGTAATAAAGACGTTATTCATCCATATATCTTATCCTTCCTCAGTTCCCTACATTCACCACACACTGTACGTTTATCTATTCCAGAGGGTTGTCGTCAGACTTTGAGGTAGTAAAGGACTGGAAGACGCTGGGCAAAGACGTCAGCCAGATCGAGTGGCATAACTTCCACCTGAACCATCAGGACGTTGTCAAGACGAAGCTGAAAACCATCAACAACGCCCTGGGGACTGTAGAACAGACAACAGATGGGTTTGTAGTGGATCTCACTCCGCCCAGGATGGTGTTCCTGGGTGATGGACGTGAACAGAACAAAGATGCGGAGTTCCAGGTGAGGCTGTGGCGTGAAAATGAAAAATCAAACATCATGCTTTATGCAAACCATTTCCCATCATATTTGTTCTGAAAAGTAAATGAATTATGCTTTATCAGGATATGATAACAATAAAAACGTGAAGAATATGAAGAATATGAAATTGAAGACAAAAATATCACTATCATGACATCTATTTGAAAAGGAATGTTTTAGTTAACTGAGACTTTTATTTGAACAAATAACTAGCTCTAACTAATAACTGTTATATTAAGGGTAAGAGATTTTACAGTTGACAAATGGAGGAAACTATAGAACTGTTTAACAATGTCTTGTTGGTTTAAGAATATATTTCGTATGGGGGGAACTTTTTAAACCGCAAGGGGTCACTGGGTGTTTTCCGGGCTCTGCTTGTATACTGACACCTCGACATACGTTCATTTTCGCGAACACCTAGTAGCATTCTTTCGTTGGTGTTCGTGTCTATAAACACATTTTCATTTAATTTGAATAGAGATATGAATGCACAAAATGTTTCGTCCTTTTGTAAACTCATGTTATCTGCCACTTGGGATAGTGCTGCTTTCAAAGGGCTTAAATATAACTGTGAACTGAACCCACCCATTTTAATTTAACTACACATATTTCATGATCTACTTGCAGCTATCTAGCACAACTGTGGAAGCCAACTTCCAGTTTAAAGATGACGAATCTGGGTTGGACCATTACAAATACCAGGTGTATGAGCTTTACCATGGGTCAAAACATCAGATCTACCCGGGTAAGTGATCTTGTTACATAACTGTATACAATATTTTTAGGGAATACCTTCAACAGCCGAACAAAGAGTGGCACAAGTTCAGAATATTTACATCAATATCATAATGTTGTCTCCAAGACCAATAAGTAAGTTCTTGATTCCGCTGGAACAATTCTCAAGTATTAATATCACAGTACGACATCTTAATGCTGGAAACATCCCATGTGTCACATAAGCAGGGGTATGGTGTTGACGAGCATACTATCTGGTATTCAAACCTACGACCAGCGAATCTTGGCGCAGCTAAGGAAAGCACATTCCAACAAGGAATTTATATTACCAATGCCTTCTTTCTTAATTTTTCAAGTTGCACTTATCCCAACGTGACTGTAAGATACAACTCATTCACTCGTTTTGGAACGCGAAAATTCCTAATACAGAATCATATACCACTCAACTTTTAATTTTTGGGGTATTTTTATAGATTTTATGTATCTTTCCGTTTTACACAAAATTGAATACCATAATATGTCAAGAGTATACCTAAATAGATCTGATTATCTCTGCCACACGTTGTGTAGTATACATGCTTGGAAGCATCTTGAAGTATATGTTTCCCCCTGAAACAGGCTCAGAAGGTTGGGAGATCACCAGCGACCCAGGCAGCACCAGTCTCAGTAAGTCTGGCTTGAGTCTCCGACCAGGCGCCCAGTACAGTGTGAGAGTCGGGGCCGTCAACAGAGCCGGGGCCGTCGCCATCTACGACACAAACGGTGTGCTTGTTGATAATACTCCGCCTCAGGTAAGAAATATAACCCACATACGGAAGTATCCAATCTTAAATGTGTAGACGTTTTGCTCGGACATTACCATTACTTAGTACTTCTCAACTTGATATACATCACAATTACACCATACACCATAATCTACGTATAAACAGATGACCCGTGACTATCCGGGTTAGAATTGTTCTTCTGCAACCCATGCCTGTCGAAAGAGGCGACTAACGGGATTGGGTGGTCAGGCTCGCTGACTTGTTTGATGCAAGTCATCGTATCCTTATTGCGTGGATCGATGCCCTCGATATCATTCACCGGAAAGTCTGGTCTAGATTCGATCATTTACAGACCACATTCATAAAGTTGGAATAATGCTAAATTAAACATCAAGCAAACAAACAAAAAGCCGATTTTAGCACTATCAAGGGACGCAACTCTCGGTAGTGTGGCCAAGGAACCTGTAACATTCATGAGAGCTGATGTCTCTTCACAAATTAGTTAGATTTTCGTGAAGTTCAAACAAATGTGTTAGTTTGCTGAAGTTATTTGAATTTATTTTAAGAGTTTTACGTTTTGTTTTCTTGATTGCCGTCACAGTCGACAATATATCAGATTTATCACCGCCACTAGGCCAGATTAACAAGTTCACGATATAATGAGTGACGTACCACGCCGTCAGGGATTATGACATCACGTGATCTTCTTCAGCTGGCTCTAACGACAAGTTGGGTTCTTATTCTGACCTCGGTCCCAATGGGGCTTGTGTTAGGTATTCAGAGGTAACCGACGGGGGTTCAGATAATACTTCTATTTCTTACCTGTATTATTGAGCATTTCATGGGATTTTCATCAACCTCATTCGTTGCAGATGAAATGGGTCTACGTTGGCATTTTCTCTGGCAATGAAGAAGAGTTTATAGACGGCTATGTTACCCAGTCTGACCCTAGCGGTATCAAGGCCACCTGGTTTGCCATGGACAGTGAGAGTGGCATCAAGTCGTACATGGTGGCCATTGGAACCACTCAAGGTTTGTATTCCCCAAATATGAGGAACACAATGTTGTCCTGACTTTTACCCTTTTTAGTTATCCCCCGCCGCGCGAAAGCGCGAAGCGGGGGATATAGTATTCACGACCGTCCGTCCGTACGTCCGTACGTCCGTACGTACGTCCGTACGTCCCACCTGTTTGTTGCCGCGATATCTCAAGAACTAAACACTGGATTGTCTTCATATTTGGAACTATGGTGTATATACAGACTCCACAGACACCAGTCGGTTTTGGTGACCTTGATCCCATTTTCAAGGTCACAGCAGACAAATCTGCTTTTAGAGTTGGAAAACGGTGTTGCCGCGATATCTCAAGAACTAAACACTGGATTGTCTTCATATTTGGAACTATGGTGTATATACAGACTCCGCAGACACCAGTCGGTTTTGGTGACCCTGATCCCATTTTCAAGGTCACAGCAGACAAATCTGCTTTTGGAGTTGGAAAACGGTGTTGCCGCGATATCTCAAGAACTAAACACTGGATTGTCTTCATATTTGGAACTATGGTGTATATACAGACTCCACAGACACCAGTCGGTTTTGGTGACCTTGATCCCATTTTCAAGGTCACAGCAGGCAAATCTGCTTTTGGAGGTGGAAAACGGTGTTGCCGCGATATCTCAAGAACTAAACACTGGATTGTCTTCATATTTGGAACTATGGTGTATATACAGACACCGCAGACACCAGTCGGTTTTGGTGACCTTGACCCCATTGTCAAGGTCACAGCAGGCAAATCTGCTTTTGGAGTTGGAAAACGGTGTTGCCACAATATCTCAAGAACTAATCGCTGGATTGTCTTCATATTTGGTACTATGGTGTACAGGCGGGGGATATTTCGTCACTCTGTGACAAATACTTGTTTTTCTAGAACTGATGTTGAAGACATCAGAACCAATTATGTTTGAACCAAAGTCTAATATTCTTAAAGAAACTCTGTGGTGTAGTTGATATAAACTGCTCGCAGAGTGAAAGGTCGGTGGTTCGATCCCCCGGTCGCTTCATACCAAAATACGTTAAGAGATGGTACTGGTGGTTTACCTGCCTGAAGCTCGGATTAAGGGGATACAACGCGAGCTGGCTAAGACAGTATACAATATACTGTGTCTGAATGGAGTATCCACATTAAAACTGTGGCATTGTTTCTCGGTAGGCTAGGACTATAAAATCAGCGTAGTACAAGCACATACACGTGCATGCACGTTGCTATATAAATGAACTAATCTTGAACGTGACGTTATTCCATTTCACCTCACCTCACACAAATTAGTGCAATCATATTTGGTTGTATATTCTGGACTATTTTTCAGGGGGTACTGATATCCTAAGCTGGAAGGACTTTGGTTCTGACAGAGACAAATACATGGACGAGTTGACCTTGACCGTGACCAACCTTGACACGATGACCCCAGTTTACTATGTGTCTGTGAAGGCGAGCAATGGAGCCGATCTGACCAGTGACGTCTTCACATCAAACCCCATTCGGGTGGTTGACCAAGACAAGGCAGGTATGCATCTTGATTTGTGTACATTTGTCATCGGCTTCGTCGTTGTCGTCGTCATTATCGTTAACGTCATCGCCGCAACTATCGATCAGAGTAAGAATAAAAGATTAACATATGTATATCTTTGCAGTTTCTCATACATGAACACTAAAATGAATCTCTATCCCAAGGTATTGTCATCGACGGCGCCGACTCGACCGAGAGAGCTAACTTCATGGGCATCGGTAGCGACATGGACTACCAGAAAGACACAGGAGTTGTGACGGTACAGTTTGCCGGATTCCAGAGCCACGAGCATGGTGTGACGTACTATGACTGGGCGGTAGGCACGACACCTGGTGGCGAGGAGGTGCAACCGTTCATCATGGCGGGTCTCATACATGAAGAAGCAGAGACCAATGTTCCTGGAAATGGTAGGTTGAACATATTTGCAGACACGCAAAAGGTTTTGAATTCTTATCCTCCAAATATAATACAGACATTGTACACGTGCATTCTGTACAGACGTCGTTCGACGCCTTACAGTACCCTTTACCATCAACATGACAAGAGATGAAAAAACGTGATTGCGCATCGTTAGATGTTTGGACAATACAAGTGCTAATGAATCTATGTTTGGATTTATTTTAATTTTTTGTCGAGAATTCCCTGTTATGATATATAACAACATATTTTGAAGGTATCGCCAGCATGGGGTTTGGCCAGGCTGTTCTACCGCTGTCATCCGGCAGGACATACTACACCACAGTCCGCGGCATCACCAACGCAGGCAACATCCTGGAATCTACGTCAGATGGATTTACTGTTGATATTACGCCTCCTGAAATCCACATCGAAAGGTAGACACATATACAAATCATTATTCGGACTTTTCCCTTGTGGATTGCCAACACCGTGTCCAAATACGTTAAGAGACAACAAAACGATAGTTGCGAAATAACTCTCTCATTAATTATGATACTGATATTTGGTTAAGTAGTAATGTGTGCTCACCAAATATGTCGTTTTTAAAGTGTGCTTGATTGAAATCAAGAAGAAAAAGAAGTTTAATGAACACTCTGCTACCTGACCGAATGTAATTAGCAGGCTTGTTTCTTATCCAACTAGTGGATACAGGTAGCCAAAACTAAAACATTGTTTATGAAATGTGGATTATCTAATTATTGTGAACTATGGTTATGAGAACAAGCAAAGAAATCTGACCCAACAAAAACAGGTACGTCAGCAAAACATGGTTCATTTTTCACTCGTAACTACATTTTAAGGCTCAGAACAACCATAGCGGACTGACCACAACAACATCTATTTAACAAATCATTGTTCTTGTTTGACTAGCAGCGATGATTCTGAGAAAATCAGAGCAGACTTACCCAAACAGTCTACAACTAAAAGGCACATGCACAAGTAACTAAACATTGATCGTGCTTCCCTCTCAGGTATTGTTCTGGTTACAACCAGTGCAACCTGGTCTCAAACGCTATGTACTGTCAACTTAAGATTGCCCATGTTTCCCTCGCAGTATTGGTTCTGAGAACAACCAGAACGATGTCTCTCAAACGCTGTACACGTCAACTAAACATTGTCCATGTTTCCCCCGCAGCTATGGCTCTGAGAACAACCAGAGCAGACTGACCCCTACCACGACACTGTACCAGACTGAGGTGGACTCAATCTCCTCCTCCTGGAGGGCTGCAGACAGTGAGAGTCCAGTCAAGAAGATGTACTACTCTGTGGGGACCTACCCCCACGGGGAGGATGTCCAGCCCCGGACTGACGTGGAGATCTTGCTGACCGGCGAGGGGGCGCTACCCACTGGCATCAAACCCACAACTGATGGTAAGAACTGGTAGTGATGAAGAATAAAACAATGAATTAAATATGAACATCTCGCGCTTGGTAATATTACATGAACAAATTATAAGATGGTCAAGACTGTTAATCTATTTTGCTAGAAGGCGTTAAACGAACTGATCGATTTTCGCGCTAATGCAGTAAGAATTATTGGCAGCGTTAATAAAAAATACAAGATTAACTGCAAACTATGAAATAAGCCTGACATTAACTTCGATTACGCTGACATCAATAGTCTCCTCGATCGAACTTTTATACAGAAAACAGATCTTGTCTCTGTCAAATGTTGTGTTTTATTGTGTATGTGTTCAGTGCAGAGCTGGCATGAATTTGGTATTTTAAAATAGTTGTATCAAATTGTTTCAGGAAAACCAAACATTCTGACTCTGACAGCCGAAAATGAACTGGGGTTGTCTGCTAGCATTATCTCCCCTTATCTTGTGGTGGACACCTCATCACCAACAGAGGGGGTGTTGACATGTCCAGGCTTCATTCAGGTATTACCTTATATGGGGATCAAGCGGTCAAGCTCAGTATTTGGCTGACTGTTTCAGGCACCAGTTTGCTTTGTCCAGATTCAATTATTTACAGGCAGCCATTTTATAATTAGAATGGTGCCAAGTGCACCTGTCAACTGTCACACAATCACATCAATCGCCAGTGCTCTGCAAATAACAAATATAACAGTTTCACTATACGACACCAGGAGGTGTTTCTAACATTGTATAACACGGACTTGATTTGACAGCCTTAGGATAAAAGCGTGTTATGGTAGTAATTTTCATTGTGTATTATGCAGTCACCATGATGATTTAATGTTCATCTGTTTCCATTATTATGTTCTGGTAAGATATGAGGAAGAAATTGTTTAAAATATTTACATTGTTTCTGTAAATACAGCCGAGATCTGCAGTGGAGTGCACATGGACAGGGTTCTACGATGCCGAGAGTCAGGTTGTAGAGTTTGAGTTCGCTGTAGGCTCCCATGAGGGGCTGGAGGACGTCGTAGCACCTGTCAAACTGCCGGGAAATGCTGCCAAACATCTAGTCTCAGGTACAGAAGGATAACTGAATCTGTGTGTAAAACTGGCTCGTTATTTCAAACTTCTTCGGGTTTCAACCATTATAAAACAATTGTCATAATCATTCTAGATTTTTGTTGGACACACTATATAACGACATTGTAATGATAATAAAAATGAAAAATATAACGGCTTGTAATAAATTGGCAACGTTTTCATACTTAGGCTTAGCTGATAAGGTGACACATGGTCAGAGATACTATGCCAAGGTCAAGGCCATCAACCAAGTGGGAATGACGTCATCTAGCATCTCCAACGCCATCAACGTGGACACCACACCCCCATCGCCGGGCACTGTGGTGGAGTTGAAGTCTGTCTACATCATCAACGTCACCGACGAGATCATCACCGAGAAACTCAACACCTACAAGTGTGACACACAGGAAGGTGGGCGCCGCCATTATGTCACTTATATTTTTCTACATAGATATACATTGTAGCATGACGGCCCATAATGAGTAACTGTGGACATGCATCAGAAAGCAAAGATTGGGTTCCGTTGACCGGTTTATCTTTGACAAGTTACTTGGATCTATGATTGGTTGGTTGGTTGGTTTGCTGTATAACGCCGCACTCAGAAATATTCCAGCTATATGACGGGGGTCTGTAAATAATAGAGTCTGGACCAGACAATCCAGTGATTAATATCATGAGCATCAATCCATGCATTTGGGATCGATGACATGCATCAACCAAGTCAGCGAGCCTGACCACCCGATCCTGTTAGTCGCGTCTTACGACAAGCAGAGTCGCCTTTTACAGCAAGCATGGGTTGCTGTAGAACTATTCTACCCCGGATGTTCACGGGTCTTGATCTATACAAAAGCCAACAAAAGATCAGAAAGGTCGCCCTTTTTGGGCAAGGGGATATATGTCGTTTTCCCGATGAACATGTTTCGATGCTTTGCTCATGTCTTGAACCGATTATAGTTTAAAGAAGTTATTTGGCTTATTTATAACATCCTAAGTAAATACTTACTATTCACCGTTTCGCGATCAGTTGTATTCTGTTATGTGTAACATAACTACATCCTAAACTATGTGTTACATGACTACATCCTACACTATGTGTAACATTACTACATCCTTCACTATGTGTTACATGACTACATCCTACACTATGTGTAACATTACTACATCCTTCACTATGTGTTACATTGCTACATCCTATACTATGTGTTACATTACTACATCCTATACTATGTGTTACATTACTACATCCTATACTATGTGTTACATTACTACATCCTACACTGTGTTACATTACTACATCCTACACTATGTGTAACATTACTACATCCTTCACTATGTGTTACATGACTACATCCTACACTATGTGTAACATTACTACATCCTTCACTATGTGTTACATTGCTACATCCTATACTATGTGGTACATTACTACATCCTATACTATGTGTTACATTACTACATCCTATACTATGTGTTACATTAATACATCCTACACTGTGTTACATTACTACATCCTACACTATGTGTAACATTACTACATCCTTCACTATGTGTTACATGACTACATCCTACACTATGTGTAACATTACTACATCCTTCACTATGTGTTACATTGCTACATCCTATACTATGTGTTACATTACTACATCCTATACTATGTGTTACATTAATACATCCTACACTATGTGTTACATTAATACATCCTACACTATGTGTTACATTACTACATCCTACACTATGTGTTACATTACTACATCCTACACTATGTGTAACATTACTACATCCTTCACTACGTGTTACATTACTACATCCTACACTTTGTTACATTGCTACATCCTACACTGTGTTACATTACAACCGTGTACACTATGTTTTACATTGCTACAGCCTTCACAACTGTATGTCCACAGACTGCCTGGCTATAGACGCGGTGTGCCAGGAGTCTCTGTCCACTGTCAACGTGGCCTGGCAGACCTTCGCTGATGACGAGACGGAGATTGTCAAGTACGTCATGATGACAGTCATTAAATTTGTTCTGAACCCGCAGTATTTTAGTAATGCAGGAAGAAAGCATAAAGTAAAATGATAGCCACTTTGCACAGATACATGTACATCTTAGCACTTCCTGTATAATCAGACCATATCAAAGTACAGGAGTAGCATCTTCTCTTCAATTTTACCTATATAAAGCTTTGTTGTGGTTCTCATTTCGACATTTTGGCTTCTCCAGATACGAGATAGCTGTTGGCACTTCACCTGGAGGGGGACAGCTAAGGGGGTTCTTTGAGACTGATGACGTCACAAAGAGATACCTGTCGGTCACGGGCCTGATACTGAAGGGAGTGAGACAGGTGAGATAACTCTTGACCCTTGACCCTTGACAAAAGAGATATCCCTGAGTTGTATATGTAATTTGTGTCATGTCCACAAGATGGGTAATGTGTTATTCTGGCCATCACTTCCATAATAAGCATCACAGGGGAAGCTAAGTTTGGATTTACTAGGAACACACAATACATCCAATGATGAATTTCAAATTACAGATATTTGTGACAGTAAAAGCTACCAATGGAGCTGGCCTCAGCACAATATCCACGTCCAACGGTATCTACATGTCCTACCTCAGTCAGGGCTTGGAGCCGCTCACTCATGTTGGAATCTGGGATGGCGACAGTCACGATGGAGACCTGTGAGTATGTCTGTGAACACAGCTTAGTGAATATCTGTCTCAAAGCATGATACCAACAACTCAGACCCACAAGATAGACTGGGAAAACGCCCAGGGTCAGGTAATATCATCATCTTCTTATAAAAAGATGATTCAGTATCTAATTTGTAGTTGACCTTGTTTCTCTACAGTGACTTCCAGACAAGTCTGTCCCGAATGGGGGCCAAGTGGGACGTGTCAGGTGACCCGTGTCCAGTGGTCAAGTATGAGTGGGCAATACAAAGGGCTGACGGTCTGAGGGTCCAGGAGTACTTCAATACAGAAGGTGGGCGTTGTGACAGCACCTGACACTGATCACATGTCTTAATACTGGAGGCTTTTGTACATATGCATTTCCAGAACCTTAGAGCCAATGATTGGACTGAACACAGTTATATTCCTGAACTCAGCTATAAAAACAAAAACAAATCTGTTCCCAATTTGTGAACTTTTCTGTTGACGGAACTAATAAGGAGCCTATACCCTTCTAATGCTTGTGATGTTTTCAGATTTGGACAAAGGAGATACACAAAACTAAAATATCATTTACTTGGTTCAGCAGCTGAATCTCATCAATTGTTCTTCAATTCCAGGAAGAACTCATGGCGACAACGACGAGCTGAGCATGCAGAACATGGAACGCTACTACCAGTACCTATGGGTGACCAACGCCATGGACTACACCTACACCATCAGGTCGAACGGCATCACCATCGAGGATGACCCCCTGGTGCCTGGACAGGTCAATGATGGAGATGTCATGGGATTTGACCTTGAGTTCTTCCGAACTAAAAGTAAAGTCAGCGCCAACTGGGATAAGTTTGGCAGTGATGGCAATGCTGACGACATGTCAACAGGAATAAAAGCTGGTTAGATAATGTTTTTGCAATATTATATTTCCATATCTCCATACAAATGATGAGATAAGGATAGTCTTCCTGTAACTCATCTAGGAACTCAAGAAAAAAATATGAAAAGAATTAAAGAACATTCAGATTATTAAAAACAAACCTGTATGCTCAAAGATTCAAATGTATTTGCTTGTGTTTTCGAAATAAAGGGCGTTTTCACCTTTTCGTTGTAGATGAGGACAAAGAGAAATCTTCCAACCAAGAAGTCGCTTTCTACGAGGTTGCTGTTGGAACTGACCGCCGTTTCCCCAAAACACGTGACAACGTTGTGCCGTTTGTCAACGTTGGCCTCAACAAGACTGTGACCTTTTACGACCTTGACCTCACCCCCATCACGGCAATGTATTACTTCACTGTGAGAGCACACAGCCGTTCCGGGTCTAGGACTGACGTCACGTCCAATGGCTTCTCTGTTGGCTTTGATGGAGGAGTCTCCGGTGAGACCTTCACTTTTCCAGGACTTGTAGAAATATGTAGATTAATATATGTAGAAAAATCAGACATTACACAGCAAGAGTATCATATGGTACTTACTGGTAACACTCTGTCAAATCTTAGTCAGGACGTATACAAACACGACTAACAAAGACACCTTGAGATGTACCATCTGCCAACATTTGTCTCCTGTTTGCTGCTGCTGTGTAACAATATAAAGTGTATCGATCCATGATAGTGAACACCACTTCCTGAACACATCTCATCACCTTGTGTTTCAGCTGGTTTCATCGACATGAAGGAATTTGTCAACGCTAACACTTCCGTAGATGTACCTTGGGACGGGTTCGAATCCAAGATCGGCATGATGATGTACTACGTGGGCCTGTCCAACAACACGGAGGCTGGCAACTATAGATGCGGACAGTTTGTGAGTATAGATGACCTTCCTAGAAAATTCTACGTAAACGTATCTATTATAACCTTTTCTGTGGCAAGCGTAATTTAAGATTTAAGTTCCATCGAAAGACCTTATGTTGGTGATATGTTTTCAGACTGAAAGAGGCTCCATCACTGACGATGAACGACAAGGTATTTTCAACATTGTGGACCTACAAAATGTCGGGAAGGACACCTTCATGAAGTTTGAAAATCTGTCTCTTGAGCAGAATGGAGTCTACTATGCTTGGGTTGTCGGTAAGTTGAAGCAATAAGGTAGATGTTATGTGTTAAGCCCCATATTATACCACTAAAGCTGCTAACGACGTAAATAGTAATATGTAACAACACATAATAATGAGGTGCTAAAGGGAGATACAAATGCGTGAACGGAATGTTATATACGGAACTATATTTACGTCTTTTGGGATATTTTCTTGGGATAGGTTGTGTTATGAGCTGTTTTCCAAATTGGAACGCAGGGGTTAACCCAGAAACCAGTTCGCACAGAATAAAATTGTGAAGCAAGTATACATGTATGACCACACTAGATCAATAAAAAATCAATAATTCCAATTTCACACAAATTTCTTGTTTACAATAAAAAAGTCAATGCACTTGTTCAAATAAGTCGCAGATTCAAAACGAAACAAGCCCTAGATTAATATTAGTTCATTTATCCATGTTCCGAATATTGCAACTGTTGAAGGTCGTGAAAAAAGCCTCTCTTTAAATAAAAAAAAGGTAATAGAAGCTGGCAGACATTCAGTATCCAAACAGTATTTGGCAAGTAGATTAGAAAGAAGCCAGGTAGAAAATGCATCAAATCGCCCTCATGTCGCTTTCATCAAGGTACAGCCAGCCTTCTAGAAGCTGCCCCTTCCAGAAACTCCTCGAATGATCAAGCCTGCCATGTTCATGTGCACAAGTGCAGATAACTCTAATTCTAGTACAACATTATTCTTAAAAGCCCTACTTGCTGTTGCCGACTGCTGTTAAAAAATGCCCACGACAGCACTTGGTATTTTGGAATAGTAATACGATCATTTACTGCCATTGACACTTACCGTATTCGACGTAATAAGCGCCCAAGGCGCTCTCAAAGTTAGAAAAAGTGGGCTCTAATTAGAATATTATTTTGGTGGAAAAAACAGAGCAGTAAGATCGTAAATTTCATTTATGCTGACAGCCTGAAATGTTGACATACGACAGATATATTTTTCCAGAAATTAATTGCCCATAATTAAGGGTGCATATAACACATAAGTGCGTATTATACACGAATACATAAGTCTTGTGTACATTGATCAATCGGAAGGGGTGCTGATTGGAATTGTTCACTAGCCAATATATTAGCAAATATCGCCGTGGGCGCTTATTCGAGCGGGGCGCTTATTACGTCGAATACGGTATTTAAAATATATGTATGACTGTTGATACCGCCACTGATATTACTTACATATAAGAGCTGATAATTCTGATACATCTTTAGCTCACTGAGTAATTAATCATGTTTTGTCTTCATGAGCATATATTTTCCCTGAGAAACTGTGACATTAGCATACCTGTGTTGTGTTCATTATAGTATCACTGCACATCATTATTGATAGATTTTCTTTCTTAATCTCATCTCAAGACACAAAAACATGTCAAATTCACATTTTAGACACGGTGATATGCAAACTGCGGTTGAAATGTGTATCTATGCTTCTGACATATGTATCATTCATCATCGCTTCTGCGTCAATATCCCTGACAGCAACGTTTCATAATTAGGAATTTGATTCATACACCAGGTGCAGACAAGGCCGGAGAGTGCAACGTGACTAGTCACATGTTCCAGGTAGACGTCACACCTCCAGTCAAAGGCAGGATCAGAACAGGGCCCTATTATGACATGGTACGTGACAGGGGCCAACTTCGTAAATCCAACTCTCTGTTCAGGCCATGCTTGCTAATACCCGTAGTATCATTACATGTTCTTATAAGGTCTTGAAGAATGTATTGATATAAAGGTGTTAAATTCCACCAGTTATCAATGTGTGTGGATTTGTGGTGCACTCTATGTTTAGTGGCACAGTTGTATCAGGATGGCTACATTAATTTTCTTTGAACAATACTTTCTTCATAAATGTTGTCTCGTTATCATGTCCAGCAGGACAGCTGAGTAGTAGAAGTAAAAACATTTCTCATTATATTGTCATAGCGACTGATTTACGACAATCATTGTCTGAATGAACATTTAATTCCTAAAGCTTATTACCCTGGAGCCATGACATCTATATGCCTTGAAACACTGAATTGCCGTTATTCATAAGATGCTAATCCTAATCGTTAATCCCCATTGTATTGTACATCAACTGTCTGCCATCCTGAACGAGATGTGAAGTATGTCACTGAAGAAGTACTGTTTATATTTATTTATAACTTACTAAATGTCAGTTGACCTTGGCTGTAAGCCTTGATCAGAGAGAGAGAGAGAGAGAGAGAGAGAGAGAGAGAGAGAGAGAGAGAGAGAGAGAGATGTCTTACGCTTAGCCTAGCTAGGGTTAGGCTGGGTGCTCCGGGGCGCCAAGACAACAACCACGACCACTATGTGCTGACCTGGCACATGGTGTCTTTTGTATGTATATATCTACCTGTATAAAGTAAAATTGTATATACAGCAAGCCATCGTCTCCAAGTTATCACTTCCTACTGAGAACCCTATGCCGACCCCTTGCATTTACGAGTATGCAAATTATTCGTTAGCAACGTCACGTGTGTCTGCAACGCAGTGCACCAACGCGTTGTTAATATCTTAGTACGTGAAACATGACCTCATGTAGACACATATTTGGGGCTCATTTCATGTGTTTGCATTCACTGTTGAACAAGAATATGTTATCGTTTCTTTCATATCAAATGAAAGAAATGGCCTGTGACTTTAGAAATCTTGTTTTAAAAAAAGTCTCAAAATTAAAACAAAGTTCAGATGACCATACTTTGTTTCGTAAATAAAAGCGATCAAAACCTTCACAAAATCAGAAGAAAGGGAAAGTAAACATGTTTATGATGTTGTCGGAAGCTTACAATGGACGAGATTTCTTATCATTATTGAAATAGGTTTGTCACTTTTATGAATGATTCACCAAAAAATAGGAATGACACCAGGTATGCACAAACCAGTGAACGTATCCTGAAATGGATATATCATAGAAACAATAGGACTAAAAACAAACAACATTATATGGGGGTGTATAATGTACTGTTACATTCGGCAGCAACTGAGTTACTCGGCGAGCAGTGAGAGTCTTCAGACCTACTGGACAGACTTCAGTGATGAAGACTCGGGCATCCGCTGCTACCACGCTGCCCTGCTGAAGAGAGCCTCCTGTGACAAAGACTCGGCGGAAGAAACTGTCGTAGATTCCATAGAGATTGATGTCAACTACACGTCTTATAAATTCATGGACATCACTATGCAGGTGGGTGATTTACAAGAATTCCATGTAGAGTTTGACACGTGTACGGACACATTCTAGATATTAAAGGTTCATGTTTTCTTTCCAAGGGCAACACTCCCTACTTTGTGCGTCTCGTGGCGGAGAACTTTGCTGGTCTCAAGTCGACATTAGACTCTCCGCCAGTGCTGTACGACAACTCCCTCCCCTCCTCCGGCCTCGTCATCGACGGACATGACTTCACTCACGACATCAGCTGGAGCGGCTCTGCCAACACCGTCACAGGTAACCCATATATATTACGGTTTGGTTTAGATACGTAGGTGCAGAAATAATGTGTGGGTTTTCAGATACGGTGAATGGTAAGTGCACTTCTCATTGTACACAAGGATGTCTTCTCCAGTATCGAGTTTTTACAAGCCACGGCTCCATAGTCGTACTTATTACTGACCGTTGCATAAAACAAGGGTCATTCACTCATGCGATCTATTCACTTCGATGTACGGGGCGGTCGGGTAGCCTAGTGGTTCAAGCGTTCGCTCGTCACGCTGAAGACCCGGGTTCGATTCCTGACATGGGTACAATGTGTGAATCCCATTTCTGGTGTCCCCCGCCGTGATATTGCTGGAATATTGCTAAAGCGGCGTAAAACCATACTCACTCACTCACTCACTTCGATGTAGCGGACACATAATTGCTCCAACCGTTTGTCAAGTAAAGAGAAATTGGAACCTACTTCATTTTAATCACTTACTTTCTGCTGTCTGTAGGCACATTCCTTCACCACCCTGTGCCCGACGTGTCTCCATGTCCTGTCAGACTGGTCACATTTGATGACTCGGAGTGGAAGTACCTGGAGTCAGACCGGAACTACGACAGCAACAACCGTAGCTTGACCTTGACCTACAGGTCAGCCAACGTCCATCCCGAGTCCGGCAAAGTGGACATCAAACTGTCCCGAGACACCAAGACTGACACCATGTTTTCTGGAACCTACTTCAGAGATGCTGACCTTGTCAATGGCGGGGAGTATAAGGTATTAAGATACAAACTGGCAAATAGTTTTTGTCGCCTATTCCCACAAATTAAGTTTTCCAATCTGTGCGCAATTGCAAAACTTACTGTGACCTTGTCAATGGCGGGGAGTATAAGGTATTCAGATACAAACTGTCTCATAGATATTGTCGCATTGCATGTCTCAGATTACTACTGATGTCTCACCCACTGACTCCGTGTGTTTCAGCTGTCTATCCGAGCTGCAGCAGGTGATGGCCAGGCGGTCACCAGTGTCCTGTTCTGGGACGGCCCAGATGACTACATCCTGGACTATGACTACACACCAACACTGGACTGGACCGAGTCTGTCTGTGCCTGTTGCAGGGTGGAACCTGTTAATGCAGTATGAAGCCTTTCTGTAATCAACTGATTTCCTAACCCGTGCAGTAAAATAGCCGGCATTGTCTCCACAATTATAGTCAATGTACCAACAATAACGAAAGTAAATACAATTATTTTTTTTAAAAAATAACGAAAGTAGTCAGAGCATTGACTCGTTATGCAAAAGATCTTGGTTCGACTTCACACAAGAAGTGAAACTAAGTCTTGGTCTGTCCGTCTGTAACATAGCTAGCAAAATGCTTCAAAGCCGAAGGATACACTCAATCACTCACACTCAATCACTCACTCACTTATCCAATCATTCAACCATCCACCCCGCAGTCCTCCTAGGTGATATGTTCATAATCACCAGGGGCAACGGTAACAGGGTAATTTGTGTCCCGTAAACGTGTCAGAAACTCTTGATCGTGGGTTCGAATCCCAAAGTCTCCATGTTTGTGTTTCTAGGTTAGTCGCACTGTGCTGGTTGGCCTCAACAATATGATAAATGAAAATGTTTAGGAGTTGACGAAGTTAACAAGCCGTGATACAACTGAAATATTCTTCTAAGTAGGTTACACCAAACCTGGTCAACCAAACTCATCCTATGTATGTTTCAAAACCGTGTCTCGTCTTTCTTGTACCGACCCACCCCACCCCGCCCCGCCCCGCCCTGCCCTGCCCTGCCCTGCCCTGCCCTGCCCTGCCCTTCCCTGCCCTGCCCTGCCCTGCCCTGCCCTGCCCTGCCCCGCCCCGCCCTGCCCTGCCCTGCCCTGCCCTGCCCTGGAAAATGTTAATACTTATTATATGTCTGTTTCAATACTGTGTCTCTTCTTTCCTAGTCCTGTATGTGCAACTGTGATTCTTACCAACCCCATCCCACCCCACCCTACCCCACCCCAACCCACCTCGCCCTGCCCTGCCCTGCCCTGCCCTGCCCTGCCCTGCCCTGCCCTGTCCTGCCCTCCTGTCCTGTCCTGCCCTGCCCTGTCCTGCCCTGCCCTGCCCTGCCCTACCCTGACCCGCGCTGCCCTGCCCTGCCCTGCCCTGCCTGGAAATTGTTAATACTCATCCTATGTCTGTTTCAATACTGTGTCTCTTCTTTCCTAGTCCTGTACGTGCAACTGTGATTCTTACCTACAAGCGGAGAGGTACTACAAGAACATCACCAAGAGATCTGTGGATGGGGATGACCCTGGCTACGAGGTGAAGAAGCTGACGGACGAGGAAAAGAAGAAGCTTCAAGGGACAGGATCCATCACTGGCAAGACTGATATCGGGAATCCTAATCTTAACCCAAGGAAGGCCTGTGGAGTACAATTATTTGGAGGTTGGTGTATTTCGCTTCTGTTTGCATGCATATGTTTGTAATGAGAAATGCAGTTTTATACGGTAGCGATGTTCAAACAAATGGACAACGTGAACTGAACAGATAGGCTACAGATTACAACTGTAGTTTCAGTCATGGACCGTGAAGGTGAAGGTCTATGACCAGTACCATCATCAGTAATAAGTGGTCCTCAAGACACATGACATACCTCTTTTATTCTTACATGACTACAGGTGAAGTTTGATTCCAGTATCATCATACATTAACATGACAGTCCTGTTTTCTTCTGATGATATGACGTTATATGAAGATCACATGTCATACATGGTACCGGTATTGTTGGCATTAGCAGTACTGATGATATGCCTCCATACTGTGTATAGGTACAGCAGCCAAGTTAGTGGCATGGTGTGGTTACGGGGACTACCTCAACGAACCTGTAGAAGCAGTGAAAGATCTTCAACATGACCCCTCCACAGATTACCATCAGTACATTGTCAAGTTCACGACACAGAGAGACGAAGCAAGGGGATCAGAGGTGATTTTCGTATAAATTGGACACCATACCAATATCAAATGTACTCAAGTATCTCTGTTCTTGCCTCAATTTAACTTGCTGTTAGCTTTTGAACATGTTCAATGTAACTAATGGTATAAGCTGTCGGAGAAATATATGCTGGCAACGTTCAAGGTGTGCCATTTAGACAGGATAATACTGCCATGAACAGTATGTCTGTATGAGCTGTATGACCACGTGTGGTGAGTGATGTGGGATTAACGCCGCCTGTAACAGTATTCCAGTTATATCACGACGTGTCAGCTTAATGTGGGAGGAAATCCCGAAGTGGTGCAGGTCGTAGACGTTTATCACTTCGATGAAACCCACGAGCACCGGTATGGTGCTGACAAACCTAGGAACATAATCGGACAAACACACAGCGAATTGCGGCGCCTTTGGCGACTGGGCCACCCGTGCCCCCATGACCGCGTGTAACATCAGAATGCGAGAAATACCAGTACCCAGGGACGCATTAACGTTTACCGCGAAAACACACGAAAACCGCTCAGGTACTATCGGACCATTGATTATCATTTAGGCAAACATTAGACTAGAATACAGTATAAACTGACCCTAGAACACAAATCATCATTTCCATCAGAAAAGGCAATATACTGGAGGTTCGTGAATGTCTATACCAATTAATCATATATTAGTTGATCGCATTTAATGATCTCTCTGGTTGTGAGATTGTTTAAAAACATCATACACACAGCATATGACAAACATGCTATAAGTTTAAATTTATTGTTGTAGGTTACCTGGTGCATGGCAGTCTTCATAGACGGGGATCTGCTGACGGAGCAGTGTGGAATACCGCGTCTCTCTCTTGACACCAAACTCTTCCTGGGAGTCTGGAATCACAAGAACTATATTCCTGACACTGAACGAGATTCGGAAGGACACTTACAAGTTTGGAGTGCTACGGCTTCATTTCGTGACCTGGTGATGCCAGCTGACAAGGAGAAGTTGTGTCGCTATGGCAACCCTTTCCAAGGAGGTAACAACGCCATTGTTCGGTATGAGGCAGGAATCGGGTCAGCTTCCGGTGTCTCTGATGTAGTGCCGTACCAGCAGGTGAGATGTGGCGCATGTTGATAAATAACAGTTACAGGTTGACTTGATCGTACACAGATGAATATAATATGTCGAAAAAATTAGAAATATCTGGTAAAAAATATTTTTCAGGTGATAATGAAAACCCTGTGGTAGAGAGTGTTCAACAACACTCACTGGAAAAGTTATTTACGAAACTATTAGGTTTGAAATGGGGTAATTGTAACTTTACACGGAGGGAAGCACGACGGTAGAGATCATTGCTGTACCCGACCAGGACTTGTAGCATCACCTGAATTGCGAATGTGACATCTTCTGTGTCTTGCTCTGAGACTTGTCAACTGACACTAACGTGATGTATGTTTCACTAGGTACATACACCGTGTTTTCCCTGCCTGACGCCCTGTGACGTTACGTCATCTTACTCTAACGTGTTCTATGTGTTGCTAGGTGTATACACCGTGTATCCCCTGCCTGACACCCTGTGACGTTACGTCATCTTTCTCTAAGGTGTCCTGTGTGTTGCTCGGTACATACACCGTGTATCCCCTGCCTGACACCCTGTGACGTTACGTCATCTTACTCTAACGTGTTCTGTGTGTTGCTCGGTACATACACCGTGTATCCCCTGCCTGACACCGTGTGACGTTACGTCATCTTTCTCTAAGGTGTTCTATGTGTACATACTCCGTGTATTCCCTGTTTGACCCCCTGTGACGTGACGCCATGTTACTCTAACTTGCGTTGTGTGTTGCTAGGTATATACAGCGTGTATCCCCTGCCTGACGCCATTTGACGTTACGTCATCTTACTCTAACGTGTTCTATGTGTTGCTAGGTATATACTCCGTGTATTCCCTGTTTGACACCCTGTGACGTTACGTCATCCTACTCTAACTTGTCTTGTGGGTTGCTAGGTACATACACCGTGTATCCCCTGCCTGACGCCCTGTGACGTTACGTCATCTTACTCAAACGTGCTCTGTGTGTTGCTAGGTACATACACCGTGTATCCCCTGCCTGACGCCCTGTGACGTTACGTCATCTTACTCTTCCTTGTCTTGTGGGTTGCTAGGTATATACACCATGTATCCCCTGCCTGACGCCATGTGACGTTACGTCATCTTTCTCTAACGTGTTCTATGTCCTGCTAGGTACATACTCCGTGTATTCCCTGTTTGACCCCCTGTGACGTGACGCCATGTTACTCTAACTTGCGTTGTGTGTTGCAAGGTATATACAGCGTGTATCCCCTGCCTGACGCCATGTGACGTTACGTCATCTTACTCAAACGTGCTCTGTGTGTTGCTAGGTACATACTCCGTGTATCCCCTGTCTGACACCCTGTGACATGTACACATGTGACGCAGCTTGTGACAGCTCATCAACAGACCAGGTCAAGATCACCCTCAACGACCTCAACCTTACAGAAACAACAGTCGTGGAGGGAGAAGTAGTCCCTGTATTGTACTACCTCACAGGTGAGAGAACAACAGTTGTAAAGGGAGAAGTAGTCCCTGTATTGTACTACCTCACAGGTGAGAGAAAACAGTCGTGGAGGGAGAAGTAGTCCCGGTGTTGTACTACCTCAGAGGTGAGAAAACAACAGTTGTGGAGGGAGAAGTAGTCCCTGTATTGTACTACCTCACAGGTGAGAGAATAACAGTTGTGAAGGGAGAAGTAGTCCCAGTATTGTACTACCTCACAGGTGAGAGAACAACAGTCGTGGAGGGAGAAGTAGTCCCTGTATTGTACTACCTCACAGGTGAGAGAACAACAGTCGTGGAGGGAGAAGTAGTCCCTGTATTGTACTACCTCACAGGTGAGAGAACAACAGTTGTAAAGGGAGAAGTAGTCCCTGTATTGTACTACCTCACAGGTGAGAGAACAACAGTCGTGGAGGGAGAAGTAGTCCCTGTGTTGTACTACCTCACAGGTGAGAGAACAACAGTTGTGGAGGGAGAAGTTGTCCCTGTATTGTACTACCTCACAGGTGAGAGAACAACAGTTGTAGAGGGAGAAGTAGTCCCTGTATTGTACTACCTCACAGGTGAGAGAACAACAGTTGTAGAGGGAGAAGTAGTCCCTCTATTGTACTACCTCACAGGTGAGAGAACAACAGTTGTGGGGGTAGAAGTAGTCCCGGTGTTGTTCTACCTCACAGGTGAGAGAATAATCAAATTGTATTTCTTCCTTGTGGGGCTTCTGCCACAGAATCTCTGGTTATCCTCTCAAAGTGGCAACAGTCAGTTCTAATTGTGACCATGTTAAGTCCGTGCCATCGTACACCAAAGACATGATTCGCCTTGTATTATACCTGCAATATTGATGACATGGACGTACAGAAATGTTCATTTACTCGCAAACGTTTCAGTGAAAGCTGTCCTTGGGTCTGGAACAGAGGCCGTATCGTCATCTGACGGCTTCAACATCGACACGTCACCACCACTGTTTGACACCGACGTCATGCTCTACATCGACGTCACCCAGGGCAACTTCACCCCTGTGGCGTACCAGGGATCCAACGACACCATCAAGGCGATATGGAAGTGCAATGACAACGAGAGTGAAATTATGGTAACGCGAGGCTTCTGTGTGTAAAAATATATACATGGTTAAATGTGTTCGGAAATCTTAAAAAGTAGAGGTGTGCCTGCCAGAAGTGTTTTAATGCTTTATCGGGTCCGTTTCATACTGTATCCAACTTGTTGGGGATCAAATATATTAAAGGCAAAATGGAGTGGCCCCGTGGCCAAAGCGCTGATTTGTCACAACATACACCCGGGTTCGATCCCCATACGTGTGTGACGCATTTTTCCCCACCGTGATATCGCTGGACTACTGGTATTATCAAAATGCAGCGGAACACCACACTCACTCACTCACTCTGCTGCTGAATCGTCGACTTTGAGGCCAATTGCAAAGATACCTAGTGGAGGTTATTTAACATGTAACCAACTTTATATAAACTGGGTAAATATCGAGCTACAGGAATACATGTATGACATTACAGAACTACGAGTGGGCGATAGGCAGAGCGCCAGGAGGAGAGGAGTTGCAGACATTTGTAGCAACTGGGGAGTATCCTGGATCGATGAACTCCGGACTTGAGGGCCTCCTGGAACACAACAAGACATACTACGTGACCGTCAGATGTACCAACGGGGGAGGGCTGGTCACAACATACGCTGATCCTAGAGGTGCGTACCTTAATACATCAAACACTAGAGAGTTACTCTTGTTCCAGAGTGGCGTACCTTAATACATCACACAGTAGTGTGTTACTATTTTTCTAGAGGTGCGTACCTTAATACATCACACAGTAGAGTGTTACTATTTTTCTAGAGGTGCGTACCTTAATACATCAAACACTAGAGAGTTACTCTTGTTCCAGATGTGCGTACCTTAATACATCACACAGTAGAGTGTTCTTTTTAAAGAGGTGCGTACCTTAATACATCAAACACTAGAGAGTTACTCTTGTTCCAAAGGTGTACCTTAATACATCACACAGTAGAGTGTTACTATTTTTCTAGAGGTGCGTACCTTAATACACAAAGCGATAAATTATAACATTTTTTCCCGTGGTACGTACCTTAATACACCAAACAGTAGAGTATTACTCTGTTTCAAGAGACGTGTCTGCAGTAGAATAATTGCTACCTTTGAACTTGTGACATTTCTCAATTAGCGTTTTGTCAGTATTTTTTTTAAGAACCTGATTCCACCCTGAATGAATTAATCAATAACGTGAAATTTGTGACTTAGGTGTGACCGTTCTGCTTGAGCCTCCCCTTGTTGATGATGTCAACACGACAATAGTGGGTGCTGAATCCCTTGGAGAGAAAGTGGTGCCGCCAAACTCCATGAAAACCAAAGACAAAAACACCGTGGGTGCTTCCTGGACGGTGTCTGCAGATGAGAGTGTCAGGCGATATGGTAAATGATAATATCATGTATAATGAACGAGCGATATCATTAAAATCAGAAATGTTGCTCCAACAGGTGAATCCATAGCGAACCTTTTTACTGCTAAGACAAATCAGCTCATAGATCTGTTTTTTGCATTATGATCATTTAGCTTAATGTTTTTACATCTCCGCCCTTGTTTCAGAAATGTCGATCTGAACAAAAAGATAACATGTATGTAAAGCTGGAATAGTGCTCAGTGCGGCGTTAAACAACAAACAAATAATGACAAGATACTGAAATCAATATGCTGGTCCAAATGTTCTGCTCGCTCCATGCTAAATAACTGATTCGAAAGCTGTACACTCCTGTGCAGGGTTTGTGAGATCTTGGCGTCGACAGGTCCCGAAACTTATGTCATAAGATCAATCTCATTAAAATCAGATCGTAGTGCTCGCAACGGCGCAGCATAGATCTGTGAACATCCCGTTACATGTCATGTCCGATCGACCTTTTGTCCGACCAATCAGAGACTCCGAATGTGTTTTTAGTCATACAACCTCGAAAAGCTCAACACAGGGCTTTCAGAACAGCAGTGACCACTGATTCCGAATGTTAGACATCATCTACTCTCGCTTCAATAGATAAACATTTAAAACGGAAAAGGAACTTGCCATAGCTCCGTGAGAGTACTGCCAGACAATCTCGGACATAGAACAGACATTCCAGAATTTTGATTCAGTTTTGTTCAGTCCCTAGATCTTGATGTAGCGGCGGCGATAACTAAGATCTGATTTTAATCAGATTGTAATAAAATCGAACGTTTTGAACTAGTTACAAGTACACCTTTATGGGATGCTACGAAGCTTGTTTCTAAATACATCAAGGTATTACGTCATGATCAATAGCATTTTCGATAACAATTGATACTTTTCTTGCAAGAGTTAAGGTGATGACACCAGGTGTTCTCAAAATGTACCTTGGCTCTACCATATATAGGGGCGGCCTATAGGTTGAAGCGTTCGCTCGTCACGCCGAAGAGGTTCCATTACCGACATGGGTACAATGTGTGAAGCCCATTTCTAGTGTCCCCCGCCGTGATATTGCTGGAATATTGCTAAAAGCGGCGTAAAGCCATACTCACTCACTCACTCTGCCATATACATGCATTGTAAATTTGCAGGAAATCATTTTTATGTATTATTATTGACTGACTTTGGATAAAAGAGAATTTTAGTGGACACGGGTGACCCAGTCGTCTAAGGCGACGAAATTCGCTGAGCAGAGTTGCGTCCCTTCGAATCCCCGTTCGCCCCGATTATGTTTCTAGGTTTCTCAGGGTCACTCACTCACTCGTAAAGATCATTTGATCATTAACAACATTGAAATCTTAAGAGCATGAATTACTTCAAGACAACTCTTGTCAATAATATATATACTCATTTCTTATTTTTTTCTTTTATCGTTTCACCATCACAAGTGGTCTGTAGTGAGAGCCTTCGCTGGTCACTTTACCGTAGTTTGCAATCCAATATGGGTACACTGTGCGGAGCTCATTCTTTGTGTCCATTGCCGTGATATAGTTGGAACACTGCTAAACGTGGAGCAACTCACTCACTCACTCACGATAAAATATACAGAAACCTGAAAGACATCTATGCTTCATCTTCAGATTTCTGTGTGGGGAGTTCCGAGGCCAGCATCAGTGACATCTTCCCCTGCACGTGGGTCGGCTACAACACGTCGGGGACGGTTACAGTTGCAGATGGATACCTTAAACTAAATGGCCGTAATATCTACATGCTGAGTCAGTACCAGCCAGGTTACAATGCCTCGGTACCCGGCACCACGGACAAGTCAGCCTTCACCATGGCTCCAGGCACAGAGATGTTCATCTTCATGAAGATGTGTAATGAGGCCCAGCTGTGCACGACCAAGTTGCTGGGCTCCACCATAGTAGAGACAGACAAGTCCACGATGGCAACGTCGTCTGATGGTTCTGCCGTCACTGTAGATGTTGGGGGTGGTGCGAGGAGGAAGAGGGACGTTTCAGGAGTAACGGTATCAACGCCAGATGGTTAGTGTACGAAATAACGTGATAATGACCAGAGCTACGTAGAACCATCTCACTGACTCTTTATCAGACATTGAAAAATTGGTAGAATAGGTCAATATTAACCAATGACTTTCTCTTAAGAAACAATAGGGACAGAATAGGTTACCCTGCCTGGTGCTTCTTGTCAGGGCCGACTTAAAATATGATTGATGTGTTTGGTTTGCCTAGTAGGCCCGATTGTTTACAGGCCACAGTTGAATCTTGCTGTTTGACACTTGATTAAACATACAATGTTGTACAATGTATGTTCGCGTGTTTCATCATCTCATCAAGGTATTGCCTTGTCTGTGATCCAGGTTTACTAGTCGGTCAGAGCATTGTGGCCACTCAGCTCACGAAGCTTGACCTTGAGACAGAATACAAGTCTGACGCCTCTGTGGAGTTTGTCCCTTACATCACTGACCCATCTACATCAACCACAGAAGATGCCTTTACCGACAGAATCCTCAGAAAGAGGCTCAACTACCAGGACACAGACTTCTCCTTCTCTCTCACTAGTGTTGGTAATCTTCCCATGCCAGGGCCGGTGAAGGTGACCTTCACCTATGACCCCACGGTCACCAATACAACCTTGATGCTGCTTCACTGGAATACTGGTACGGCCTAACATTTGTTAATACAGATAATGGTACTCTATACGGAGCCATCTCGATTTACAGGGATACACTGTATAACTAACTGAGGACGCAATAGATCTGTTATACTGTACACGGTGGAGTAAAACAACGTTCAGTCACACAGTGGGATGACCATCGGTCAGACCGTAAAAAGATGTAAAAGTCTTTTATAAAAATCCAGCAATAAATACAACTGAAAGGCAACGTGAAATAAAGAGTTAAAGAGAGTCAATGATGTCTTGTATGATGCAGATGCCCGACAGTGGCAACAGAGCAACAAGACCTGTCACCGTGAAACAGACACGGAGGTCAGAGACCCCGTGACTTCTCAAGTCACGGTCAAAGTGAGTGACATGATGTCTTTTAACAGTTTATGATGAGCCCTGATATGGTAGGGTTCCACGGATGCAGAGGGCTGTCGGGAAGCCTAGTGGTTAAAACATTCGCTTGTCACGCCGAAGACCCAGGTTCTATTCCCGACATGGGTACAATGTGTGAAGCCCATTTCTAGTATTGCTAGAATATTGCTAAAAGCGGCGTAAAACAAACTCGCTCACTAACGCACTTACTCTACAGGTGTAGTTTGTTTAGACAGCTGTAGATTGTTTAGACAAATGTTGTTTATTTAGACAGGTGTACTTTGTTCAGACAGGTGCTGTTTGTTTAGACAGGTGTAGTTTGTTTAGACGGGTTTACTCAGTTTCGACAGGTGTACTTTGTTTAAACAGGTATACTTTGTTTAGACAAGTGTACTTTGTTAAGACAGGTGTACTTTGTTAAGACAGGTGTAGTTTGTTTTGTCAGGTGTACTTTGTTTAAACTGGTGTAGTTTGTAACGGCAGATAATCTTGGTTTAAACAGGTATAGTTTGTTTAGACAGGTGTACTTTGTTTTGACAGGTGTACTTTGTTTAGACAAGTGTAGTTTGTTAAGACAAATGTACTTTGTTTAGACAGGTGTAGTTTGTTTAGACAGGTGTACTCTGTTTAGACAGGTGTGCTTTGTTTAGACAGGTGTAGTTTGTTTAGACAGGCGTACTTCGTTTAGACAGGTGTAGTATGTTTAGACAGGTGTAGTTTGTTAAGACAGGTTTAGTTAGACACATTGGTATTGCTGGAATGAAGTTCAAAGGAGGGAATATCGATGGCCACACGTTTTAACATGCATGTCGAGAGACTAGAGTACCCGACCGTCCCTTTAACATACTAAACGAAGGAAATAGCAGAATGGATGTAAAATGGCGTGGTACTTTGACTTGACCTGTGTATTATAAGCTTACCGGATGTTTAAGTATCATAAATTAACACTTCAAACTTTTAACTGTATCTAGTTGTGTTAGTATGAAAATTATTGAGATCCAATCATCTTCCGCTAAATTATGCAGTACTTTTAACACAGTATGCATTAAAAGGCCGCTGTGAAGGTTAATCATTTCCAACACATATGATAGTTCTGTCTTCAACATGTAATGGACATGCTAAAGACCCTTCTTTGTTCACAGTTGTATAATCTTTGCATATCAGTCATGATATGTGGTGATTGTGTCTATCGTGTTCTGTTTAGGTTTGTAACACAAGGTCGACACCAGACAGCAGCAGTTCCAGACGTCGGCGGTCTGTGTCTGACACGTACTTCACACACCCGACCCAGTTCCTACTGACTTCAGCTCTGACAGAGATACCAAATTCACCTCCTCAGCTCACCAGCACCACGTCTCTTGTCATGCAGGAAGACCAGGGTATGTGTCTCTTAGCTTAGCTCTCTTATCCTACAGGAAGACCAGGGAATGTGTCTCTTAGCTTGTCTCTCCTGTCATGCAGGAAGACCAGGGTATGTGTCTCTTAGCTTGTCTCTCTTGTCATGCACGAAGATAAGGGTATGTGTCTCTTAGCTTGTCTCTCTTGCCATACAGGAAGACCAGGGTATGTGTCTTTTAGCTTGTCTCTCTTGTCATGCAGGAAGACCAGGGTATGTGTCTCTTAGCTTAGCTCTCTTATCCTACAGGAAGACCAGGGTATGTGTCTCTTAGCTTGTCTCTCTTGTCATGCAGGAAGATCAGGGTATGTGTCTCTTAGCTTGTCTCTCCTGTCATGCAGGAAGACCAGGGTATGTGTCTCTTAGCTTGTCTCTCTGGTCATGCAGGAAGATAAGGGTATGTGTCTCTTAGCTTGTCTCTCTTGCCATACAGGAAGACCAGGGTATGTGTCTCTTAGCTTGTCTCTCTTGTCATGCAGGAAGACCAGGGTATGTGTCTCTTAGCTTGTCTCTCCTGCCATAGAGGAAGACCAGGGTATGTGTCTCTTAACCTGTCTCTGTTATCATGCAGGAAGACCAGGGTATGTGTCTCTTAGCTTGTCTCTCTTGTCATGTAGGAAGACCAGGGTATGTGTCTCTTAGCTTGTCTCTCTTGTCATGCAGGAAGACCAGGGTATGTGTCTCTTAGCTCATCTCTCTTGTCATACAGGAAGACCAGCGTATGTGTCTCTTAGCTCGTCTCTCCTGTCATACAGGAAGACCAGGGTATGTGTCTCTTAGCTCGTCTCTTCTGTCATACAGGAAGACCAGGGTATGTGTCTCTTAGCTCGTCTCTTCTGTCATGCAGGAAGATAAGGGTATGTGTATCTTAGCTTGTCTCTCTTGTCATGCAGGAAGACCAGGGTATGTGTCTCTTAGCTTGTCTCTCCTGCCATAGAGGAAGACCAGGGTATGTGTCTCTTAACTTGTCTCTGTTATCATGCAGGAAGACCAGGTTATGTGTCTCTTAGCTTGTCTCTCTTGTCATGTAGGAAGACCAGGGTATGTGTCTCTTAGCTTGTCTCTCTTGTCATGCAGGAAGACCAGGGTATGTGTCTCTTAGCTCATCTCTCTTGTCATACAGGAAGACCAGCGTATGTGTCTCTTAGCTCGTCTCTCCTGTCATACAGGAAGACCAGGGTATGTGTCTCTTAGCTCGTCTCTTCTGTCATGCAGGAAGATAAGGGTATGTGTCTCTTAGCTTGTCTCTCTTGTCATACAGGAAGACCAGGGTATGTGTCTGTTAGCGTGTCTCTCTTGTCATGCAGGAAGACCAGGGTATGTGTCTCTTAGCTTGTCTCTCTTGTCATGCAGGGAGACCAGGGTATACGTCTCTCAGCCTGTCTCTCTTGTCATGCAGGAAGACCAGGGTATGTGTATCTTAGCTTGTCTCTCCTGTCATGCAGGAAGACCAGGTTATATTTCTCTTAGCTCGTCTCTCCTGTCATACAGAAAGACCAGGGTATGTGTCTCTTAGCTTGTCTCTCTTGTCATATACAGGAAGACCAGGGTATGTGTCTCTTAGCTTGTCTCTCTTGTCATGCAGGAAGACCAGGGTATGTGTATGTTAGCTTGTCTCTCTTGTCATGCAGGAAGACCAGGGTATGTGTATGTTAGCTTGTCTCTCCTGTCATGCAGGAAGACCAGGGTATGTGTCTCTTAGCTTGTCTCTCCTGTCATGCAGGAAGACCAGGGTATATGTCGCATAGCTTGTCTCACTTGTCATGCAAGGACATCAGGGTATGTGTCTCTTAGCTAGTCTATCTTGTCATGTAAGAGATCAGGGTATGTGTCTCTTAGCTTGTCTCTCTTGTCATGTAAGAGATCAGGGTATGTGTCTCTTAGCTAGTCTATCTTGTCATGTAAGAGGTCAGGGTATGTGTCTCTTAGCTAGTCTATCTTGTCATGTAAGAGGTCAGGGTATGTGTCTCTTAGCTAGTCTATCTTGTCATGTAAGAGGTCAGGGTATGTGTCTCTTAGCTAGTCTATCTTGTCATGTAAGAGGTCAGGGTATGTGTCTCTTAACTTGTCTCTGTTATCATGCAGGAAGACCAGGGTATGTGTCTCTTAGCTTGTCTCTCTTGTCATGTAGGAAGACCAGGGTATGTGTCTCTTAGCTTGTCTCTCTTGTCATGCAGGAAGACCAGGGTATGTGTCTCTTAGCTCATCTCTCTTGTCATACAGGACGACCAGCGTATGTGTCTCTTAGCTCGTCTCTCCTGTCATACAGGAAGACCAGGGTATGTGTCTCTTAGCTCGTCTCTTCTGTCATGCAGGAAGATAAGGGTATGTGTCTCTTAGCTTGTCTCTCTTGTCATACAGGAAGACCAGGGTATGTGTCTGTTAGCGTGTCTCTCTTGTCATGCAGGAAGACCAGGGTATGTGTCTCTTAGCTTGTCTCTCTTGTCATGCAGGGAGACCAGGGTATACGTCTCTCAGCTTGTCTCTCTTGTCATGCAGGAAGACCAGGGTATGTGTATCTTAGCTTGTCTCTCCTGTCATGCAGGAAGACCAGGTTATATTTCTCTTAGCTCGTCTCTCCTGTCATACAGAAAGACCAGGGTATGTGTCTCTTAGCTTGTCTCTCTTGTCATATACAGGAAGACCAGGTTATGTGTCTCTTACCTTGTCTCTCTTGTCATGCATGAAGACCAGGGTATGTGTATGTTAGCTTGTCTCTCTTGTCATGCAGGAAGACCAGGGTATGTGTATGTTAGCTTGTCTCTCCTGTCATGCAGGAAGACCAGGGTATGTGTCTCTTAGCTTGTCTCTCCTGTCATGCAGGAAGACCAGGGTATATGTCGCATAGCTTGTCTCACTTGTCATGCAAGGACATCAGGGTATGTGTCTCTTAGCTAGTCTATCTTGTCATGTAAGAGATCAGGGTATGTGTCTCTTAGCTTGTCTCTCTTGTCATGTAAGAGATCAGGGTATGTGTCTCTTAGCTAGTCTATCTTGTCATGTAAGAGGTCAGGGTATGTGTCTCTTAGCTAGTCTATCTTGTCATGTAAGAGGTCAGGGTATGTGTCTCTTAGCTAGTCTATCTTGTCATGTAAGAGGTCAGGGTATGTGTCTCTTAGCTAGTCTATCTTGTCATGTAAGATATCAGGGTATGTTTCTCTTAGCTTGTCTCTCTTGTCATGCAGGAAGATAAGGGTATGTGTCTCTTAGCTTGTCAATCGTGTCATGTAAGAGATCAGGGTATGTGTATTTTAGCTTGACGGGAACAGGTTAGCTCGTGGTATTGGGCATCACAAGTCGCTGTAAACATTTACGTCACCAAAGTAAGACATGAATCACTTATGACTCTCTTCCTCCATCATTCAGCCATGCCTTTCTAGTCGAATATTGAAGAGGCCACTCACTAGAGTACAGACTTACATCACTCGTTAATGTTCCAGGTACAATCGTATACCAGATGACGTCCACAGACGCCAATGGAGACGTGGTCAAGTACAAGATTAGTGACAACTTCGCTGTGGCTGATTTAGAACTGACGTTGTCAGAGGATGGATTGTGAGTTGCTACTTCAGACAGCTGTACAGTTGTATATATGTTGGTGTGTAGTATGAGAAAGTCGTGTTCAGAGGATTTGGGCTGGCTCTATGATATGTTTGGAAACCAACGATTTATACCCTGGTCTATGAAAGTCTGCGTCAGTCAGTATCTTGCATTTTCCAAACATATCAAAGGAAAACTTGACACCTTTCTGACACCAATATGTGTGTTGGTGCAACAGCGGGGCATCTGGTAAGCAGGGCAGGCTTACCATTTTCCCGAACACCTGGTGTCATCTCTGATTTTCAGTGATCCATTCATGTAATTGTCACCGCTATATGGCTTTTTACCCACAGGGGAATCGTCGGATAATCGAGATAATATATTTCAGGATGACCTATACACCTGCTACCAACTACTACGGATCAGTAGAGGTCCCGGTAATTCTTTATGAGGTGCCTCAATCTGAGATACCACCGGCTGAAACGGCTGTAAACATCAGCATCATCATCACCTCCGTCAACGACGCCCCAAGCGCCTTCATCTTCAGTGATGGAATCAGTTTCCTTCACGCAGATCCGGCCCATCCAGTCCTGGTAGGCGACATATCAATGTGTTGCTCCCTCTCTAAGTCTACACAGGGCCCATGTTCTTACCGTGAATTCGGTGATGGTAAACTGCTCATTTTATGTCAGATACCGGTACGTTTGCTTGTCACGTCGAAGGCCCAGGTTCGATTCTCCGTAATGATACAATGTGTGAAGCCCATATCTGATGTTTCCCGCCGTGATATTCCTGGAATATTGATTGATAAAAGCGGCGTACAACTATCACTCACTAAATAGTGTTATGTAGAGCTGCCGCAAGCCGTCTTTATCAAGGGAAGCAACCAATTAGCAACATTTTGTGTAAGGAGACCACATGCAAACACCTCACATTGTCAAATAAGGTTTTAACCTTGTTCACAATATCCATTTCACATATTCTGAGCGGGTTGTACATTAGGCGTGTTTAAAGGACTGTTGTCTGGTTACCACCTTCCAACATTGTCCCCATGTTGGGGTATAAATGTGTCTTACCATTGGTCAGTGTAGAGTAACTCGGGGCACAGCTGGTGGGCTGTTTGAATGCTTTCTAGAACTGTCATGTGGTCAGAGCCCTAAATTCCTCTTTAGGGACGGACATGGTTGGGTCATTGGCAAGCATTATGGCTTATACAAGTATACATTTGTGTTTGTTGGTTGTAAAACGCCGCACTCTGCAATATTCCAGCTACATGACGGCGGTCTGTAAATAATCGAGTCTGGACTAGACAATCCAGTGTTTGACATTATGAGCATCGATCCACACAATTGGGATATGATGACATGCATCAACCAAGTCAGCGAGCCTGACTACCCGATCCCGTTAGACGCCTATTACGACAAGCATAGTCGCATCGGTTGCTGAAGACCTATTCTACCCCGGATCTTCACGGGTCAAGTAAACAAGTAAATAATAAAGTTATAGCTATGGAGCTTCAGCTTGGTGCGAAGACCGGACACATCGTCACCAAGACAAGGCGCTAATATAGAAAGGCTTTGTTTATGACAGGGTAATTTGCTTTTCCAGATTCTGCTGGAGCAGGTACGAGTAAATGACAGCAGCCCTACAACATACAGATGGGAATTCGGTGCGTACGACGTTGACGTTGACGACAACATGACCATCTACTACACTCAGCCATCAAGCGGGACCCTCACAGTCGGCGACGTGAACACCGTGGTACCCTGCTCATACAATACGGTCAGTCAGAGACGCATTGCATTCGTGAATTTATAACATGTATTCATATAAAAATGACCCGTCCTATTCAGGGCGTAAATTTGAAACAGTGTCCTCGTGTGGTGTGACCGCCTCTGTGGTCCAGAGCGTCCGTCCGGAGAGCGGAGGATCGGTGTTTCTGCCAACGACCGCATCATACCAAATGACATATAAAGAAGGCATTCGGTATTAAAACAAGGACTGGTCGGCTCGGAGTCAGTATACTGTCTGAGTGGGGTAATCATGTTAAACTGCGGCATGGTATCTCAGTGGACAAGCACTATAAAACCGGCATTAGTCCGGACCAGTAGAAGCAGCCACACACACATGCATGTACGTCGCTGAATAAGTGCAATAATCTTAAAACAGACGTTCATCCCCATTTCTTCTAGTGTAATGGTCCAAACATCAGCGCATATTGTATGGATTTCAGAGCGGCATCCCCTGTGACAGGCTCAACCTCCCCCATCCTCCTGACTCCCTCAACTGGGTCTACAGGACCTTCCAGTACCAACCTGACCCTGGTTACCATGGTTACGATGAGGTCCGTGTATACGCACAGGACCAAGCAGGGGTATACTCGGATGTCATCACTATCAAACCAACTGTTATGGAGAGGCCATGCGCGAATGGAGGAACATGTAAAAGTAAGCTATGATATATATATATATATGTGTGTGTGTGTGTGTGTGTGTGTGTGTGTGTGTGTGTGTGTGTGCTGACCAGCTTGAACTGATTTGGCTGGAAGCCTAATGGTTAAAGCGCTGGCTCGTCATGCCAAAAGCCAAGTTCGAATCATCACACATGCAATCGTCCTACGAAAATACACATCAGCGAAAACTTACTGTAGCCTTTATTATAACATACAGGACCAAACATTTACTGGAAAGATATACCCATTATGATCTGACGCAGAAACTTGTCGCTATAACTGAAATTAGGCCATCGTCAATATTTCACGTGTTTGCCACACTATACTCCTCCATCACCCCTGAATACTGTGAACGACTCATGGACGTCAAATGAGCCAAGCTCCGAACCTGCATGAACCGTGTGCGAACCTTACCGTTGCTTCATATTACAGCAATGTGTAGACTAGATGCCTCAAGAGCTGCAGCACATGTTGCACGAGAAATAGTGCTGATTGGTCGATGTAATCTGAGCGCTCATTGGTCAGAGCACTCGCTGGTTTCCACGTCATTACGATCAGGCCTTGGCTCGATTCGATTAACAATGGCAGCTACATTTCAAAACGGCCATATGTATGCATGGATGATGGACGAACACATTGTATGAAAACCTGCTAAGTATTGATGATGAAATTAAACTGACGTTCCGGTTAAAGACGAGACTTGTCAATTCCTAAGAGGCGAAAATGTTTTCTTTCTCTTGTTCCATCTCTGGAGCAGATGTTTCTAATCTATACTGCACAAAACAAGTTACGACAGATATGAAAGAATAGGGTGTTCTTTAACTTCTTTTGAGTAGTATATATCAGAACACTAAGTTGAATACCAACAAAAAAAGAATTACCTACAAAGTCACAGTTAAAAACACGGATTGTATATATCCTACAATCATACTGGTTGAAGGAAACCTTTTTAAGGATTTGAAGCGGGGAATATTCATTGAATGAGTAAGTTAATATTTAACGTCACATTGGCAATAGAATCTTTATTGAAGTGATTCGCGACGTATGAAAAGTTTTCATGACAAACATCTTCCCTTTCATGAATTTGAAAACAAACAAACTAGGATTCATTTTGTTCTCGGTTCGATTAACAACTGACAAACATACTTCACAGCTGTTTGGACACAGAGAAAGAAAGCAGCACATTAGCCATAACTTAACATTATTAAAATCGATAAGTCTTCCAGTTAAAAATATTCCTGGACACGAATAACTCGATAAGACTCGCTGTAAGAATCGCAGAATGATTAGCTCTTTGTCATACAATCTCCACAAAATCCCCACATGCCACACACCTATTTCAAGTTATACCTTCACATACATAATTTCAGGCAAGAAGGAAAGCGTGTACAACTGCACCAACTACCGCCGTGCTGAAGGTTTTGACCTCTACTATGAGTGTGCGTGCGCACCTGGCTGGACCGGCATTCATTGCGAGGATGACGTCAACGAGTGCAGCAGCTCTCCGTGTTCCTGGCCGTACGTCTGCTACAACGACGTCAACAGATACTACTGCGCATGTGCAAAAGATAATCCAAAATGTGATGGGTTGCAAGCATGGATGATCGGTCTGATTGTGTTGGCGGGGATATTGATAATCATCTTATCCTTGCTAGCTTGGTATCTCTGCATGCTCAAACGAGGGTAGGTACTGCGCATGTCCGCATGGCTACGTCAATCAATGGGTGCGTCAATCAATGGCTACGTCAATCAATGGCTACGTCAATCAATGGGTACGTCAATCACCTGTCGAGTATAAAACGAGTAAGACACTAAATATAACACGACGTTCCAATTCCATTCAAATTGCCGAAAATAGACATTGAGAGGACCTACTGGTATGACGATATAAGCTCTATAAGTTTAGCCGACGAAGGTGAAAATGAAATTCTAGTTTCTTATTTCTAAACAAGAACTATCCTTTACTTAATATTTACATTTTCTTTACAAACAACTTTAATTCAACCCTTACAAAAGGGCTTACAACTATATATCACCTGCTTTACAAATCAATCGACCCATAGTTCACAACGTTGAATAACATTATAATATGAAGAACAGTAATTTTCTGTGGAGGTCAAATTTGCACAATGAAAAGGCGATCGATATTGGAAGGGAAATAACTCTTTCTGTTATGTGTTATCAGAAACACGTAAGGCAGCCTCGTTTTATCCCAAGGAAAGAGATGGGCCCACAACCTATTTGGTCTTTAAACCAAGTAAACCTAGTAATGCAAAAGTGTCTCAAGTACACCTCTGTTCTAACTTCAGCTGGTCGAATGAATCCTTTTCAGCAAACCTTGGTGCTTTCACAAGTGCGTAAAATCCTCACTTGTACATTTTTTCGATGTATAGATAAATTCCGAAGATAAGAACTGTTTATGTGTTACAGAAAACAATATTTACCTACTGTGTCATGATTCTGGCAACATTTGTATAAGGAAGAATATGCATGCAGTCAACCCAGGTAATTTAGCATGATTCAATAACTGGTGTGAGCTGGAATGTGCAAGAACTTTGTGACAAGGTAGTTCACTGAGGGATGTTATATTAGTGTGATACATCTGCTTGCTTTTTATAGTTGATCACTGATGGAACGTTTGTTGGCATGGTCATGGCTTACGTATACTGCATGTTCAGTCTTATCACGCCAGTGGAAGTTGTGGTTACATTTTTTTATAAATATCGCATAGTTTGCATGGATTTCTTATTACTCTTTTATTCTTCGTTTCTTTATAAACATACCACCTGTTAACACGCTCCAACCATTATCCTTTTCACTTTCATTGGAAGAAACAAAAGTCCATGTAGCTTGGAAGGTCATTGAAGAACGTTCACTCCAAAATGTGTGAAATGACCACTTATCCAAAATTTCAAGCAGTCGAATGAGTTCATTCTCAGAATAATTCCTGATGCAGAATGCATTGGCTAGCACCGGATCAATGGGTGTAGTTTGGAATTGCTTTGCATTGTGTACTGCGAGAGTCGTTATGATATGTTTAAATACAAGATATGGCTGAAGAGTTGTAAGCTAGGAAGGATGTATGGTACACCCTTAAAAGTTTCCGTGTATTAAATACATTACGTCCCGTGTTTACAGGCTGCATTTGAACTAAATACACAACCAGGCAGCATAGTTCTGCAGGCAGCAAAGTGACCAGGTATTCCCTGTTGATGAAAATGCACAAAACTGGTAACCGTGCTGTCATAAAGTATCGCCAACTGAAAGGGCTAAGTCCAACAGCCATACATGCGGACATGGTGTCAACGTAAGAGGATGATACTCCTTCTTTTGCCACTGTTATGGAGTGGGCAGCGGAGTTCAAGAGGGGAAGAGAGAACTTTGATGATGATCCAAGATCAGGAAGACCTTCAACCGCACTTACTAAGGAATAAGACACATGATAAGACAGATAATATGATTATGGAGGATCGACGACTCACCACACGTCACATAGCCAATACAGTCGGCATCCCCTATGAGAGAATTGGAAACATTCTTAAGAATGACCTGGGTGTGACAAAGGTTTCAGAACACTGGGTTCCAATGCTTCTGTCTCCTGATCAGAAACGGTTTGGGTTTCCCATCTCTCAAGATAATTTTCGTCGTTTTGAAGCAGACCCATTAGCTGGCAACATGATGGCTTCAGTAGTTTGGGATTCCAACGGAATCCAATTGTGAACGACCTCACAAGAGGTCAGACCATTTATGGCCGATATTGTGCTAATCTGCTTTAGCAACTGCGTGAGAATATCAAGGCTAAATGACGTAGAAGGCCCACGAAACGTGTGTTGGACCATGGACCTGTGCACAAGTATGCTGTTGCCATGGCTGCAGTGCATGAGTTTCGATTTGAATTATTGAATATCCTCTGTATTATTCGTCAGAGATCCACGTCTTTCCAAACTTGTAGGAAGAACTGTCTGGCAAGCATTATACAAAATGGTGATGACATCATTTATGCTGTGGGGAACTTTTTGGGATGAAGGCGCACCAGCATCCTTGAAAGACGTGTGTGGACCTCAGATAATACTTAGAGCAGTCCATCAAAGTTAGGTTCAGAACTCTTCAGCCACTCCCCGTATATAGTCGAAAGTAAGATGGCATTTGTGTTTGGGAAATAACGTAGTTCGTGACATGGTTACGTCTGAAGTGTTTGGTGTATCCCTGGGGCATATAACACATATGTGTGTCTTACAGAACGGTATGTGTGTTATTGTCCTGCATAAAGGTACATGTTTAGATTATAAATATATCATATACCTTCTTCCAAAACAGTTCGACCAGATATGATTCTGACCAAACAACTCTGAAAATGGACAACAACTAATTTAAACTTGCAAATACTGATACGTTATAAGTTTCAATCTCGCAACCCTTATGTGTAAGTTTCTCATTTTAACACGGTTGAGTACTTGTTCTTATAAATACTCAATGGCTCAAGGGTTGTCTTAAATAATTCGTCATGTCTCGATTATAAATACACAAAATGAAACCTAAATACTTGCTGAAAACCAACATGAACGCCTGATGGCATGTTTACAATGATTCGAAAGTGCACAGTTCTAGGAGTGTGTCACTTTGGTTCGGTTTGACTCTGTATCTTTTCAAATGCCAGACGTACAGGTGTGAATCGTGTTGGTTATGAGGTCTAACACTGCGCTGACCTGCTACAAGAGGATGTCCATGCCACTTTGGTAGCGGCAATTACTGACAAGTTCTTCAAGATTATTTACACATTGTTTTCCAGACGTTTCCACTGGTCATTGACATTTTACAAGATCTTCCGTATCCGACCTAAGGGATCCAGAACACCCTTTGTCAATGAAGGCTTTAGTGATGTAAGTATGTTGAGAAGTTTAGAGTACACCAATGTGGCAATACTCCAGCAAGACTTCAGAAGGGACGAAGACATCAGAAAAGGCTTAACTAGTATACTATAACCAGTATGCTTCCCCGTGTACCATTGATAATATAGCTCCTGTTCATTCAACACGTAGGGTTAGCAGTCATGGTTGTTTCTTCACAATTAGCTATAGAAGTCTTTTAATTATTATTTTTAATTTCTGTCTATTTCGTAACTAGATTCCCAGTCCCCTTGACATATAGTTATTACTAACTTTGCAGTGAATGTCCATGATTGCTGCGTTGTTGATAATGCCCGCATAATGTAAACAAATATGATGCTCACACTCTCATCCACTCTTTCGTTTGACACGACTGCTATTCAGCCAAATCTTAATCTGTGACAATTTACCTCGTGAAAAGTTATCAATCATGAGTAATGAAGAATTTTTTTTTTGTAAAAAATAAGTAAAAAATTGTAAAATTGGATTGTAAAAAATAAGTAATTACTTCTTTCAGGATTTGAGCGGAAGTGAGAAAAGCCATAAGGTAAGTGTCAATATTACCTCATAGTCAACAACATAAACTTGAACCTCAAATGTAATGTAAGTCCGGACACTGATTTGCCCGGACACCTTTTTGATGAGTACAAAGGTTACTCTACGTAATTCTCTAATTGGCTTTATTAAAGAAACAAACGACTCGTGGGCGTTTTTATCATACAATAAATCCCTCCAGGGAGAATAAATCAGGAGGGGCGCAACCCCGAGTGGTTTATTATCCCTGCAGTGTTTTATTGTACGACAAACAACGACCACGAGTCGTAGTTTTATTTCTTATATGAGATATCTATATTTTTATAGCCTCTTAATGGGTGTTAATAAAATGTACAAGCTTCAGAAATGTTTACAAGTATTTACTGATGACTCAACTAAGCATTCTGTATCCTATTAAGTAGTATCTCCCAATACGAGTCCTCTGGAGGTCGCAGGGGTGGTCGGGTAGCCTAGTGGTTAAAGCGTTCAGTCGTCACGCCGAAGACCCGAGATCGATTCCCTACATAGGTACAATGTGTGAAGCTCATTTCTTGTGTCCCCCGTCGTGATTTTGCTTGAATATTGCTAATAGCGGCCTAAAACTATACTCGCTCACTCGCTCACTCGCTCACTCGCTCACTCACTCACTCTAGAAGTAGCCATTTTGACAGTGGCGACACAGGCTTAGACCTTGCACTGTAGGCACGTTCTTTTAGGATAGGTCGTCATCCAATTATATTCATATTAAACTGTTCACAGTCCCGTGCGTTATCCGGAGCGTCCGGCGTGTTCATGCCCAGTCGGCGGCCAGATGACCCCACAACTCCGATGAGGTCAGAACGATCTCTGCGACCGGTGCCCCATCTTCACGACCACGATGCCGTGAGTAACTACAGCTTGGTTATTTAAATGTACAAACATTGCAGAATACTCCGCTTACAAAAGTATGTCCATGATATCACGGCTTAAAGTGATGCACGAGTTTCGTATAAAACACCAAGGATCACAATCAGGACGAATCCGGAATTAAAACGCAGGACCAGTAGCTTTCCAGACATGGAATGCTGAAAATGTACTTACTAAGTTGGTGTTTTTTTCTCCAGGCAAGAGTCCTAACCAGTGAGCCACATCTGGGAGAGGCAAACATCCGCTTTGTCCACTCCAGACATCAACTGTCTCGTCCTGACTTCACTCGTGGTGCAACAACGGACCGGCCCAGAACACCAGTCGAGGATTACGAAGAAAGACCAAGCAGTTCATCCTCTCTTATCAGGGGCAAGTCTCTGGGCAGAAGAAAGTCACGCCGTGTCGCCCCCGGCCCCGAACCGGAACCAGACTATGATGCTTGAAGAACTCCAGAAATTATTAGATAGTTGTCTTTCAGAAAATGCTTAAATGTAACTTACTTTTTGTTATTTGTAAACACATGTCGTGCAAATGGTTGATTTAAAAATAAAGGTTACTTTACTGAATGTTGAAAAAATCAGCTAATTAAATAATAATCCCCAGTCTAATAATCTAATTACAAGGGCTTCCATTGATGGAAACTGCTGACAGGATGTCATCGATAAATGATATATGAATGTTGGCTGTGTGTTTCTATTAATGAAATCTCACAGATTATTCCTCTGCTGTTGTAAGAAAGTTTAAATTAGCGTCAAGACACGCATATAACTCGAGCGGACATTGGAAAGTTGAATATGAACTTTGTTGAAGTTAAAAAAGTTAAAAACATGTATATTTTAATCCGTTTAAGACGGTTATATTAAATATTCACTTTCAAGATCAACGCTGAAGATTGTACTTGCATTTATCACAACCGATCACGCACCAGACATGAATGTATTAATGAATCGCATAATTGTACTTTTTAATATAGTTATTGACATTTTTCTCCAAAATAAATATTCTTCAGCAAATCAAACGTTGTTTTCGTCAGTATATTCCCTCTCGGTCGTGATGGAGGCCGAGGTCCGGTCAGACCGTCGAAGGGGTCGAGTCCGGGGTCGATTGTTTCGTATATTGACCTCGTCCGTGTTCGTTTATTTGTTGTTTAACGCCACACTCATCAATATTCCAGCTATATGACGGCGGTCTGTAAATAATCGAGTCTGGACCAGATAATCCAGTGGTTGACATCATGAGCATCGATCCAAACATTTAGGATACGATGACATGCATCAACCAAGTCAGCGAGCCTGACCACCCGATCCCGTTAGTCTTACAACAAGCATAGTCGCCTGTTACGACAAGCATGGATTGCTGAAGATCTATTCTACCCATGATCTTCACGGGTCTCGTTTGGAGTTATTATTCGTTGTGTTGTACCGATATTCACATACAGTTTTTGAACTCTTGAACCGTCCTGTTTCATTACAATAACATAGCTGCCAACCGTACAATGTTAGTACCAGACGCCATCTTGTTTTCTAGGAGACGAGTCAATATTCATCACGTGACAGGCCAATAATGATCATGTGACGAGTAAATATTCGAATGTCAGTGTCTGTCATGATTTTAGGGTCTACATTGGATTCCATTGCTTCGTTAATGGTATGGATTAACAGATGGAATTGCAAAATTCTTAATTGAGGTGTAATAATATTAATTGAGATCGTACTGTAACAAGTAGTAATGAATCGTCAATCGATGAGTGAGTGAGTGAGTTGGGTTTAACGCCGTTTTTAACAGTATTCCAGTTATATCACGGCGTGTCAGCTTAATGTGGGAGGAAAGCCCAAAGTGATGCAGGTCTCAGACGTTTACCACTTCGGTGAAACCAACGAGCATGGGCATGGTGCTGACAAACCTAGAAAAATAATCGGGCCGAACCGGGATTCGAACATCATAACACAATCATAGGTTTCTGGCGTGCCCAAGGGATACAACTCTGCACAGCGAACCGCAGCGCCTTAGACGACTGGGCCACCGTGCCCCCTAATCTAAAAAGGACCTTCACGGGGGAATGGCGTCATGTACTTTGCGTATATTATATACTTTGGAGATATACAGTTTGTGCTTTGACATGTATCAACCACATCAGCGAGCCTGACCGCCCGATCATGTTAGTCGCCTCTTACGACAAGCATAGTCACCTTTTACGTTACAGGGCCCCGTTCCACAAAGCGATCTTAGCGCTAACTCGGTCGTAACTCCTATTCGTTAACACTAGCTTACGACAGTCGTAGCGCTAAGATCGCTTTGTGGAACGGGTCCAAGAATCGTATTATAGCCATGTGGGGAGTCGAACGCGGTACTGGGCGTGACGAGCGGTCATGTTAACTACTGGACTGCCACACGCCCATGTATTTATCCCTATGTTCTGACACAGACAGTAATATGTATGACACACACAGACCACATGGAACAAAGCGAGTACGTGTTTACCCACAGATAAACACACAATGACACGCACAATCTGATCGACAGCAGTCAGTGTTAGTTGCCTCGGCGTCAGCTCCATGATTGGTAGGTTCGCCTTCGTCACTTTCCGTAAATAGATTTCCGTTTGCTCCCGTTACGAAAGGGAGTTGATGCGATTAGATATGACATTATTTGAAAATTATAAATATAATGTAAAATTACTTAACTTTATCAATACATAAGCTTGTGACGTGGCAAAATAGATATACATTGATATTCTTCAACTGCGTATGTAGTCGTAAATGATATTGCACTCGTTTATTACTCAGCGGTATATATAGCCATGATCGTCTCAGCATGGAGATACGGATTATATGAAAGTATGACGCAAGGTATTTGTCATTTCTACGTTGAGTCTTTAAATAAAATCTATCAGATATTCTATGAATATCTTGTCTTTACCGTTGCTTACCAACTTCTAAAAATGCCAATCAAACAGTTGACATTCTTCTATTTCAAACCGCTGACCGTACGTGTATTTTTGTCTGTATATGACAATCGGTTCCTCAGAACAAACACACCTTACATGCGCAATAATATAATATTCAATAACACTTCTTTTTTAAGGCGCTGAAAAATCATGCCTCGTCGAATTAAAATCTGTGTCCTGAGTGATCATTTATTTTTTATCCTTAATGTATTTTTTATCTTTTATATTTTTCGCCTCGGTATTTCTACTTTCATCGTTAATGCGCCCGGTAGTAGAAGAACCCCTTGCCCATCACCATTGGTGATTTTAAGAATATTTGAGAATAGTGGGTGAGTGAGTGAGTATGGTTTTACGCCGCTTTTAGCAATATTCCACCAATATCACGACGGGGGTTACCAGAAATGGGCTTCACACATTGTACCCATGCCGGGAATCGAACCCGGATCTTCGGCGTGACGAGCGAACGCTTTAACCACTAGGCTACCGGACCGCCCTTATTTGAGAACAGACATTGATAGGTACAAATATGAATACAAGCACGTACTGATTTACAAGATTCGAATCTTCATAATAATACAATTACCTTTTTAAACACCAGTTGAAAAAGTGTTCATCAAGCGCAAATTATCCATACTGTACAAATAATTCAAACACCATACCTAAAGCACCACATTAAGGAGAATGTGTATCTTGAAAAGGTCTGTATTATTAGTTTCAGTATTCAATGAAAGTATTGTTTCCAGGATGAAACATTGATTAATCAGAGTTTTACGTTGTTTAAGCAATAATCTAGGAATGGAGACCATTCGTCACCACTCGCCCCTTTCCGTAACCTGCAAGAAGACTCGTCCCCTATCGATGAATGTTATGTGCGCAAATACGACAAACCAATCAGAATGCGCGTATGATTTCAAGTTCTTCGTCAAAGAATCCCTCAGAAACAATTTTTGATTTTACATATGTCTTGCATCTAAAAATATACCCAAGACACAGTTAAATGTGTTCAATCATACTGTATAATTCCGCATGTCCCGATGTGCTTTAAATTGCATCTGAAATATATGTAATATATGGGGAAATATTTGTAAACCATTATGCAACGAGTTGACAATTGTTTTAGGTATGCCTGTTTGCGCTAAGACGGAACCCGGTCGCAAAAATGGCCACGAGAGGGGCACGAGTCGCTATTCGGCTTGTCCCGGAATAACACGAGTTGCTCACGAATGGAGTGGAGACGGCAGATCCTCGCGCGTGGCATTGTACCCACGTGACACGACACTGTGAGACGACGTGAGTGTGAGATCACTAAGGGTAGTTATCAGAAACGCAGGGATATATTGGTTGATTACGAGCGACGGAAATAACTCTGACATTGGCATTATAAGTACACGGTAGTTCACGTTGTATCTACATAACTTATATAAACATGCGTCACACTTTAAAGTAATAAACACTTAGACAGAGCGATTGTATATGGAATGTTTTCAAATGAGAAATGAGATTTAGGTTTTGAGTTCACAGACATCTGAGTGTTTAATTCTGCTAAATGATGACAGGTAAGAGAGATATTGTCACGTGTGTGTTGTACTCATTATTTCGCTTCTGTTTATACGTGTAGATTTATCAACAAGTATGATTATTGCTTGTCTATTAAATTGATGTTCGTATACTACACAAATTAAAGGTTTAAATTCAGATATTTAAACTTTTCGTTTTGTTAATATTTCTAAAATATTTTTTACTTTTCATTCATTCGTTCGTTCTTTCATTCGTTCCTTCATTCTGTTATCTTTACATACTGTTTACATGTGTATGTATTTATTTATGTGGTTTATGTACGTATTTATTCATTCATGGGTTTTAAACGGGTATGCCTGTGTAATTCCATTTTGTCTGTTATTAGTTCATAATTTGTTTACGGTTCGTATATATTTGTATGTATGTATTTATTTATGATTTTTATATCGGTGTGTATTTATGCATGTATGTGTGCGTGTGTGCGCGCGTGTGTGTGTTTGTATGTGTGTATACATGTATGTGTGTGTGTGTGCATGTGTGCGTGTTTATATGTGAGTGTGTGTTTGTTATATATATATATATTGTGCGAGTGAGTGAATGTGTGTGTGTGTGGGGGGGGGGGGGGGGGTGTATGATGCATGTATGTGTTTGTGCGAGTGAGTGTGTGTGTGTGTGTGTGTGTGTGTGTGTGTGTGTGTGTGTGTGTGTGTGTGTGTGTGTGTGTGTGTGTGTGTGTGTGTGTGTGTGTGTGGTCATTTATCAGGTGTGTCTGTGTAGTCCCCTTTCATCTGTCCTCTTTATGTGAAGCGTTCATTAGTTTTTAACTAATACGTTAAATTAAGTAAATACATGTTTACATTCGATAGGACATACGACATTATATACGTATTCTAAGGCGACGCATTTCGCTGTGCAGGCTTCATACACTAGTCGGGTAGCCTAGTGGTTAAAGCGTTCGCTCGTCACGCCGAAGACCCGGGTTTGATTCCCGACAAGGGTACAATGTGTGAAGCCCATTTCTGGTGTCCCCCGCAGTAATATATTGCTGTAATATTGCTAAAAGCGGCGTAAAAACAATACTCACTCACTCACTCATACACTAGTCATGGAAGGATCCGCTGATCGTGTGTTCGAATCCGTGATCCTTATGATTCTTGATCCTTCTGCACCATACACCTGCAAGTGCCATGACTCCGGACGTTAATGATAACTACCCACTACAGAAAAATATATCCATCAGCAACTAATTTTATTGAGTACAGTGCAGTAATTTATCTGGAACAGAAGTGATGTAACAATACTGTTGAATGTTAATCTAATCTAAATTGCCATAATAGGGGTTTTAAATATGACATAATAAGGGTTATCTTTTTTTTCACATAATTAAGAAACATATTTTTTTCTAGCAGAGTACCCATATCATTAATGTGAATACACGTGAATAAGTTATTTAACTATGCTACACATAAACTGCCGGCGGAGGAAAGTATACGCCAGTGTTTGATTGTGACTAAAAATGAAATACACAAGAAATGGTTATTCGATAGTGATATGATACGGTATCATAGTTGTGTCTTGGAGCTTAACCTTTGGCAGTGTTTCGGCGACTGTTTTCAGCCGGGAACGTTTCGATGACGTTTGTAATTGTTTAGTCAAATCTCTCTTTTATCTGCAACATCAATTTCCTATCCTCTCTTGGATAACATCGTTAAATTATCTACGCCATCGCCTGAGCATCCTACATACGACGAACGTGTTTCAAGATGAGACCACATTTGTTGATGTTTTGTTTGTTTGTTGTTGTTTGTTTGTTGTTTAACGCTGCACTCAGCAATATTCCGGCTATATGACGGCGGTCTGTAAATAATCGATGTAATGGTGATATGATGTTTGGTTCAATACTTTACAACTGTTTTTATCATCAACTTGTTTTGCTCGGTGGGTATATAATTAAAACTTAGATGACACACTGTTTAAAGTGCAGGATGTTTGGCGTGTGTACTGTGTACTGTGTACTGTGTACTGTGTAATGCTAGTTATGGGAAGGCTTTGTTCTCTAAATACATGTTATAACTTTGAATGCATTTGATCAATAATTTTTTTTAATTGTTAAGTTATTTTTGGGGGTATTACGTTTAATTTTTGTTTGATTCTGGTAGTTATAACTTGTGTTAAATCAAAGAATCTTCCAAATAAACTTTAAACTATTCTTATTTTATTTTATTTAATTGTGGCTTTTAGGTTCAATAAGTCTCACTCGTAAACCTGACTATAATAGAGCGTCTCCTTGGTCACATGAGGTGTAGTACCATGTGTTCGTCAAATGTCTAAGTATCTGGCCATCACATTTTATTTGAGGTGTTAGTGGGCTTTGTGGGGGGGGGGAGGTTGATTGGGTGGGGGTGGTGACACTGAGCCGTTTGTAAGTGGTTGTTTCGTTTCGATCACTGCTTCAAGACATACAACTTGGTGTGTTCTTAACACGGCACGGGTGGCCCAGTCGTCTAAGGCGCCGCGATTCGCTGTGCAGAGTTGCGTCCCTTGGGCACGCCAGAAACCTATGATTGTGAGTTCGAATCCCGGTTCGCCCCGATGATGTTTCTAGGTTTGTCAGCACCATACCCGTGCTCGTGGGTTTCACTGAAGTGGTAAACGTCTAAGACCTGCATTACTTCGAGCTTTCCTCCCACATTAAGCTGACACGCCGCGATGTAACTGGAATACTGTTAAAAGCGGCGTTAAACCCAACTCACTCACTCACTCAGGACATCAAGCATGTCAAACGCAATTTTATGTTTTTAAAACTCAGAGGCAAACACATCCTTAAAGAGTTCTATGCTTTTAACCCTGAAATATGCTGTCTGAAGTCTTTAAGTGATTTGTCTATACTACCGGGCAAAACAAAGTGTTCACTTGAAAATCTGATTTGGCCAAGACGTTACCAGGCTGGAAACATTCGCCTGCAAACTTATGGTCCAAAACAAAACAATAATACCCGGATGAAACATTTCACCATCGAATAACCATACCTTGTTTGTTTCATTTGTAGCCACCGTAAAAAAATAGGGTATACTTTCTTTGGCCGAGAGTGTAGAACGCTATACATATCAAGCCATAAACGAATTCAAGTCCCTTTAATGTAATTTAGTTTTTCTTCTATTATATTTATGCGTCTGTAACCTCTAACCTTTAGTTAGCTCATTTTAACCACATGTTATGCGATCGTGGACTAATTTTCATGTTTTCGACAGCGCCTGGCGGAAGGATAACGTCATGTGATCGCTCTCCCGCCTCACGCCGTGTACTGGAGGACAGCATGAGCTTGCGCCTTGTCATTCTACTGACCTTCACATTGACAGATTCCAAACCGGTGAGCTTTCGAATTCTAGAAACAGAAAGAAATCCTATCAATAAAAGGCTCGCGAAGAATAAATGAAGAACTTCACAGATGAAGGTTTGCATATAAGGCTATTAACGACACAGTTATTGTTATAATGAGATCCAAAAGCGGCTTTAAACCACTGTGCCTATGTAGTTACCATCATTCTAAAGCCATAAAAGGCGACTATGCTTGTCGTAAGAGGCGACTAACAGGATCGGGTGGTCAGGCTCGCTGACTTGGTTGGTGCATGTCATCGTATCCCAATTGCGTTGATCGATGCTTATGACGTCAATCACTGGATTGTGTGGTCCAGACTCGATTATTTACAGACCGCCGTCATATAGCTGGAATATTGCTGATTGCGGCCTTAAACAACAAACAAACAAATCTAAAGCCTCTGTCAAGTTTTGAATTTTGCCCTGTGACACGGGTGGCCCAGTCTCGACGTCGAAGCCGCTGCTGTTCAGAGTTGCGTCCCTTAGTCATGCCAGAAACCAATGATTGCTAGATTCGCTCTGGTTTGTCAGCGCCGTACCCGGGCTCGTGGGTTTCACCGAAGTTGTAAAATTCAAATCTGATTCCAACCACATGAAGCTGATGCGCCGTCATATAATTGACATACTGTTCAAAGCGGCGTTAACCCGTGAAGATCCGGGTTATAACTGGTCTTCAGCTACTCATGCCTGCTGTGAAAGGCGACTAACGGGATCGGGTGGTCAGGCTTGCTGACTTGGTTGATGTATGCCATCGTATCCCAAATGCGTAGATCGATGTTCGTGGTGTCAATCACTGGACCGTCTGACCCAGACTCGATTATTTACAGCCCGCTGTCATAAAGCTGGGATATTGCTGAGTGCGGCGTTAAACAACAAACAAACAAATCTAAAGCCTCTGTCAAGTTTTGAATTTTGCCCTGTGACACGGGTGGCCCAGTCTCGACGTCGAAGCCGATGATTGCTAGATTCGCTCTGGTTTGTCGGCGCCGTACCCGTGCTCGTGGGTTTCACCGAAGTTGTAAACATTCAAATCTGCATCACCTCAGGCTTTTCAACCACATAAAGCAGCCGCGCCGTCATATAATTGACATACTGTTCAAAGCGGCGTTAGCCCGTGAAGATCCGGGTTATAACTGGTCTTCAGCTACTCATGCCTGCTGTGAAAGGCGACTAACGGGATCGGGTGGTCAGGCTTGCTGACTTGGTTGATGTATGTCATCGTATCCCAAATGCGTAGATCGATGTTCAGGGTGTCTATCACTGGACTGTCTTACCCAGACTCGATTATTTACAGCCCGCTGTCATATAGCATATTGCTGAGTTCGGCGTTAAACAACAAACAAGCAAATCAAAGCGGCGTTAAACAAAGCCAACTCACTCTGACACATCCCTTTTCTAATTACAGACAGACTCAACAACGTATGATCGCAATAAAGTCACGTGTTTTAAGTGTCCACGTGGAACTCGTGTGTCCCGCCACTGCACCAAGTCCTTCGCTCGTTCCAACTGCACGACGTGTGAACCCGGCACCTTTCAATCCCAGGCCGTCACGCAGCTGGAGAAATGCGGGCAGTGCGACAACGCCTGCCAAGACCACAACGCCATCGTTGTCGACGAGTGCTCACCTGAACACAACCTCCGCTGTCAGTGTCGGGACGGCTACTACAACGCCCACCATGGTCAAGGGGTCATGGCGTGTGTCCGGCATACCGTGTGTCCGCAAGGACAGGTGATTGTAGTGAAGGGTAAGCGTGTCTTGCTTCTCTGGGGTGGCACAGTGGTGTAAGTCTGTCGTGGGTTCGAATCGCATCGCGAGGAGGGGGTATGAATTTACGCCTCTTTTAGCATTTTACAAGCAATGACATCTTCCCGAGGCAAGCGTGTCCACTAGCCTAGTTTCCACCCTTGCCACATCAGGGGACACGGGTGGCCCAGTCGTTTAAGGCGCCGCGATTCGCTGTGCAAAGTTGCGTCCCTTGGGCATGCCAGAAACCTATGATTGTGGGTTTGAATCCCGGTTCGCCCCGATTATGTTTCTAGGTTTGTCAGCACCATACCCGTGCTCGTGGGTTTCTACGAAGTGGTAAACGTTCTGAGACCTGCATCACTTCGGGCTTTCCTCCAATCCATATATCCAATCAGATTACTGTTCTTATTTCGTATAGCTTATAGATGGCGACTACCATAGGCGACGACCTAGTCTATCAGATAACGAAAACATTTGCGATTTCATCCCTGACACAAAAACATAGTCAATCGCTGGGGGGTTTCAAAGATGAAAAAGACATATTCGTGTCAACAGAGACAGCGGTAAATCACTTTCATACGAAGGTGTTCCAGTCGTGGATGTTGGTTTTGTGAAACGTTCTCTGATCGAGCTATGGATATGTGCGATAGTCCAATCATATTTTTAGCACAGGAAAGTTGGCTTGATGTGGCAAGGGTGGAAACAAGACTTTGACAATGAGGCTCGCGGACGCACTTGCCTAGGGAAGATGAAGCAATGGTGGCTGGGACTCGTACTATAGGCTTTATGCTGTGAACTCAGGTGGGGGATCGAACCCGGGACTTCGGCGTGACGAGCAAAGGCTTTAATCACTAAGCTACACCTTCAAGGCCCCGTTCCACAAAGCGATCTTAGCGCTAAAACGATCGTAACTCTCATTCTTTAACATAGGCTTAAGACAATCGCAGCGCTAAGATCGCTTTGTGGAACAGGGCCCTGAACAAAGTGGTCCGATTATGGTCCTTGGTCTGTGCAGAGTTGTGTCCCTTAGGGCCTATAATGGTGGTTTCGAATCCCGGCTCGCACTGATTGTTTCTAGGATTGTCAGCACCATATCAGTGTTCGCTGGTGTCACCAAAGTGGTAAGTGTCGGTGTGCTGTACCAAGTTAGGCTCCCATTCCACTCCACATCAGCCTGACACTTATAACTGAAATACTGTTCAAAGTAGCGTTAAACCCGGTTCACTATGTCCTCAGTATTCGATACAAGGACGTCAACTGGTAAAACGGAATGCGCAAACTGACATCAGTAGAAATCTTTAACGAATTGATGAAACAAATAAATTCCAACGAGAGACACCAAGAACAGAAACATTATCAACGGACTGTTGTACAAATTAATGAGTGAGTGAGTATGTTTTTACGCCGCTTTTAGCAATATTCTACAAATTAATAAACAAACACCCACATAATATCCCTCCACGAAGCCAATACTTTGGTTCGAATATATCCACGACCGTGGCGATAACTTTCATGCGTGTTTATAGAACGAGTACTTCATCATTAGAAGGAACATGAGTGTCCAATTCGTAGTGCAGCGTTGTCTCCTTTTACTGTGCCAGGATCCTCTTATCTTAAGTCCGTCATCACATTGAAGTCTATTACTTCTATTTTCTTTTGCGTTAATGGTGTTGGTGAAAATTGGAATGCTTTGATATTCTGTCATCAACTTGACAGGTGATCCTCAGCGGGATGTGAAGTGTGAATGGTGTCCGTCTGGTCATTTCTACAACGCCAGCGCTGACCGTTGCAACATGTGCTCTGTTTGCGGTGGTTACAACCAAGCTGTGCTAAATATATGCACCAAGACCAACGATACTGTCTGTGGCGAACACGATGTACATGTAGTAGGTGAGCATGTGACCCGTGAAGATAGAAGGATAGCCCTTCCGCAACCCATGCTTGCCGTAAAAGGCGACTATGCTTTGTCGTATGAGGCGACTAACGGGATCGGGTGGTCAGGCTCGCTGACTTGGTTGATGCTTTTCATCGTATCCAAATTGCGTGGATCGATGCTCAATGCTCATGATATCAATCACTGGATTGTCTGGTCCAGGCTCGATTATTTACAGACCGCCGTCATACAGCTGGAATATTGCTGAGTGCGGCGTTAAACAACAAACAAACGGGTGTCACAACGCAACATCATTTCGAGAGAAGACGATCGAGTTCGAGTTCCGACGGAGATTTGCTTGTGGACGTAGGCCTCGGAGTTCGGGATAGGTCTAGTCATCTAATCCGACCACAATATATCTAACTGTTGATCGACCCGTGAAGATTCCGGGGTAGAATAGGTCTTCAGCAACCCATGCTTGCCGTAAAGGGTGACTATGCTTGTCGTAAAAGACGACTAACGGGATCGGGTGGTCAGTCTCGCTGACTTGGTTGATGCATGTGATCGATCCCAATTGCGTGGAACGATGCTCATCATATTAATCACTGGATTGTCTGGTCCAGACTCGATTATTTACAGACCGCCGTCATATAGCTGGAATATTGCTGAGTGTGGCGTTAAACAACAAACCAACCAACTAACTGTTGATCACTGGTTTGTCTGCTCGATATCGTCAGAGGTTGCCGTGACTCATGTATGCAGACCAACTCTGTTCCAACAGATGACAAATATCTTGTACACTTCAGTGACACCAACAGCGCCCTCTACTGGTGTCCCGAATGTCGTGATCGCAGTGTCGGCAGTGGTGGGTCTTGTGGTCGTTGCTGTGTCGGTAACTGCTTTGTGCTGTTACTACTGCCACAAGACGAGGACAAGAGAACGGTGCGTAGGAGATCCTTAAACCTGAAATATATATCCCTTGTGCACACATTAGATAATTATATAATCCTTTTTGTGCAGGTGTGTATTGATAATTGGACGTATTTCTAATCTTCCGTCTTCAGTTCGGTCGGGTAGCCCATTGTGGTTAAAGCGTTCGCTCGTCACGCAGAAGACCCGGGTTCGATTCCCGACATGGGTACAATGTGTGAAGCTCATTTCTGGTGTCCCACGCCGTGATATTGCTGGAATATTGCTAAAAGCGGCGTGAAACCAAACTCACTCACTCACTCAGTTCTATACGTGGGTGACTGATTGTTATGGTGATCGGGAAGAGAGAAAATGAAGCGAAAATGTTGTCAGAAATTAAAGAGAGTGAGTGACTACAAATTTGGGTGTGAGTTTTGCCAAAACAAGTATTCAAGCCATAGCACAGCTGATGACATAAAAACTGAGATTTACATACTCAACCCATGTGCAGAGTCGAACCCTGGTCCCCGGCGTGTCGAGAGAACACTTTACCACTAGGCTTCCCTGTCGCACTACAGAGCGATCTGAAAAGTAATGAGGTCTCGGATAGATCGATCTGTGTTCAATAGCGCCATGGTGCCAGTTTCACACTGTCAGCTAAGACATTGTAGGGGCAGTCGGGTAGCCTAGTGGTTAAAGCGTTCGCTCGTCACGCAGAAGACCCGGGTTCGATTCCCGACATGGGTACAATGTGTGGAGCCCATTTCTGGTGTCCCCCGCCGTGATATTGCTGGAATATTGCTAAAAGCGGCGTAAAACCACACTTATTCACCCATAATAAGTTCACATTCGATCCCTATTTTAATATTGATTAATTAAAACATAATCATGAAAATCATCATCTATTGAGCAGGAGCCAGTCACATGAACGAAAGAAACTTTTGGATCTCCCGGACATCAGCGCCGGTATGTTGCTTCAGAATCAGGATGCCCTGTGGTCTCTGACTGTGTAGTTTGTTTGTTTGTTTGTTTGTTTGTTTGTTTGTTGTTTAACGCCGCACTCAGCAATATTCCAGTTATGTGACGGCGGTCTGTGAATAATCGAGTCTGGTGATTGACTTCATGATCATCGATCTAATGATTCATCGAGTGAGTGAGTGAGTGAGTGAGTGAAATATTCCAGCGGGATCTAAATAGTGGAAACTGGACCAGAAAATCCGGTGGTTGACATCATAAGCATCGATACAGGCATTTGGGATACGATGACATGCATCGACCAAGTCATCGATTCTGACCACTCGATAAATTTAGTCGCCTCTTACGAAGAGCACAGGTTGTTGGGGACCTATATTCTCACGCGGACTCCCTACAGGTCTGTCAATAAGGCCCAAGGGGCGGTCGGGTAGCCTAGTGGTTAAAAGCGTTCCCTCGTCACACCGAAGACCCGGGTTCGATTTCCGACATGGGTACAATGTGTGAAGCCCATTTGTGGTGTCCCCCGCCGTGATATTGCTGGAATATTGCTAAAAGCGGCGTAAAACCATACTCACTCACTCAATAAGGCCCAAGCATATCAGTGGTTTCCGGTATCTACACGCCCGGCAATCTCATTAAAATCAGATCTTAGTTCTCGCGACTGCTAAACAAAGATCAAAAGGACATTCTATTACAAGTCATGTCAAAACGACCTTTCGTCCGACCAATCAGAGAGTCGCTTACCAGATCAGGAAAGTGACAGTCGAAAGGTGTTTCCTTATCACACAACCTCCAAAAGGTTAACACGGGGTGTTCCGAACGACAGATACGGCCAGCACGGCTGATTCCGTCAAAATCATCGTCTATCTCTCGCTTCAATGGGATAAACATTTGAACGGAAAAGACGTTGCATTGCACGCGGGAAGCACTGCCATACAATCTCGACCATATATAGACATTCCTGAATGTTCCTTTGTTCAATTTTCAACATTTTAATCGAGAACTTTGTCAAAATACATTTCAAGCGTAGTCTGAAATAGAGGTCGCTTGTTTGAAACTAGAGCCATGAAGCTCATGAAAGCTGCTTTCTGATTAGCTAATGTTCACTTCTTGTCTGTCATTCCATTGGTCGGTCACAGTTCGTGAAAGGTCGTTCTGACGTGACCCGTAATGGGATATTCCCAGGTCCTTGTTAAGCGGTAGCGAGAACTAAGATCTGATTTCAATGAGAGTGCTCGCATGATGTAACACAATTAACAAACTCACTCAGTTTCACCATCAAATCATCAATAGGGAGTCAGGGTGGGTGGAGTATCCTCCAAATATTTAAGAAATATAATTCTATGTTATTGTTTTATTATAGAAATATGGGCGATGGATATATTTTTTTACATGAAAAATAAACTCCGGAACTGGGAAGACTTTCTTCGCTGCCTTCCACACGGAAATCGAGGTATGTTGGAAAATCCCGACTTGACTATTTGTGACTGTCTGTAACCATCCCTCTTCATTTGGCCTCGATCTGGTGGCCAGGGTTACTGCTGTAAAACATACATTACCTTCCTATCCAGTGAACACTTTGCTCTGTAACAATGGAGGCACAATTAGTTGGGTTTTTTTTGCAGTATCATCTTCCAAAATTAAATCTTTTCCCCTCCCCATATGATATGGTCCTTTTTTTCTTTTTCTTTTTTTCTTTTTTTTTTCTTTTTTTTTATTTTATTATTATTATTATTATTTATCTTTTTATTATTTTATCTTTTTATTATTTTTATTTCATTTTTTATTTCTCTATTCTTTCTTTTATTTATTTTAATATATATTTATTTATTTTTTTATTATTTTTTTATAATACAAACGATGTGAACAGTGCGATATTTCTGCTCTACATAATTTGTAAGCATGTAATATGATAGTTTTAACTGGCGATATTTGAAACCGGTGTATTGTTCACTGCATAAAGTGCATTCTCAGCACTTTGAGGGGATTTACTTCAGTAGTGTAAAAACAAGGAAGCATCACAATAGTTTAATATAATCATTCTTTTCATACCACGTAATATTTCTCATACTGCGACAATACTTCAAGTATTTCAAGTACTTTACACATATGACTATCTTTATTCTTTACGTTAAAATGTTTTTCCCATGCAGAATTCGAAGCTGACGTAGAAATGGATAGAAACACAGAGAGAAGATCTGATCAGAAGATTTATGATATTCTATTGATTTGGTACAAAGCATGCTTCAACGACGTTACTATTGGCAACATCGTGGAGGCCCTGACAAAATCGAACAACACAAATCTTATTGACGGTGTAATTAAAGAATATGAAACAATAAACAATAGTCATGAATCTGTTAAAGAAGATGGCGCTAGTTCGGCAGGTGAGAACGAGGCTGCCATTGCCGCAGGTTATCAAACACCGTTGGTGGTAACACCGGACAGGTACGAGGCAGACGGATATTCTCATACAACAGACGGTGCATGTGTCACGGTGATCGCCGAGCATCAGACACGTGTGAGGGAAATAGATTCAGTGGATGAAGACCGCACATCAACCATTCTGTCGTCACCCAAACGTGAGCCGGGAAGCAGAATTGACGCCATCAGCAGGAACCAGACTGATCACGAACTAACACAAGTGTTGCTGGATCTCAGTGAAAGACATCAGACTCGTGTAAAAGTAATTTAGAGTGTCATTGGATGCCAGGTAGCGGTTGTACAAAACAAGCTCAGCGCCACGACTGTCGTAAGTCTATGTTAGGTATGGGAGTTACGATCACCTTAGCGCTAAGATCGCTTTGTACAACGGCACCCGTGCATGGGCGGATACAGAGGGGGGTGCGCGCACCCCACACACACACTTTTTATTTCGAAAAAAATCTTATTTCTGTATAAATTACCACCAAAGACAATCAATAGATCTTAATTGTGCACCCCCCCCCCCCCCCCCCCCTTTCAAAAAAGCTGTATTCGCCCATGCCCGTGCGTCTTGTTTTAAGTGTGAGGTATAGTCTGGAAGGTAATTTAAGGTACCGACGTTTACTACAATATCTGAAAAACTATTGGACTTACTCCAGTCAAAGTTGGTATGAGATCATTAAACAGTCATACATAACTGGATATTACATTTAAAGACAATCGGTGCATGAATAAAAAATATGTCTATCTAGCTATCACTATATTTCATCAACAACCAGACCTGTTCGTCACGGGTGGAACGAGCATTCATTGTAACAGCCATCTGCATGATGCTACCCCTGCGTCACAGGGCCATATGACACAGTTGAACCAATCAACTCAACTCGTAAGGTTGCACGGGAATCACGCACGCACGAATACGGTGTTAGCGTTGGGCGTCTCAAGCAGTTATTTAATAATATTTATCTTATTATTTTTGCATTCTTATTCAGGTCAGTGTTATTGACTTGAATGTATCATTCCTTGCCACATTATTATATTTCATGCATCATGTTATTAGGTGTAATAAATCATACGTAATTATTCATTTAGACAAATCATTGCTTTATGGTTTCGAAGAAAATATTTTAATATTTTCGTAGATGATTCGAGACTTTCGGGGCTGTTTCGGGTGAAAGAGAATCAAATTCTGAGCCAAGAATTGCACAAAGTGTACAAGATCCGATTACGACATGTACTACAAAGCACGAACCTGAAATTTGTAGACGATTCCTAGAAATTCTTTGATAAACAATTTTTTTCTCACGAATCCCACGAACTACAAGAATGTTTGGGAATTAAATAAGATATATTTAAGATTCTTAAAAATTTTATTAAGAATATGTACCTATATGTAAGAATTCATATCCGTGGTAATTCGGGCTATTACATGTCGTAGTGAAACAGGGGTATATGTATTGCCTTAAATAAACATCCAGACTATAGTTCCGTGATTACTTCCCAGGTTTGTGTACGCTATCTTCCGCCATTACCCGCATATACATGCAGTCGATAGTGTGGTCACTATTTTTAACAAACGAATCTGGCCACTCTCCTTTTGAAACCAGCGACTGTACGCACGAATACGGTGTTAGCGTTGGGCGTCTCAAGCAGTTATTTAATCATATTTATCCAATTATTTTTGCATTCTTTTTCAGGTCAGTGTTATTGACTTGAATGTATCAGTCCTTGCCACATTATTATATTTCATGCATCATGTTATTAGGTGTAATATATCATACGTAATTATTCATTTAGACAAATCATTGCTTTATGGTTTCGAAGAAAATATTTTGATATTTTCGTTGATGATTCGAGACTTTCGGGGCTGTTTCGGGTGAAAGAGAATCAAATTCTGAGCCAAGAATTGCACAAAGTGTACAAGATCCGATTACGACATGTACTACAAAGCACGAACCTGAAATTCGTAGACGATTCCTAGATATTCTTTGATAACAATTTTTTTCTAAAAAAATCCCACGAACTACAAGAATGTTTGGGAATTAAATAAGATATATTTAAGATTCTTAAGAAATGATTAAGAATATGTACGAATATGTAAGAATTTCTATCCGTGGTAATTCGGGCTATTACATGTCGAAGTGAAACAGGGGTATATGTATTGCCTTAAATCAACTTCCAGACTATAGTTCCGTGATTACTTCCCAGGTTTGTGTACGTTATCTTCCGCCATTACCCGCAAATACATGCAGTCGATAGTGTGGTCACTATGTTTAACCAACGAATCTGGACACTCTCCTTTTGAAAGCAGCGACTTTACTGTCCGATACGCGCTCAGATTACACCGCACGAAGGGCAATATTTCTCGTGTGCTGCATCCGGCCATGTACTCAACACATTGCTTCGTAATCACGCACTGGTAGGGTTCGCACAACATCCTCCCATATGAAGCTGACAGGCCTAGATATAACTGATGAGTGAGTATGGTTTCACGCCGCTTTTAGCAATATTCCAGCAATATCATGGCGGGGGGACACCAGAAATAGGCTTCACATATTGTACCCATGTCGGGAATCGAACCCGGGTCTTCGGCGTGACGAGCGAACGCTTTAACCACCAGGCTACCCGACCGCCCGTGATATAACTGGAATACTGTTAAAAGCGGCGTTAAACCCAACTCACTCACTCCGACATAATCCATCATATCATGAACAGCCCTCTTAATAAGTCGATATACAGGGTCAATCGTAGTGTGTCTGGACCCTGGTATCAAAATATGCATTGAAATTGTTTGCTTATTTATTCCCATTTCCCGGGGCAAGGGAATTAACTGACTGTCAAAGTCCAGTTCCCAAACTGGACTTACATAGTGAGTTAATTCCCTTGCCTCGGGAAGATGATTTATTCCGTGCTTCTCACTTTCTCATTGCATGTAGGTACAGATACATGTCGTTAACACGAACTCCGTTATCTCGAGCTTTAGTTTGGGGCCCAGGTAGAATCCTTATGCACTTTGGTCTTAACTCTAGTCTCGAACTCCGGGTAACTCGTTGTATTTTCAGTCGGACTTCGAGTTAAAGATGTATGTTTTATTAACAAATCACATTTTTAACTAAACTACGTTTGAAAGCTTATGTAAACATGACAATAGTACTGTATTAAACTATAGTTATTCACTAACAGAGTACTTTTAAACATTTCTAAAGGTGTCTATTTTCTGTCTTTTTTTTATGCTATATGTTCCGTATATGTTGAGCTTTCCTCCACATCAAGCTGACACGCCGTGATATAACTGGAATACTGTTCAAAGCGGCGTTAAACCCAACTCACTCACTCCGAATGTGTTCTCTTTTGATGGGGCTTTTCTCATCCTGTGGTATTACACTTCCCTGAAATGTTGACAATTTATATTCACAAATATTGCATAAAACTGAATCATTTGTTCGAGTGAAAACAAGGGGTTGTACATTATTGGGGCATTTAAATATCAACCCCACTGATTTGTACATCTGATCTGAAACTTGGTGTAAACCGCGCAATGTTGTTGTGTGTGCTCGTGTGACCTGTCAGCCGGTAATCTTTAACTCAGGTGCTTCTAACCTCCCACTTTTTCAAGATATCGACCCTTTACCGAAAGTATGTACATCCCTACCTCGATATCTGGTTATCTCGAAGATTTGGATCATTCCTTCCCCAATACTTCGAGATAATCGGAATTATTGTGATTCATTCCTTTGATCGGCAATAAAAATGAAAATACAAATAATGTCAGTATTTATGATCGTGGGTTCCAATCCCGTCTCGTCATGATGTAATTTCAAGATTTGCCAGCAACATACCTGTAGTGGTAAACGTCTTCAACCTGAGCTTTCCTCCAACATCAAGCTGACACGCACTGATACAACTGACATACTGTTGGCGTGCCTTGGACCTTCATCAACTGTGATAACCTACGAGGGTTTGATGCTACGACCTGCATCACTTCGAGCTTTCCTCCAACATCAAGCTGACACGCCCTGATACAACTGAAATACTGTTGTAGACGCGCCTTAGACCTTTACCAACTGTGATAACCCACGAGGGATTGGTACTACAACCTGAGCTTTCCTCGAACATCAAGCTGACACGCACTGATACAACTGAAATACTGTTGTAGACGCGCCTTAGACCTTTACCAACTGTGATAACCCACGAGGGATTGGTACTACAACCTGAGCTTTCCTCCAACATCAAGCTGACACGCACTGATACAACTGAAATACTGTTGTAGACGCGCCTTAGACCTTTACCAACTGTGATAACCCACGAGGGATTGGTACTACGGCCTGAGCGTTCCTCCAATATCAAGCTGACACGTCCTGATACAACTGAAATACTGTTGTAGACGCGCCTTAGACCTTTACCAACTGTGATAACCCACGAGGGATTGGTACTACAACCTGAGCTTTCCTCCAACATCAAGCTGACACGCACTGATACAACTGAAATACTGTTGTAGACGCGCCTTAGACCTTTACCAACTGTGATAACCCACGAGGGATTGGTACTACGGCCTGAGCGTTCCTCCAATATCAAGCTGACACGTCCTGATACAACTGAAATACTGCTACAGACGCGTATAGACCTTCACCACTTTGATAACCCACGAGGGTTTGGAGGTCAAACCTAATCAGAGCGAATTTGGGATACGAACACACAAAGGTTTCTGGGACGCCTAAGGTGAATTGTGACAACCTAGCACCTAAACCAAAGATAATTTCACAAACATATATTACATGCAATACTATTCGGATGTCCTGACCTTGTGTCTCAAGTCTTGTTGTTAGGTTGTCATAAAGACACAACTTGGGGCAAATTTGTTCCCAATGAAGTCGTATTAGTTTGTTTGTAGGTTTCCTTAACCGGTGGCAACCAGTTTGGTGGATTTGGTCAATGAAAAAAATAAGTGGTCAGATATGTAAAGAAGATATTCCCTAACATTTAAAACTTGCACGTATGTACTAATCAAGTGGTCTAATCATACTGGTGTTAACATACACATAAATAGGTGTTTTGATGGTTATTTTTCTTATTACTTTGTACTAGAAATAGTCAGCCATTTGGTAACTTGCGACATGTTTTTATGCAGTATGTATATGTTATTTGCACGTGACATCTTATTAAAGTACTCTGAATAACCGAAACAATTGTTGTAAATAGTTTTTGAAAATGTACAAGTTTTAATATTTTCGACAGTTCTATTAGAAGTTTGTGGGATCTTTATGTCAGGATCGGTCGTCAGAAGAAAGATCAGCTTTGAAAAATGACTACCAGTGATTTCGGAACAGTTTTGGAACTAAAACCAAAATCAAAACGAAACAGATTTGTGGTGGGTCTGTAACAATTTCGGGGCGGTCGGGTAGCTTAGTGGTTAAAGCGTTCGCTCGTCACGCCGAAGACCCGGGTTCGATTCCCGACATGGGTACAATGTGTGAAGCCCATTTCTGGTGTCCCCCGCCGTGATATTGCTGGGGCCAGAACGCCATGCTTATTGTCTGTGGAAAGTTCACAGTTCTCCTGAGACAACAAACTGGCCCCAACAGTCACCCGATGCAATGGCTAGCCACGAGCCCCGACCTCTCCGCCACATGCAGAGCACGTCGGGGTCATGTTCGGGAGACGTCAATGGCCACTGCAACATTAAGCTGAGTTGGGCCAGGCGTTCCAAGAGGAGCGGATACTCCCTCAAAGTGTCATTGGGAGATTGATTCGCACCATGCCACGTCGTATAAGCGAATGGTTGAGCAGTCTTGGTGTCAGGACTCGTATTGATCAAGTCATCTCAAATGTTTATTTTTTTACAACACACCCTGTCGTTTTTTGTTGTTTTTTGTTTTGTTTTTTGGTTGTTTGCACCTAAATGATAAACCACCAACATGTTGTGCTGATTGCCATGCGACATCTTGTCCTTCGTTTAACTTCCATACAGTTATTATGTATGACATACAGGCAGATCTTAATTAAAATTAATAACCTTTTGTGAAAAGGTATTTAATTATTTAAGAAATAAACGACGAGTAGTAGTTGCTTATTGTACAATAAAACACTGCCTGGAAAATAAACCACGGTGGGCGCAGAGAAGAGGTTCTCTTGACCAGAGAGGTGGGGTAGCCTAGTGGTTAAAGCGTTCGCCCGTCACGCCGAAGACCCGGGTTCGATTCCCGACATGGGTACAATGTGTGAAGCCCATTTCTGGTGTCCTCCGCCATGATATTGCTGGAATATTGCTAAAAGCGGCGTAAAACCATATTCACTCACTCTTGTTGCATTTATCAATAGTATTAATAACCACATTTCTGCACACTGTACAGTGTGTAATCAGTGGACAATATTTACATTACATTGCTTACATTATTTTCTCCATTGTCAAAAATATGAAACTCAACGGACAGGTTATGATGGAGTCTTTTAGTTCTCAATATTGACCTCTCATTGGCTGGACTTTTGTGCGCGAAGAAAATCTTTCGCCATGAAATTCAAATGTAATTCTTGCTTATATTAAAGCCCGTGGCAGTGTCCCTACGTTTATAACATTTTTTTTAAATTAAGCAAACCTTTATTATGACCAAGGTGTAAGATAAATCAATAATAAATGAAACATTTGCTGTCTAAGTTTTATATAATATTTACGTTAACTGTTATTACGACTTTGTCGCCCTGCGTGATTTACGACGCGTCTCAGAATATTTACCGTGACAGTTACATGTAGAGTGTTGGTATGGTAGAAATTGCCTCTTTACATTTTCAAGCAAATACATTAAACATTTTAGTACCAATAGTTTGGCATCTATCCATGAAACCTGATAGCTTTCTATATTATGTCAATGGTTTTACGCCGCTTTTAGCAATATTTCAGCAATATCACGGCGGGGGACACCAGAAATGGGCTTCACACATTGTACCCATGTCGGGATTCGAACCCGGGTCTTCGACGTGACGAGCTAACGCTTTAACCACTAGGCTACCCGACCGCCCTTATGTCAATGGAAATTATATTATTTAAGAATTGACTTCAATAATTTAATTTATTATACAAACGAAAAAACTGGATTGCACACTCTGGAGTGCATATATTTTATTGTTTAACAATGATTGCAAATCTGTTACATTGTTTTGGTTGAGATTCGGTAGACGCTCATTGCATTGTATTTGGGCAGTGATTAGTCGTCAGGAATGTTGTGACATTTAATCTAAGCAGTCGTCAGGAAGTTACTATGTTTAGATACTAGTGGGCAAGCTCCTTCCCAGAATCGTTAAATTTGCCTTCTAGTCCCAAATGTAGTAATGTTTATACTTTTGTTTATGTCTTTGAGAATGCCATCATAGTGAATTTTGACTGACCAGATTTCCCAGATGAATTTACCTTTTTGTTTGTTTAATCAGACTTTTTCGAGATTACAGACGAACGAAAAATCAAACAAACTCCACCCCATTCAGCGTAACATCAATCATCACTTGTTTGTAAACATAACGGTCAGTCGGTTGTGCGTTCAACTCCAAGCATGGTTGCAGCCACTTGTCACTGTGGGGAGCTTTCACTGGTGGCAGCGATAGAAACCTGCCCCGCTCATGGCCATTTTTGCGACCGAGTTCCGTCTTAGCGCAAACGGGCATACCTAAAACAATTGTCAACTCGTTGCGTAATGGTTCATTTATATTTCCCCATATATTACATATATTTCAGATGCAATGTAAAGCACATCGGGACATGCGGAATTATACAGTATGATTGCACACATTTAACTGTGTCTTAGGTATATTTTTAGATGCAAGACATATGTAAAATAAAAATATATTTCTGAGGGATTCTTTGACTAAGAACTTGAAATCATACGCGCATTCTGATTGGTTTGTCGTATTTGCGCGCATTACATTCATCGACAGGGGGGCGAGTCTTCTTGCAGGTTACGGAAAGGGGCGAGTGGTGACGAATGGAATGGGATATGATACGGCTGTGAGGAGCTTGGCAGCAATAGTATAGAGAGCTCTGCGAACGGGCTAATGGTGCGAGGAGCTTTAACCCGCAAGTGTCTGGCTTAAAACTTAAAACAGGAAAATCATGAGCCCCTTTATTCTGTTGGAGTGAGTGAGTGAGTTGGGTTTAACGCCGCTTTTAACAGTATTCCAGTTATATCGCGCCGTGTCAGCTTGATGTTGGAGGAAACCTCGAAGTGATGCAGATCTTAGACGTTTATCACTTCCGTGAAACCCAGGAGCACGGTTATGGTGCTGACAAACCTAGAAACATAATCGGGCCGAACCGGGATTCGAACCCACAATCATAGGTTTCTGGCGTGCCCAAGGGACGCAACTCTGCACAGCGAATCGTGACGACTGGGCCACCCGTGCCCCCTTATTCTGTTGGAATTTGGATTTATGAAACCCTAAGGACCTGCTTCGACATCCGTCTTTTTTCACTGAGACTATGCAATACAGATCTGATGTCTCACTTTGCATCTCATGGTAGACATGGTCTGCAAACACAAACTTACACCAGAGACATTGCAAAGTAAATTTTATTCATGCTATTATTATGATTCAGGATGTCAAAATATACATATTCATGAAAAGTGACCTTTAAGCATGACCATTTTACACACAAAAAATTTAATGACCAAAATGATTACTTATTTCATAAAATGTACAATGAAAATGTTTTTTTACATGATATCAGTGAGAATGACAAATGAAAACAATTCAAGGCTGCCTTTATCAAATTGTCCTTTCCGGCAGGGAACATCACTCATTTCCAGTCCAAAAGAAGGCGGGTAGATCCATATGCACAATGTTGCACAGCCATGTTAGGAATCTGAATTGCAGTCAACGTGACGGTACATCCAACTATACAATACTGTGAGGTACACACCATGTCCATATCCCATGGTTCGTCCACGATTGACCAGGAGATCATGATATTGGTGCTAACAGCACAGTTACCAGAGCAATCGTAGTTGTGTTCAGACACAGTTTTGGTTTGAACTGTCTACTCAATGAATGTATTACCATGCACTGATTGAAATCAGCACAGTATCACATAGCTTGTGACTATAATTTCTTTTCGAGCAAACGCACATCCGGGTGACCATTCTTGACAAAAACGGAACTTGTTCCACTGTAGGTTATCTTCCTCTACCTCCCCTGAACCCTCCGTCCCGGCCCCTGAAACTCCCGCCTCTACCTTGTGGACTCCCCCTGAACCCCCCTCGGTGTTGGTCCATCCCTCGGTTGTACATTCCCCCACCACCACCCCCACCCACTCCCCCTCCTCCTTGACCACCTCCCTGCATTCCTTGATCCTGCCAATTCGATTCATTTCCTGTCCGGCCAAACTTCGAGCCCCTGTCCCCCTGATTCCCACCATACCCCCCCTGTGCCATTCCCTGTCCCCCGCCCCGACCAGACGTACCTCCAGGGCCCTCGTCATAGCCCCTCTTCCTTCCCTGGGACATCGGACTATCCTGATCCTGCCTGTCATAAAACCCTTGTCCTCCCCTATCCTGCCCTCCCCTGTCCTGTCCACTTCTGTCCCCACCCCCTCTCCCTCCTTGCTGACTGTCATACATGCCCCCACCAATACGTCCCCCTCCCCTTCCACCCTGCCTCCCTCCTTGATGCCTCTCATCTACATCCCCCCCACCCCTCCGTCCATACCGATCATCAACATCCACATTCTGCTGCCTGCCTTGGAACTGTCCCCTTCCCTCTTCCTGTCTCTGCTGCCGTAAGTCCATATCTCCTTCCCAATTCTTTCCACCACCCCCGCCTCCTCCCCCAGACCCCGGCCCAGCCCAAACCCCAGCCCCAGCACCAGCACCACCCCCACCCCCACCAGCACCACTCCCACCCCCACCACTAGCGAAACGACGCTGATCACCACCAAATCCTTCTCTTCTGTCCTGACCAAACTGCTGCTGCTGCTGCTGCTGGTTACTACGTTGGCGAAAGTCTTCATCAGCCCCACCCCTCTGTCCTTGGCCACGCCCACCTGACCATTGACCTCTCAGGTCCATGTCTCCATTCCCGTTGTTTTGCTGACCCCCAAACTGCTGTCCCGGACCACCTCTCTGACCATCGCGCATCTGTTGCTGGGAGTCAGGCCGCTGCTGCTGCTGCTGCTGCTGCTGCCGTTGCTGCTGCTGTTGCTTCTGCTGCTGCTGTTGCTGCTGTGGCATTCTAATTCCTTGCTGCATAGTTTGACCTCCTGCACACGGATTGGAGTGAGTGAGTGAGTTTAACTTAACAATGCATTGAATGTTTTTTCAGTTATATCACAGCAAGTCAGTCGAAAAGGTGAAGTGAGTCAGGTCATGTTGCATTTAAGATTATTGCACTTAAACCACAATGAGCATGCACATGTACGTGTGGCTGCTTGTACTGCTCTGGACTAATGCCGTTATAGTGATAGCCAACTGAGATACCATGCTGCAGTTTAACATGGATACCCCACTCACACACAGTATACTGACTCTGAGTCGACCAGACCTTGTTTTAGCCCCTTAATGCCGAGCGCCAGACAGGGTAACAACAAGTACCATCTTTTAACGTCTTTTGGTATGATGCGGCCAGACCTGCGCTCTCCAGGCGGACGCTCTACCACTAGACCACGGAAGCGGTCTGTTGTCTCATGGAACATGCCATAAGTTAACATGAACATACACATAATGTAGTCCTTTTCTATCCTTTTACAAAGTTTAGAGTAAGTAGAGCTAAAAAACTGATAGTCGGATTTGATTTAAATCTGGCTGAGGTAATATTTTAACGACTTTTGGTATGATGAGGCTGGGATCCAAAAAAACGAGCAGATGCTCTATCCATCAAATCCAGTGGCCATATGTTAACCGAAAAATAAAATAAGAAAATGTTGCCGGAAACAGATACTCACCAAACTGCTGCTGCATACCTCCCATCTGCTGTTGGCCCATGAACTGACCTTGACCTGGACCTGGACCTGGACATGCATCATACAAACTGGTATTAGTATCTACATAGTGCATGTATTGGTTGGTTGGTTTGTTGTTTCAGCAATATTCCAACTATACGACGCCGGTCTGTAAATAATCGAGTCTGGACCAGACAATCCAGTGATTAGTATCATGAGCATCGATCCACGCAATTGGGATCGATGACATGCATCAACCAAGTCAGCGAGCCTGACCACCCGATCCCGTTAGTCGCCTCTTACGACAAGCATAGTCGCCTGTTACGGCAAGCATGGGTTGCTGAAGACCTATTCTACCCCGGTATCTTCACGGGTCTAGTGCCTGTATTGACACATACTGAAATACAAATGACTCGGTCAGTCTGTTGTTTGCACATCCTCTGCACATCAATTGATAGGTTGATTAAAAATATATTTGTGTGGCTGAATATTTTTGGTGGGTTGGTGATGTAGTAACAAGCTATTTGCAGCTGCAAGCGACTACATACAATGCACTTGAATATTATTTAATATAAATTATAGCTAAAATGGATAGAATTATCATTAAACCACCCGCATGTTATCAGAAATGAGCGGGACACTGTAACTTGATAATGCCCTCATATTGCTTGACGACAGGCCAATATCACGCCCATTGTTAGGTGACGTTATAGGATAGGGATAGGTGGCGTGACGTTCAATGGTGACGTCATCTGGTTTGTTCTATGACGTTTCCACAGTTGTAAAAGTGGGTCAACTTTTGTGATATTTACATATCTTTAGATGTTTCTGTTCGATCAAATGGACAATAGAAATAAGTCCTAATTGTGGTTTTCGGCTGTGGTCAGTTGAATCAGGAAAAGAAATACTATTTCTCATAAGCTGTTACGTTTTCTTAAACGTAATTGAACCTACCTCCCTGACCTTGCATCATGCCTGGAGGGCCTTGCATTCCCATCATGCCTTGCATTTGGTGGAATCCTGGTCCCTGTCTAAACTGACCTTGACCCTGCATTTGATTTGGCATGAAACCTGGAGATGCACCTTGAAACTGATTGGGTTGCATTTGTTGATTTGGGCCACCTTGAAAATTCTGAGGCTGCCCCATAGTGTTCTGCCCCTGCATTTGGTTGTGATGACCTTGCAACATTTGACCTTGAGGACCTTTTTGCATTTGACCTTGAAACTGGTGTGACCTCTGTCCTTGATCTTGACCTTGATCCCGATCATGATCTCGGCCCCCTTGATCACGTCCATGCCTATTTGACCCCCGATCCGGGCTCCTATTTCGACCATGCCTTTCTTTTCTGTCCCTTCTCCGTGGGTCATTCCGTGAACTGGGCTTTTCGGGTAGGCCCTCTTGCTCCTCAGGAACGAGAACCCCTGACTGTTTATTGCCTTTCCATGCATTCTCAAAAGACTTAGGAATTGGTCTGGCATATGGCACTTTTTTCTTGGGCGCACAGTCACGTTCATACTGCCGAAGGAACGGTTCATCTGCTGACCAGTCTAGACCAGGTATAGATGGCAGTTCCTCCTCCACATCTGAAACATGAATAACATAAAATGCCAGAGAATAATGATTATCCCACGAATCAGGTCCCATTGGGCATAAAGGCAAAACAGCAGTGAAAATCATGTGAATGCATCACTATCATTGATGACACCAGGTGGTTGCAAGGGCAAGCATGTCCTGCCCTAAAAATAACACCTGCTACTCACACATTTTGCATAAAAAAGAGCATGTTTGTTGCCCGTCACCTAACAACCAATCGATCGATCAAATATATTCAATCAAAGCCTACTTTCCTTGAGGACCATTTCCCTTATCAACCAAGTTCTCATCTTCCCTAGGCAAACGAGTTAACTGACTTTAGAAGTCCAGTTCCCACCCTTGCCGAACTACGCTGGAATTCCTGGGCTCGATCGTAGCGCCACCAGTGGCTATTACGAGTTATGTCTTCTCTGTCTTTTACCTACCAAATCTTTTACCCACCAAGTCCTTTACCTACCAAGTCTTTTACCCACCAAGTCTTTTTCCGAAAAAATCTTTTACCCTCCAAGGATTTTACCCACCAAGACTAGCCAATATCACTCACTAATGCTACATAAAATCACTTGTACATTAAGAAATGAGTAAGATAATTTCAAAATACTTCACTTCCAAAAATACAAATATGCTGTCATTTTTTCCCCTTTCAATGTATTACGTAAATATGACGTCAACATTTCATGTCATTAAAATACTGGTCCTGACAAAAGTTAACTGGCACTTGTCTAGTGGAACAGCAGTTCTGTCAAATCTGTAAGAGACATGTTTCTGCATGGGCACAATGCCAACAGGATATCATCAAGAACGGAAGAAAGTGACAACATCCTTACTTTCTTTAGGTCTGAGATGTGGTGGCAGACCATGCTCTAGGCCCATTCCTGGCAAACTGGGCATCAACTGGGGCTCCAGATCTGAAACAGTGAAGTCAGTGTATTACCTGCAAATAATCTAGGCTGGGAAAGACAAATGAGTATTTGACAGATATTACCCACACCATACCACAACAAACACTGGGTGCTGGTGGGCTTTCTTTTGTTACGAATTCACATGGTAACAAGCATACAATACTGGGTACCAGCATTGTCTAGGATCTATTCTCGAAATCTCTGTATCAACACTACAAGAGTGAGTGAGAGTGAGTTTGGTTTAACACTCCTTTTAACAGAATTCCAGTGAAATAACCGCATGTGAGCTTAATAACATGGGAGCAAAGCCCGAAGTGATGCAGGTCTCAGATGTTTTGATGAAACCTCCGAGCAGGGTATGGTGCTGACAACCCAGAAACATAATCAGGGCGCACAGGGATTCAAACCCACAATCGTAGGTATCTGCCAAGCCCAAGGGACGCAACTCTGCACAGCCCCCTCAAAGTGCCAGAGCAGATACAAGACATTATCATCCAAAACTGGCTTCCACAGGAGATATCGCTTGGTTGAGATCAAGCAATATCTACATTGTAGATATCGCTGCAATGAAATTGCATCACAATGCTTTGCAGACCATTGTGACGTCACTGGTTACCATGACGTCACAATCAAATGACATAACTGATGGTTCTGCTACTGAAACTGTTAGCAGTACTTTTTACACATAAGACTGCTTATGACTGTCTACAAACTGAAAAAGTTAGAAGAATGATGTTGGATGATAAATAAAATCTCGCCCTCATGTCTTTTCGACCCTTTCAACTCTTGTAGATAAAAGTTGAAAAACTTCTCGGCAAGCCTCAGAGTTTTTCGACTTTTATCAACTCGTGCAGATATATTTGATATCAAAAGACACTCTGATGAGTCTCTATTTCTCACCATACTCCAGGAGTTCCTGCTCTGTGCCAGTAGGTAGGTTGTTGAGGTTGTACTTGTCTCTCATTGTGTCTCCAGGACGATTTCGAGTCCAAAATTTCCTGTACAAAATGCATTAAAACTTAAGACAAAGTGTGCGTAGGATAATCATAAGCACAAAATGGAGAAAGTGAGTGAGTTGGGTTTAACGCCGCTTTTAACTGTATTTCAGTTATATCACGGTGTGTCAGCTTAATGTGGGAGGCAAGCCCGAAGTGATGCAGGTCTCAGACGTTCACCACTTTGGTGAAACCTACGAGCATGGGTATGGTGCTGACAAACCTAGAAACATAATCAGGGCGAACCAGGATTCGAACCCACAATCATATTTTTCTGGCGTGCCCAAGGGACGACCTCGCCACAGTGAATCGCGGTCCCTTAGACAACTGGGCCATCCGTGCCCCCATTTTAACTTAAGACAAAGTGTGTGTAGAATATTCATGAGTACAAAATGGAGTAAGTGATTGACTTAAGCCACAGTCAGCTATATTCCAGCTGTTTCAAGGTGGCTTTCAAATGGAAACTTTAAAACACCATCCTTTAAAAAACAGGTGAGGGGAGGTGAGGTGAAATTGGGTTTAACGTTGCGTCCAAGATTATTGCACTTACATAGCGACGTGCATGCACGTGTGTGTGTGGCTGCTTGTACTAGACCAGACTGATGCCGATTTGTAGTGCTCGCACACTGAGATACCATGCCGCAGTTTAACATGAATACCCCACTCAGACACAGTATACTGACTCCGAGCCGACCAGTCCTTGTTTTAGCCCCTTAATGCCGAGCGCCAGACAGGGTAACAATAAGTACCATCTTTTAACTTCTTTTGGAGTGACGCGGCCGGGGATCAAACCCCGGACCCTCCACTCTTCGGGCAGACGCTCCACCACTAGACCACGGAGGCGTTCTTCAATTCCACAGAGATAATAGCACCACAATAGTTGGTAGTCGGTTAGGTATTGGAGTTACGGTCACCTTATCGCTACAGTTACTTTGTGGAATGGATCCTTGGCCTTAGTGTCACATTGATGGTTTAGCATGGACCTATCACCCCTGGTTTCGTCTCATCGCATCTCTGGCGATATTGTGGACGTGATATTGACTTACGTGCTGTGGTCATTAGATCCAGATGCCAGGATGTGTCCCAGGGGATGCCAAGCCAGGCTCCACACCATTCCTTCATGAGCCTCCTCCATACTGCCAACTTCACGGTCACATCTGCAATATCCATACTGTCTGTCACTGCTGACCTACACACAACATCAGCCATTGCTGACCTACATACATCAGCCACTGCTGGCCTACACACATCAGCCACTGCTGACCTACACACAACATCAGCCATTGCTGACCTACACACATCAGCCACTGCTGACCTACACCCATTAGCCACTGCTGACCTACACTCAACATCAGCCATTGCTGACCTACACTCAACATCAGCCACTGCTGATCTACACTCAACATCAGCCACTGCTGACCTACACCCATTAGCCACTGCTGACCTACACTCAACATCAGCCATTGCTGACCTACACTCAACATCAGCCACTGCTGACCTACACTCAACATCAGCCACTGCTGATCTACACTCAACATCAGCCACTGCTGACCTACACCCATTAGCCATTGCTGACCTACACTCAACATCAGCCATTGCTGACCTACACTCAACATCAGCCACTGCTGACCTACACTCAACATCAGCCACTGCTGACCTACACACAACATCAGCCACTGCTGACCTACACTCAACATCAGCCACTGCTGACCTACACTCAACATCAGCCACTGCTGATCTACACTCAACACCAGTCACTGCTGACCTACACACAACATCAGCCACTGCTGACCTATACTCAACACCAGCCACTGCTGACCTACGCTCAACATCAGCCATTGCTGACCTACACTCAACACCAGCCATTGCTGACCTACACACAACATCAGCCACTGCTGACCTACACTCAACATCAGCCAATACTGACCTATACTCAACATCAGCCACTGCTGACCTACACACAACATCAGCCACTGCTGACCTACACCCATTAGCCACTTCTGACCTACACTCAACATCAGCCACTGCTGACCTACACTCAACATCAGCCATTACTGACCTACACACAACATCAGCCACTGCTGACCTACACTCAACATCAGTCATTGCTGATCTACACTCAACATCAGTCACTGCTGACCTACACTCAACACCAGCCATTGCTGACAAGTCTGTGACTTTAGCCCTAGTCTGAAGCCAGAATAAACAAAGTCTAGCTCACACTTGTCCATATACTGGGACTAACCTACACTCAACTTCCTGACTACTTCCGTCGAGTAACGATTTTGGTAACGACAGGGAAAGGTTTCTAGTTTGTTTGTTTGCTTGTTTAACATCGCACTCAGCAATATTCCAACTACAGTGGTCCCTCGCTACAACGCTACCAATGGGGTCCAAATAATTGGTGGGCGTTATAGACGATGAGCCGTTTAACCGAGGCCGAGGCGGGGGAGCGCGCTCGGCAAATCTCAAATCATCAATATGTGTTTATCTCACGTCACGTCAAAATAGTATATATTTTTATGGACCTAGATCTACCTGTAATATCATTCATTTATTAAATGTGTCACATTTCACAATGTCTGAAATACGTATTCCATTTCAATTTATCATTTTTTATCGATAAATTAAAAAATTATTCACTATTTCCCGCGATGTTATTGAAAATAAAATTCTCAGACACACATTTCGACAACGGGTCCACATCAAAGAGCAAAATAAAGACGTTTTAAACAAATCTTTAAATATATTATACAAAGTGATAAATAAAATCAACAAAAATATATCTAAAAGTAATCAAACTTACATCTAAGTTATTATTTCCATCGTTTCGTGCGATCGCGTGTAAAGTAAGTCAAATGACATCTCGGCTTTTGTTGCCTTGAATTCTCGGCTCGGACACAACGTTTAATGCAAAAATATATGCATGAAAAATCTTTGTCACAGCTCGTAACCTAGCACGATACATTCGCGAAGTTCAATATTTTTAATATATATCGTGATTTCATTCAGAATAACACGATTTAACAAAATATCTTTCGCCAACTTCTGAAATTTATCAAACACGAGCTTGGTATCACAGCTATAATTTGATTGGCTGCCTGAGGTCACGTGCTCAAAATTGACCAATCACGAAACTTGTAGTAGATTTCGGCAAGAAAGCGTCATTAGAAACAAATTTTAATCCAATGAAATCGCTTGTTATAACTACGGAAAAAAACCAGACGATGTTACGAAAGCGTGATTACGAAATGAATGACCGCCGTGTTGTGACAGCAACTACATTTGCGTGACAGTGTCACCTCAAATTGGATTGCCCACTAATTAAGAATATAAACTTCGCTTGTGGTTCTCTTTTATTGCATGCATGAGCTTCTAAGATCAAAGGATGTATAGTGTGAAAAGTGACAGCGGTCTGTAAATAATCGAGTCTGGACCAGACAATCAAGTGATTGATATCATCATCAACGATCCAAGCAATTGGGATATGATGACATGAGCCCGACCTCTTGATCTCGTTAGTTGCTTCTCACGACAAGCATAGCCGCCTTTTATGGTAAGCATGGGTTGCTAAGACTCTCTACACACTCATGTACATACTGTGAAAAATTAATATGTGAACCTACCCCACCATCCAGAACATGAGAGCACCGTCAGACCCTCCGCTGGCAAACAGGCCTTCGTGAATGGGATGCCAGTCAATAGCTGCAACAAACAGTCATTGGTCATTGTAGCCATCAGTTACAGTCAGTGGTTAAAGGATCTGTGGTGTGGTGTGGTGTGGTGTGGTGTGGTGTGGGGTGGGGTGTATGGGGGGTGTTGTGGTGTGTGAGGGGTGTTGTGGTGTGTGGTGCGTGTGTGCGGGCGGGCGGGTGAACGGGCCTGTGAGCGGGTGTGCGTGTGTCTGTTATACATGTGTGTTGTTTAATGCCACACTCAGCAAAATTACAGCTATTTGATGATGCCTATAAATAAACAAATCTGAGCCAAAAAATCCAGATATTGACAACATGAGCCACAATCCATGCTTTCGGGGAATGATGACACAATCACAAGTCAGTGAGCCTGACTACCCGATCCATTTGGCTGCTCTGTGCCACATATTTTCCTGTTTATTGTTTCTTCAGTACCAACATCACAAAACCTGACTTAAGAACTTCTTGCCACATTGTCAGTGTTTCCTACATCTGTTGCCTGGCATGTATGTGTTTTGTTTTTGTTTGTTTGTTTGTTTGTTTTGTTTGTTGTTGTTTAACGCCCCACTCAGCAATATTCCAGCTATATGATGGCGGTCTGTATAATAATCGAGTCTGTACCAGACAATCCAGTAATTGACATCATGAGCATCGATCAACACAACTGGGATACGATGACATGCATCAACCAAGTCAGCGAGCCTGACCACCCGATCCCGTTGGTCGTCTCTTACGACAAGCATTGTCACCTTTTACAGCAAGCATCGGTTACTGAAGACCTATTCTACCCCGGATCTTCACGTATCACATGTTGTGTCGTGCGACCCACCAGTAGCCTCCTTCTTGTGCCCCTTGAATGTGTGGATCTCCTCCTTCATGTTCCGAATGTCAAACAGCTTGAGCAGATGGTCTCTGGATGCGGACAGCAGCCAGTTGCCGTTCCGGTTCCACTTCAGATCCATCACAGTGTTCTTGTGAGCATGACTACACAGACAGGGAAATACAACCTTTATCAAACTGTCTTGGGATCTTTAATAAATAGCTGATCAAACATTTCCTTGCAAATCCATGCAGGATCGGATTAGGCTTTGTATGTGTGTGTTTGTGGTTAAAATAATGCTGCACTCCGCATTACTCCAGCTATGACACCGGCCTGTAAACGATCAACTCTGGGCCAAATAATCCAGTGATGGATATTCTTTCGTCACCACTCGCCCCTTTCCGTAACCTGCAAGAAGACTCGTCCCCCTATCGATGAATGTTATGTGCGAAAAACGACAAACCAATCAGAATGCGCGCATGATTTCAAGTTCTTCGTCAAAGAATCCCTCAGAAATAATTTTTGATTTTACATATGTCTTGCATCGAAAAATATACCCAAGACACAGTTAAATGTGTTCAATCATACTGCATAATTTCGCACGTCCCGATGTGGATTAAATTGCATTTGAAATATATATAACATATGGGGAAATGTAAGTGAACCATTATGCAACGAGTTGACAATTGTTTTCGCCCGTTTGCGCTAAGACGGAACCCGGTCACAAAAATGGCCATTAGTTGGGCACGAGTCGTTTCGGCTTAACACATCCCGGAATAACACAAGTTGGTCACGAATGATTGATATTATGAGCAATGATCCACACTTTCCAGGTATGTTAACAAGCCATCTACCAAGTCACTGTGACTGACCACCTGATTCATTAAGTTGCTTTTAATGACTGGTATAGATTGTTTGGGATAAAAAATATGAATTTCACTTCACTTTTGCACACCCATGGAACATTACACACTTATACCCCGTTCACATGCACAATATTTACTCACATAAGTAATTTTGCTAATCTGTAACTATACATACGTGTGTATATGTAAATTTGCTATGCGTTCAAATGAAAATCAACTTAGGTGTTTAAATAAAGATTAAATTGTGTAAGGCACACATATTAGTCAGTCTGTTTACGACTTTCAACACAAAACAGGTTTTTTCCAATCAAAGTTGAATGTGAAGAGAGTTACTTCACCGAAAATGTTTGCGTTAAGCAACATGTGTTGACTCATTGAAACCAAAAGAAAACACTGTCTGCTCAACTCTGTATATACGCATAAAAGTTGGCAACTGTTGACAATTTGTTCGGTGTTGGCAAAGGAACAGATATTAATTAGATCATCCTCTTACGTTTACATAAACGTTCACATTGCAACATATACACACAGTGCAAATTTACATTTACATTTGCACCAGCTCCAGACGTGATGCAAATTTGCTCCGGGTGTAAATATACACACATGAGTAAATGCATTCACATGACAAGTATCCTCACTTATGTATTTCAACACACGTATGCACATATACACACATAAGTATAGAGGCGCATGTTGTTTGTTTGTTTGTTTGTTGTTAAACGCTGCACTTAGCAATATTCCAGCTGTGTGACTGTGGTCTGTAATTAATCGAGTCTGGACCAGACAATCCAGTGATTGACAGCATGAACATCGATGACATGTATCAACCAAGTCAGCTAGCCTGACCACCCGATCCTGTTAGTTGCCTTTTACGGAGAGGCGCATGTGAATGGGGTATTAGTTGACTTTTAACAAGAGAGAGGTACTGGCACCTATTTCGCCCTGGAAACCAACCCTGATGTGGAGTAAGTGCATTTGTTTTAAACCAATACAGAACAGAATTCAGTTATCTTGCAATATGCAAGGTTTAAGGGAAACTAAAATCAGTGGTCTAGAAAAATACTATCATGAAAGTGTATCCCATGGATAAGCCGACCCCTTTCTACAGAATCTTTTTTCTGGTCCTCAAAATTCGGCTTATACGCGGTCATATACGGTACCTAATTTTCAGCCCAATTCGAAACATTCTCGTACAATGTGTGAAACTGAAACATTGTCTTCGTCATGTGTGTTGAGTAATATTAACTGTTAAATTGATACACATCCATCTTCCCGAGGCAAGGGCGTTAACTGACTATAAAAGTCCAGTTTTCACCCTTGCCGCTCTAGGCTGGTATTTGTTTTAGTCGGAATATGTAGTTGTAAGTTGTAGTTGAAGGTGACCCTCATATTGACCTAGTGAGTGAGTGAGTGAGTTTGGTTTTATGCCGAATATAGCAATATTCCAACAATATCGAGGCAGGGGGACTCAAAAAATGGGCTTCATACATTAAATCCATGTGGGGAATCAAACCTGAGCCTTAGGTGTGACGAACGAACACCTTAACCACTACACTACCCCACTGCCCTAAACATGTCAGTGGTTCAAAGGACCAGCACATAGAAAAATCTACTGTCATGTTGGACTCTAGAGGACACAATAGTCCTGACCTACATGGGTTTTAAAACGTATCACTTCTCTTCACACTGATAATGAGAAACCCGTGTACCATGCAGGGTTGTGTAGGTTGCTGGTTTTGCTAAGAAGATAGTCGAAAAAACTTCAACTTAAATTACTTTTGTTGACCCCCAAATAACACTTGACCACCGCACTTGTTAAATTTTACTGGTCCTAAAGAAAATATGCTAGACTCGGACCAGCGGAGCAGTGTAAGTGTCAAACAGTGCTCATGCAGAATTCTGGAGCTGGCAAACAAGGCTAGCTTTTGTTTTAAGTATATTCCAGCGCATATATCTTACATGGTGGCAAGACTCTGTCCGGACCGTGGATCCCAGAGTTTGATTGGCTGCTGGTTGTCCTTGCTCCCGGAGGCAATGAGAGCTTTCTGTGGGTGCCAGTCCACTGACTTCACGTCCGCACCATGGCCTGAAAATCAATGGGTGTCTCACGAATAAGCAGTATCAGAGTTTGCAAGAAAGTTCCAATAAGGAATTCAAACAAGGCACTTACACATGCCAATACAACACATTACAAGTTTCCACTCCACTAACCCACAGTTTGTACCTCATTTTTGGTTCATTAACTGTTGGTTTTAAAAAATATTTGTTCTACATTATTTCTTAGGCTTAAAAAATAAGTCTTGGTTTTCAGGCACTGCCCACATCATCATAAAGTTCATTGCACGTTTCGTTTTTGTTTCCATTTTCAAAAAAAAATTGTGCATTGTGTTTAAGTATTAGGATTTTATATTTTTTTTAATATGGAAATAAAAACAAAATGTGCGGCAAACTTTATGATGATGGAGGTGGTGCCTGAGAACCAAGACTATCTCTTTTTTAACCTTAGAAGAAAATGAGCCAGATTTTCAAATGAAAAGAGTGAGTGAGTGAGTATGGTTTTACGCCACTTTTAGCAATATTCCAGCAATATCACGGTGGGGGACACCACAAATGGGCTTCACACATTGTGCCCATGTCGGGAATCGAACCCGGGTCTTCGGCGTGACGAACTAACGCTTTAACCACTAGGCTACCCGACCGCCCCTCAAATGAAAAGAAAACTTCAAATTGAGGGTAAATAAACCACTGATGTCTGCTCTTCCACAAAAAACAAGTCAGCAGTTGATGTATTATTTGTTATATTCAGTGAAACAATAACAACATAAATTATATGACATAGTTTGTTAATTACTTATTTATTATACAAGCTGTATACCGAGTGAGTGAGTGAGTGAGTTTGGTTTTACGCCGCTTTTAGCAATATTCCAGCAATATCACGGCGGGGGACACAAGAAATGGGCTTCACACATTGTAGTATCTGCTCAAATGTGACAATGACCAGTGACTACAATACTGTCAAATCAAATATATAACAGTGTTGTCTTTGAAGAAATATATACATATACCGTATTCGACGTAATAAGCACCCAGGGCGCTCTCAAAGTTGGAAATAGGGGGCTCTTATTAGAATATTATTTTGGTAAAAAAAAAAAGATTTGAAAGATAGATTTTGTGGTTTATGCTGACAGCCTGAAATGTTTATATACGACAGATATATTTTTCCAGAATTTAATTGCCCATGATTAAGGGTGCATATAACACATGAGTGCGTATTATACACCAATTGGGATTGTTCACCAGCCAATACATTAGCAAATATCGCCGTGGGCGCTTATTAGAGCGGGGCGCTTATTACGTCGAATACGGCAATACATTTTTAGGGATATTTTAAGGGACAAGGTATGTAAATGCACCTAACTGCATATTAATAAATATTCGATTCTAGCGACCACGAATAACAAATTCAATTCATGAATGGATACGGTTCGATTCACTGAATACGTGAGTGAATCATAACAGCCTTGTTGTGTATATCTGTTATTTTATTCGAATCTTTACCACAGCCAGTCACAAAAATATGGGTGACTTCAATTAGTAGGTCAAGCCATAATATTCTGACATGATAGGGTAAGAGAATGTTTTGTTTTGTACAAGTTACATATATTGCCCCTTGATCATGTGTATGGAGTGAGTGAGGGAGTTGGGCTTATTAACGTGTTGAAAAGTACTTTAGTTACACCTCCGTGCGCCAGCTTGACATGGGAGGAAGTGGCGCAGGTCTTTGACATTTACCACTTCAGTGAAACCCACGAACACGGGTGTGGCGCTTACAACTAGAGACAATTGGTGTGAACCAAAAATTCAAACCCAAGACTGAGGTTCCTGTCAAGCAAAAGGGGCACAATTTGCATTGAGAAACGAGATCAACAGGGCCATCAACGCACCTTCAGGGATGAGAATGTTTTTTCTTAAAAAACTACTGCATGTTAGGCGCTGGGGCACTATATGATTTTTGCGTATATAATTATGATATTCCACAGGTTTATCTAAGATTCTAGACAATGTGCCCCTGGCAAGTAAATTGGGGAATAAATTATTTTGTGCAAGACTTTTCTTACCCGGTAAGTACTTGTTTTCTGATAATTGAGAGGTAGGCCTATTTTAACATTGTATTTTGAGACTGCATTCAATGCAATAAAATATTACTAAGCATTACAACCTAACCTATTCATTCATCCTATTATCAGTGAAATAGTCATAAAATTTGTTATTTCTAATATATATTAACACAAAGTGGGAAACAAAATATGAATTCCATTTTGAGAGGTTTTAATGACATTGAAAAAGTCTGCATGTTGTATTTGAGTTTCAACATGTGTTAACATTAACAGGGCTCACGGTAATATTTTGAGCAATTGAGTATTTACTCAAAAATTATCAGTCACATTGGGTATTAATAGTTTTCTTTGGGTACGGTATTCAATGTTTTCTTCCCTTGTGTTCAGTCTATTGGGTATTTTTATACCAATTAGAAGACATGTTTTTAATAACATTGTAAAATACTGTTTCAGGTGACCAATGGTTCGTGTGGTTTCTTTCGGATTTATATGCAAGCTACTCAATATACATTGGGTAATTGTGAAATATCTGGATCTCTGTATTACAACATGGATGATTCACTAATTCAGTGAGTGAGTGAGTGACATTCCTGCAATATCACGGTGGGAGACATCAGAAATGGGCTTTGCACATTGTACCAATGAGGGGAATCAAACCCAGCCCTTCAGCGTGATGAGTGAACGCTTCAACCACTAGGCTACCCCACTGCCCCTCCAGGTGATATAATCAACGTATCACATACCTGTAAGTTGATACTAAAAATGGTACTGAAATATGTACTGTGACAAACATGTTGAGCTTGTAGGCACTGTAGCTTACCGGAATGTGTAGTCAACTCACAACAAAGACGGAAGACTTAAAATAAATTGCTTTCAGCATTGATATTCAAATACGTCTTGCATAATTACTGAGGACTAAACACTAAATCTAACAAATAGGATGTCAACGTAAGAGTGAGTGAGTGAGGTTTTACGCCGCTTTTAGCAATATTCCAGCAATATCACGGAGGGGGGACACCACAAATGGATTCACACATTGTACCCATGTCAGGAATCGAACCCGGGTCTTTGGCATGACAAGCGAACACTTTAACCACTAGGCTACCCGACAGCCCAGAAGAGTGAGTGAGTGAGTGAGATGGGTTCAACACCGCTTTTAACAGTATTACAGTTATATCATGGCGTGTCAGCTTAGTGTGGGAGAAAAGCCCGAAGTGATACAGGTCTCAGACGTTTACCACTTCGGTGAAACCCACATGCACAGGTATGGTGCTGACAAACCTAGAAACATGATCATGCCAACCCAGGATTCAAACCCACAGTTATAGGCTTCTGGCATGCCCAAGAGACAGAACTGCAAATTGCTGCGCCTTGGACAACCCAAGACCCCCAACATAACAAGAAACATGCTAAAGTTCAGCCTTTGAGAGAATTTTAGAGCACGGTCAAAACAAGGTCAAGATTTAAAATATCCCAAAGCCCAGAACTACACATACAGTAAACTTCAGCCATTTACTCAAAACGGCGGAATATTTTCATAAATAGGTTTCCTCAATATGACTGCTGTGGTGGCTATGGCTAATCCAATTTGAACAGATCAAAGTGAGTGAGTGAGTTGGGTTTAACGCCGCTTTTAACACTATTCCAGTTATATCGCGGCGTGTCAGCTTAATGTGGGAGGAAAGCCCGAAGTGATGCAGGTCTCAGATGTTTACCACTTCGGTGAAACCCACGAGCACGGGTATGGTGCTGACAAACCTAGAAATATAATCGGGGCGAACCGGGATTCGAACCCACAATCATAGGTTTCTGGCGTGCCCAAGGGACGCAACTCTGCACAGCGAATCGCGGCGCCTTAGACGACTGGGCCAACCGTGCCCCCAAACAGATCAGACGTCATCATTGGTGGAAACATTATCTGAAGTTTCAGCTTCATTGGTAAAGTGGTTTCTGAGACATTTTCACCACACTTCGGACACTAGACAAGCAGGCCACAACTTTACTTTCAGTCAGGTGAGCTAAAAATATCATAATTTGAATTTGTTTCCTGCGACAAAATAATTATTAAAATACTGGGAAATCTGATCAGGCACTTCTCATGTGCATGTAGTTTGTTTTCTTTGTTGTTTAACGCCACACTCAGCAATATTCCAGCTATATGACGACACTCTGTAAATAATCGAGTCCTGACCACAATCCAGTGGTTGACATCACGAGCATGGATCCACGCAATTGGGATACGATCACATGCATCAACCAAGTCAGCGAGCCTGACCAACCGACCCCGTTAGTTGCCTCTTACAAGCATAGTCACCTTTTACAGCAAGTATGGGTTGCTGAACACCTCTTCTACACGTATCATGATACATTGGTCACAATACAATACATATCGTGATACGCATGTATACCTCAAATCACACGGAAACTTCTTGACAATAAATATTTCAAAGAAGGTTCAAAAGGAAAATCTAGCAGGAGACATGTTTATCGCGGCTAGTTTTAGTAATATACTTGAAATGATAATTACAACACTTTTTGACGTATGTGACGGACAAAAACTGCTTGGGGTCATTAAACGAGATTTAAGTTGTTCATTTCAGCAAGTGTATTATCTTGTATCGATATAGAAAAAAAGGTTTCCACATTTGGTTTTCGACAGGTCTGTCCCCGTTATCCTCACCAATCAGTAGGAGACACCTGAACTCCATCTCGGTTGCATTATATATGTCAATACTGGCCTCACATGTTGAGCTTGTCTTTAACAAGGAGAGATGCAAGAACCATACCTCGTAGAATTCTCTCTTCATGACCTCTCATAAAGTCCCAAACACGAACAGTTCCGTCATCTGCACATGTTGTAAATTTATTGTCGCTTGGGCAAAAACTGTCATGGAGAAACAAATAACAGAAGAGGATATTAGAAGAAAAGCATTTATTTATGAATGATACGGTAACTACAAATGCATTCTGAGGTCGAAATATCCATTCCACTGTATGGATAGGGCAATCAAGCCTTTATTTCTTTACTAGATTATTATCTTATGGGCAATCAAGCCTTTATTTCTTCAATTCTATCATTCAGAGACACTTAAACAGGGCAATCAAACCTTTATTCCCTTAACAAAAAAAACACAAAGGTTATAGTTTTTTCCTAAATAGCATGGGCAATCAAGCCTTTATTTGCTGACAAAAAAACAAAGTAGAGATAGCTTTTCCCTAAATTGTATGGGCAATCAAGCCTTTATTTCTGTTAAACTCTCTTCAATTCTATCAATCAGACACTTAAACAGGGCAATCAAGCCTTTATTTCCTTAACAAAAAAACACAAAGGTTATAGTTTTTTCCTAAATAGCATGGGCAATCAAGCCTTTATTTGTTCCTTACATAGTCTGCGTATTCAAGCCTTTATTTATTCCCTAAATAGTACAGTAATGAAGCCGTTTTCTATTCCAACAAAGTAAGGAGCATCAAGCCTTTATTTATTCCCTAAATAGTACAGTAATGAAGCCGTTTTCTATTCCAACAAAGTAAGGGGCATCAAGCCTTTATTTATTCCCTACGTCACACAGGCTCAAAGGTTTTTGTTTCCTAAATCAAACAGATAAATCATGCTCTCATTTGAACCCTAAATAGTAAGGGCATCAAGCCTTTATTTCCTTACTATTGATACAACTAGCAAACAACCTTTATTGAGTGTAAATCAATGAATCAATAAAATAAATGATAAATAAAATGTAAAAAACTTGAATTTCTTGATGATATACATAAAACTTCAATTAGCACACCATTGAACATGGAAATTAAGCCCTCATTTCCTCAAAAGTGTGGGAAATAAGCCTTTATTTCTTTGTATCTACATTTGATGACATTTGAAAAAACATAAATATGTTCCTCTCAGCCCACGATTGGTGATATATGATGATATAATTGATGTTATGATAAGTATGAAACTTTCTGACTCTCTTAACACAAGTAAATAAATACATGCAAACTTAAAAAAAAATACAGCAAGAAATATTTAAAAAGATACGTTTGGTAATGTTATTTTTTTCGTAATATCCTATTATATTTCTGAAAAACAAATATTCAGTGTAGCAACATGAACTATTAATATGCCAGAATTATCACCTTTCACAACAAGCATCCACGCCATTACTTTCCATCAACAAGAATATACGACCATTTCTACCTAGGTCTATCTAAACTTCTGACCAGGGCTTTGAAAGCCTTTATTCAAATGTCCTTGAACCTTTGTTCAGTAGAGAAGAACGTTGGGCATTGGCCTTTATTTGAAAACTATTGACGCCAAAGTCTATATTTCACAGGGGCAAAAAGCCTTTATTCAAGTCCTGCATCATATATAATTCATTGCGGGCAAAGTGCCTTTATTTCCAAGAAAATAGCTGAATTATCACAAATCTCCTCAGTTAAAGTTGTCAATCTTGGTTCACTAAAATAGGTGAATATTTCCCTAGCATTATTCACTATCCATGAAATGCATTTGTAGAGTATCACATCATCATAAACAAGCACTACACAGCATCAAAATGGCAAATGTAACAGCTGTGTTAACAATACTACTTTATTCCAGAAGACCTCCAACTCCCCTGAAATATGAAGCAATCTGTCTGCAAATTGGCCAAACTTACCTTCATTGTTCTGTCAGAGTAAGTGAGTTGGGGCTTTCGCTGCATTGAACAGTATTTCATTTATATCACAGCGTGTCAGCTCATGTTTACCTCTCGAACAAAACTCACAAGCAATGTGCTGACAAACCTTGGAACAATCAGGGCAAACCGAGATTCGAACCCATGATCAAGGGACCTCTCTGCACAGTGAAGTGGGGAGCCTGGACGACTGGGCCACCAGCACCACTCGTCGTGACAATGATCAAATCAATAAATGATAGGACCATGTCTCATTATCTCCAGAGTATATTTACTGTAGTCTGACAACTTATTTGTTTTTGCAGCATTTTTCAAGATTGTTTCCAGTACTGACATGCACCCTGTCAATACAGCTCACACATACATTACTAATGTACGTTACTTACTCATGACACTAAAATGTCTTAGTTCTAATTTGAAATACACTGTAACGATCTCTTATCATATATTTCTGTTGTTCGTACTATCACAGATACTGTACAGCAACTATTGTAATATGTGAGGAAGTGAGTGAGTGAGTGAGTGAGGTTATACGCCGCTTTTAGCAATATTCCAGCAATATCACGGCGGAGGACACCAAAATTGGGCTTCACACATTGTACCCATGTCGGGAATCAAACCCAGGTCTTCGGCGTGACGAGCGAACGCTTTAACCACTAGGCTACCCGACCACCCCTATTGTAATATGTCCCTTTCAATGATGGGTGATACAGCAGTCAGCATGTGCAATCCTGGAATTGATGAATAAAAGGGACTTCCTACGACCCCACCCAATTTTCTACAAGTGGGTCGTGATCCCAAAAACACTTGCAAGAAATATTTTCTTGCAGGATTTCTTAAAATGTGTTTATCTTGATGTTTTGTTTGTTTGTTGTTTAACGCCGCACTCAGCAATATTCCATCAATCATGACGGCGGTCAGAAATAGTCAAGTCTGGACCAGACAATCCAGTGACTTACAAATAGTCAAAATAGTCAAAATTCAAGCAATGCATGACAGGTGCCCTAATCAGTATCAGTATTTATCCTGTGAGAAACGCTTGCCTCCCTTTTGTGTGGCTAACATTTGCAACTGGAAAACAAATCAAGAAAAAACTGCCGAAACATGAGGTTGACAGACTACAATGACTACATGCGCCACTCCAGTATGTTCCTTTAACATATTAGTAGTTATTCTTTATTCAAACACTGCCTTTATTGGAATACAAGATAACAAGTGCAAAACAGATCCCACACAGTAGGAAACACTCCTCTTGCTCATTAATGATCAACTGAATGAACTCTGTCTTGGTTTGAACCCTGTAGTCTCCGAGATCTAAAACCTGTGTATAAACCACCAGTTCAAACAAGATCTGACCTAGCCTGACATCTTAACCAAGTCAGCGTCCTTAATTTTGCTCTCATAGTATCTTAACATCTATTACACCCACACCCACCTCTTGACGTATTTCTTGGACACTAGGGCCATATCAGGGCCCTTGATTTTTATAGTTAATTTCAAACACTGAGTTGCACAAACCACTAGATGGATTTTACTGTGTGGAACCCTCAATACGGACAGGGCTAGGACTTCTTTGGCCTTACCCTTGAGGGTGCCTAATGGAAGGTCACAAAGTGATGGTCACTCATCAAACTGTCTTAGCACCCACCTCGCACAACCCTGTCATCATCCCACTCAAATTACCACTTTCTTGAACCAACTCCACATATTCTACATCTTCAAACCCCCATCCAGGCTAAGTAAGACCTAGGTGTAACCAATTTCCCTGTTGTACCAGCACAAAGTAGCAATAGTAGTGTTTCCTAGTGTTTTCGAGACCAGAACAAAAATACTTAGTGTTAGACAAGCTAGACATGGCTGGTGTCTGTCTGTGGCCGACGGTAGAGACTCCCACCTGATCCCTCGAACTGCCTCCTTGTGACCCTGGTACATCTTCACGTTGTTCATATTGGACTGCCAGTACTTGATGAAGCCTGCGTGGTCAGCGGTCACCATCCACATGTCATTGTGACTCCATCTCATGGCTCGGACAGATGTGTCGTGCGCCTGGAAGAAAATCACAACTTTGCAGTAACCAAAGACAAAGCATCATACATATATCCCAGCAGTCTACACAGTGTAAGTAATTAGCTGTCTAAGCAATGACCATAAGATAAAAGTGAATAAGGGACTGAATCTTATTTAAAGCAGAAATGTTCAAAGTAAAGTGGGGTCCTGGCACCCTTGAGGTCTACTCCTAGAGGACCTGAATCTGGGGGCCTGAACAGTCCCTTCAAAGCGGTGTGGTGTGGTGTGTGACCGCGCTCTTGTACTAGTCAAGACTAAAGCCGGTTTTATAGTGCTAACACACTGAGATCCCATGCCGCAGTTTAAAATAAACACAGCACTCAGACACAGTATGCTGAATCCAAGCCGACCAGTCCTTGTTTTAGCCCCTTAATGCCAAGCGCAAGAGTAACAACAAGAACCATCTTTAACGTCTTCTGGTATGACGCGGCCAGGATTGAACCACGCACCTTTTGTTCTCGGGGCGGAGGCTCTACCACCAGACCATCGAGGCTGTCGCAAACCACCAGGACCCCCTTAACTACTCACATTATCATAGCCATATAATTTGTTTGTTTGTTGTTTAACACTGCACTCAGCAATATTCCAACTATATGACAGCGGTCTGTAAATAATCGAGTCTGGATCAGACAATCCAGGGGTTGTCATGAGCATCAATCCACGCAATTGGGATCGGACATACATCAACCAAGTCAGCAAGCCTGACCACCCGATCCCGTTAGTCGCCTCTGTACAGCAAGCATGGGTTGCTGAAGACCTATACTACCCCGGATCTTCACGGGTCCAAAGCAATATAAAGGTACTCCAGTGGGATTGAGTCAGCTGATCTTAATACAACATTGACTGGCATTTCAATAGCATCCAGAGCTCCAGACAACTTTTTGAGCAATTGAGTTTTAACTCTAGGGTTTCTATTTTAATTGGGTTATTACATTTTTCATTGGGTAACCAATATGTTTTCACTCATCTATTCATCACTCTATGCATCCCAAAAATTAGTGAACATTTTAAGATTTTAAAAAAATTAAGTAATGTTTTAGATGTATGTAACTGTTTTAAACATATAGGCTTGACTCGGAAAGTAAAATAGCTTGTAATTTTGTTTCCGGAATTAGCTCCTTTGTACGCATGTTGAAAAAGTTTCAATGGGTATTTACGAGATCTGTGTTTATACATTTCAGTTTTTCATTTAATGCATGCATTTCTGTACGCAAGTTTATTGAAAGTAAACAAAGGTTTGATGTAAAAAATAGGGAACTTAAAGACTGTGTTTAAACATTATATGAAGAAAAAAAAGAGTAAACACTGGACAAATATATATATGATATAAACTAATATATCAAACAGGCCATGCCCACCTGCAGACCACGCCCACCTGCAGACCACGCCCACTAACAGACCACACCCACTAACAGGCCACTGTTTCCCGATTGGCTGACATTAGAATGGGCGGGGCTTGTGTTACATGATTGCAAAACATTGTCCCCCAATATCCATTTTGGTTAACTCGCACAGAAAACACAGGGCACGGAGCACCTATTGTTCTACCCTGATACACAAAGTGAGCATCAATTGTACAGCACAACTCACCTGTAGAATAGTCTCAAAGTTAAATGCAAGGCCATTCCACAGTGTAAACTCCCCACTGGAAGCTCCAGTGACCAAACGCCGACCTTCTGGTGTCCACTGAAAGACAAAATATCACCAATATAGGGCCAGCTCAACGTGTCCTACTGAATTCACAAGGCAGCGATAGAAACTAACTGTTTTAGACTTTTAGTCCACTAGTCCTTATAATGATAACATATAGCAAAACCCTAATAAAGGCAAATTTCTACTAGTCCTTAGGATACCTTAACTGTTGGGCACTTTGGCAATGACTACAGGACTAGTGCCAATTTCTAATGCTGCAAGGCCACATCTTTTGAAGACTCTTGCTCCAGAAATGGAGTGAGTGAGTGAGTGAGTGAGTGAGTGAGTGAGTGAGTGAGTGAGAGAGTTGGGTTTAACGCCACTTTTAGCAGTATTCCAGTCATATCGTGGCATGTCAGCTTAATGCGGGAGGAAAGCCCGAAGTGATGCAGGTCTCAGACATTTAATACTTTGGTGAAACCCACAAACACAGGTATGGTGCTGACAAACCTAGAAACATAATCGGGGCGAACCGGGATTCGAACCCACAATCATAGGTTTCTGGCGTGCCCAAGGGACGCAACTCTGCACAGCGAATTGCATTCGTGACCAAGTCATGTTATTCCAGGACAAGCCGAATAGCGACTCGTGCCCCGCTCATGGCCATTTTTGCAACCGGGTTCCATCTTAGCGCAAACGGACATACCTAAAACAATTGTCTACTCGTTGCGTAATGGTTCACTTACATTTCCCCATATATTATATATATTTCAGATGCAATTTAATCCACATCGGGACATGCGGAATTATACAGTATGATTGAACACATTTAACTGTGTCTTTGGTATATTTTTAGATGCAAGACATATGCAAAATCAAAAAATATTTCTGAGGGATTCTTTGACGAAGAACTTGAAATCATGCGCGTATTCCGATTGGTTTGTCGTATTTTCGCACATAACATTCATCGACAAGGGGGACGAGTCTTCTTGCAGGTTACAGAGGGGCGAGTGGTGACGAATGAGCGAATCGCAGCGCTTTAGACAACTGGGCCATCCGTGCCCCCTTAGAAACAGGAGAGTAACATAAGGAAGAGAGTTTATGAATGTCAACTTCTTGATTATGAGGAACACAAGTTTGGGAGTATATACTTACTCCTCCATCAGGTGAAAGGAGAAAGCATATACTCTGAAACGTTGTTCCTTATAATAAAGAAGTTGACATCAATAAACTCCTTTCCTTACGTGTATTACTTCTAAATGCCATTCAAAGACTTCATAACAGTAACAGTTATTATTCCAGTTGAAATGAACACGGATTACAAGCAAAAATTCTAGATTTGAATCTTCCTTTTCACTGGCTGTACAAAGTTGAACCAAAAACTTTCGATCACATGATATGGTCAGAGCTCCAGATAACTTTTTGAGCAATTGAGTTTTCACTCGATGGTTTCTATCTTAATAGGGTTATTACATTTTTCATTGGGTAACCAATACTTTTTCACTCATCTATTCATCACTATTGGGTTTTCCCCCAAATTGAGTAAACATTTTGAGCTTTTTAAAAAAATTGTTTAAAATGTAATATTATAGTGGTAATTATAGGCTCGTCTCCAGAAGTAAATTAGCCCGTAATTGTGTTTTGGAACTTAGCTCCGCTGTACGCATCATTGGGTATTCACGCGTGTTGTTTTCCATCAATTTAGTTTTCCATTTAATGCATGCGTTTCTGTACACACGTTAATTGAAAGTAATTGGGTTTTGAATAGTTTTGGGGGATATTTTAAGCAAATACGCATCTTATCTGCTTTGTTCTGGTGTCCGGGGTAGGGTGTCACAGGCCCAGGATAACACAACTGTTATTCACAGAACATATATTAAACCCTATATTACTCACTGTCACACAGAAGATTGGACATCGGAACTTGTTGGTCGACGTCCTCACAAACTTAGTTGTAACAGAATTGATGGGGTTTTCAACAGTTGCCATTGGGGGCTCCAGCTGAAAGGTTCAAAACACTTGTGTCCAAATCACTGCATTACCCTTGCATGAGCAACTTATTACAAGGTTGGTTGGTTTGTTTGTTGTTTAACGCCGCACTCAGCAATATTCCAGCTATATGACGGCGGTCTGTAAATAATCGAGTCTGGACCAGACAATCCAGTGATTAATATCATGAGCATCAATCCACGCAATTGGGATTGATGACATGCATCAACCAAGTCACAGGGTTAGAAACTAACAGTTTTCGTCCACTAGTCCTTATAATGATAACATATAGCAAAACCCTTAAAAAGGGCAAATTTCTACTAGTCCTTATGATACCTTTACCATTGGGCAGTTTGGCAAGGACTATAGGACTAGTGCCAATTTCTAACGCTGAGTCAGCGAGCCTGACACCCAATCCCGTTAGTCGCCTTTTACTGCAAGGATGGGTTGCTGAAGTCCTATTCTACCCCGGAATATTCACGGGACACTTATTACAAGGACTGCAATAGAAATACATGGAGCATCACACCAAGACTGAAGTATCTATCTACATACAGTGGCATGTATTGTGAGCTCACTGAACTTGTGGATGAAATATTAAACCCAGTTCCTAAAGCTTACAAGATGTATCATCATTAATAATCAACAAATCATACAATAATGCAAGCTTACATCTATTTGATAGAGGGCATCTGGCTGAATGGATACAGCATCTCTACGATCCCTTTGCCACACTCGGTTCTGAAAAAAGATAAATATTTCTCAAATTAATTTGCATCATGCTAACATTTCCAATTTTTTTCCAACTTAAAACATTAGGCCAACTGAAACCAGTCCACTAGTCCTTATAATGATAATATGTAGCAAAACCCTTAAAAATGGCAAATTTCTACTAGTCCTTATGATGATTGCCCAGTTTGGCAACGACTACAGAAATACTGCCAATTTCTACTGCTGAGAAACACATGACAGTGACACAGTTGTCCAGTCAGACGAAATAATTTTTCATCTCGCAATAAACAGCGTACAGAACAGTATTTCATTTTCTCATATTAGCTAGTGAGTATTTTGGAGGTGCTTTTCTGTTTTTTCCTCAAAATGTTAAATCTAAATGATCAATGACATTGGTGTGACATGGACATGTTGGAAATTAGTTTGATTGTTGTTTAACACAACACTCAGCAATATTCCACCTACATGACAGCGACTGTAAATTATCAGTCTGGAACAGACAATCCAGCAATTGACATCATGAGCATGTGATGAGCATCAATCCACGCAATTGGGATATGATGACATGCATCAACCAACTCTGTGAGCCTGACCACCCAATCCCGTTAGTCGCGTTTTACGGCAAGCATGGGTTGCTGAAGACCTATTCCACCCTGAATCTGGAAACTAGTAATCCGAATGGTTCAGTTCCTGGTGAAATTGTCCGGAATAAGAGCTGACTGAGTTTTAATTTAACATCCTATTAAAAAGGTTTCAGTGAAAAAGCAACAGACTAACAACTCATGGAACCATGGATATTGATACATTGATCATCAACATGTCACGTGCATGAACAAACCAGGACACTGACCTAAAATAAGTTTCAGAAAAAAAACAGTACTTATCCCACAGTATGCAAATTACAATGGTATCTTTCAATGGTGTACTTCATTTAACACTACACTTAGCAGTATTAGAGCAACATAACGGTGGTCTTTAAATAATTGAGTCTGAACCAGACAACCAAGTGATTGACATAATGAGCATCATACTACATAATTAGGATAGGATGACATGCATCAGCTAAGTCAGCAAGTCTGACCACCCGATCCCCATATGACACCTTACTACAAGCATAGTCGCCTCTTACGGCAAGCATGGGTTGCTGAAGACCTCTTCTCTACACGGATCTTCACAGGTCTCAATGGTGTACTTACATGTAAATATCTTATCACAGAAGAGTTGTAATCCACAGTTTTCCGATGGACAGCCTTTCTCATTCGCTTGCCATCAAACATAGCACTTTGCTGATTTAAAAACTGTTGACGGATCTGGGGCAAACTCAGCCCCGTAGCCTGGCCCTTTTGGTCGGTGGATTTCACTTGAGACATCTGTGGGTTGGGCTGATCCATCCTGGGAACAAAGTTCCGGGGCCGGAACATCGGGGGCCCCGGGGCAGGCATACGCATCATCATCATTCCACCATCCATGATGAACTGAAAAAGCATGTTGGTGATGAAAGAATGAATAACTATGATGATCAGATTATTCAAGAAGTAAACTTAATGTGTAAATTGCAGCTAGAATCATTGTCCAAAATACCCCTTACCTCTCCCATTTCAGGTGTGTTTGTTTTGTTTGTTCTTTAACGTCACACTCAGCAATATTACAGCTATATGATGGCGGTCTGTGAATAATCAAGCCGTGATCAGCAACTCCAGTGATTGACATACTGAGCATGGACTTTAGGGTTGGTTAGTTGTGAGGTAACTTTTTTAACAAGTTTTGAGTTTCACAAGGAAAATGGCTACTTCGCATGCACATAAAGGTAAATAAATGGATGCTGATGACTTGGTAAACGAGCACTAGTTATTTGTGATAGGGCCTGTTGTCTCTAGGTAGGGTGTTAGATTATCTCTTTAGCCGAGCTTAGATTCAAGCTGTCAATGCGAGTTCAAGCCTCCATGCAACATTAATTGAAATCTGAAAAAGTGTGCCCGGTAAAGTAAACTATTCCATGTTTCGCAACTGAATTACTGTAAATGTGTGATAGTTACACACCGTCTGGGGTAAGAGATATACTGTTATAGATATACTAAAATTTGTTTATCATACCCAACGTTTGGGTATTCCCAACCTGATATAGGGACATGAAAAGCATAATTCCTTTCACTAGACTCAGTCTTTTGGATTCCCGGTCGTGCCAATTCGGAGATGACAGCACAATATGGGGGTTGGTCCATGGTTGATGCTTCCATAGGAAGTCTGAGAAAGTGTGTCTTTCTAACACTTTAAAGACTCCTCCTTTTGAACCACGCCTGGGCATTTGTGGGTTCTACGAATCTAGTTTACACATATGTCAAGGAATAACGGCACAATTCCCATATTTATACACGAGAGAGCGTTCGTGTTTAATTTGCGCATCATACTGGGACATGCGTAAGTCTCACTTGCCGATATGTGATGGCCAGGAAAGTTACAATCAAATTCAACAAGTTAATACAACACAACATTCCAATAAGAAAAACCTATGTAAAGCGTACCTAAACTGACTGAAAATATGTAAGTCGTGCTCTATTGATCAGTTTACGCCCAATGTCCTCAAATGTGTTGAAGATGTTTGGACACATTGTGCGTTATGCATGTCTTCGTGAATAAAATGGCGGCGTTTAATGGTTAATGCTAAAATTTAAACTGCTCATAGCTTGTTCGAAACGAAACAATTATAATTTCCTCACGGTGATAATACGAAAATTACAACGTATATGTTTGTTACAGGTAGATCCAGATCATTAATTTTCGTATATCCCGAGTTGTATCATACAATGGCCGGGTTAATCAAAATAAATAAAAAACCGGCATTTTAAACATTATTTAATGTTTCCTCCTCCACTTTTACCATTTATCCCACAGAAATCGACCAATTTTCTTGAATGAGATGGTTCCCGGTTGTCCTTGCGCTTCGACCACTTGCCATAAGGCTCCATCACAGCGCATGCAACCTTCTCTGTCCTTATACTGCATTAAAGCATTGGGGACACGCAAATATCGCTGTGATGATCTTAAACACGCTTAAATAGATACGGAACCCAGCTTTAGTGTACAGCCGATACTGCAATACCATTGGTCAATATCCCAAGGAGTGTAATAACCCCGTTTAACCAGACCGTAAAGAAAAGGTGACTGGTTAATTGCAACTACCAACTTCCTCGAAGCATCACGCATATTCTGTCACTCGCCATGTTATTCTGCGGATACTGACACTCCTTTTAAACCAAATACAATCTGATCGTTATTTGTTTGTGTGAAAGATAAGCAACTGAAAGTTCATTTTCTTAAGTTTGTATTTAGAGAAAGAGGACTTGCCACGATGACGTACGACGGTCATTTGAAAATTGGAATTGTTTGTTCCAGTAATCAAAACCGGAGCATGGAGGCTCATAACTTTCTTAGGTCAGCGAAACCATATGTTTATTTTCTCATCATGGATATACAATGTTCTGTTTTACGACCAACTTAGTTTTCGTATGATTTGTCATTTTTATTGCTATAATACATCCAAATCATCCAACACAATGGTGGGTTCATTTTAACAAGGTGACCTGAAGCCACTTGATCTTATTGTAATAAGTCATTGGTGATTTGAACTTTTATCAAGTGTTCTGTTGTGTTGTACAACCAGTATTGAAAGTGGTTGGAAATAATAACCTTGCAATCAGGTGTTTCTTTCAGTTCTGATCTTACCCACAGATGTCCACTGGCACACACATCTATATAGGTGGGCATGTCCGATGGGCATGATGGAGGCATTGAACCATACACATGTAGCTATAAGTATAACAAAGAAAACATTTTTGGTGTAATTTCTTCCTTCCTCCTCTGCTTTTCATCTTCGAATTGCGTATATTCATGTTTATGAAAGTTCCCTGTTTACAAATTAACTCTTTTCACTGCCAAGCTTTGAATGCACATATTGAAAAACAAAAGAAATCACTGATCGTGCTTGTGGTGTTTCCAGGGTACACATGGCAGAAAGTCATCAGTTGTTTCTTCTTTGTGTAACATGTGACAAATGGGGACTAGGTTGACAACAGAGAGAATAGTAATTTGTTTCCTTGCTGAATGGTGGTCAGCAATTTAACAGCTGTATCACATGACATTTGAGGAATAGAGTTTGAACCAAACAAGGTTGGGGTTGAAAATGTACAGTAGGCAATATGACAGCGGCTGTCACATGGCAAGTACGGAGTAACGTTTTGATCTCACAAAGTAGAGCATTGATCCACCTGTTCAGGGAATTTTGGTGGACAGAATCGCTGCTGTCCGTACTGAGTATGTGGAGTAGGAATACAAGTAGTGGGATGTAAGACCACTAGGGCTGGGACGAGTCCAAATTTACTACCCGGGTATTAACCCCCTATTACCCGACCCTACCCGGGTACCCGCTGTAGGTCTCAAGAGATAGGTACAAAATGTCCTATTGGGAAACGTTTGACCATACTCCTGTCAAAATGTATTTAGATACAGGTATGAAATGATCTGGTCATGCATACACTGAAGTTGACTGAAGTTTTATCTTTAAACAAACACATAAAGTCAGAAGGAATGTGTGCATAGTGGGAAAGAAATGTGATCATTTGTCACTTATAGTGTAACCATAGCATTCTAGATATTTTTTTGCCATTAAACAATATAATCACGTGACTAACCACGGGTCTGGGTAGTCCTGTGGGTACCCTGGTCCTACTCAGTACCCACCCGACCCAAGTACCCGAGTTACCCGTCCCAGCCCTAAAGACCACGTCATTCAAAGTTGTTGTTTTTTCAACTACATTTTTAATCGTAGAATATGTGTTTTAATTTTTGGATAAATTTATCACCACTTGAAGGGATGGTGTAAATCCTGCTCTGGTCCATGCAGGTATCAAAGGTACTATAAGTGATCTACCTTCAGTTGCTGGCGATCTATAGCCTGTTTTTATATTATGTTGTTGAATGATAGTTAATTCTTACATGCTTTCAAACTAGGTTTAAATAAGCCTGTGATATTCTAGTTCTTGTACTGTCCTTCGACGACAGTAATTTACAAAGTCTAAATATATTCGTGATCAATGTATAATTTTAATTTTGTCTCGTCACGATATGGCTGAAATATTACCGATGTGATGTTAAAGTAAAACTCACTCACTCAATAGTTATGGAAGAACAAACTACAGCTGTGGATTCTGGTTTAGATTTTGTCCCCAGGAACTTACGCCAGTCGGTGACATGGTTGATTGTCTGTCATCCTTCCCCAACTGCATGGATCATTGCCAACAATTTCAAGCAATTGTTTGTCTGGTACAGATTATTTAAAGGCTGCATGATATAGCTGGAATATGGCTGAGTGTCACTGTGATGTTAAACAACAAATAAACAACACAAACGTACATTGATCAACACTCTTTTGCTTTTTCCAGACCGGGGCATGGGTGGCCCAGTTGTCTAAGGCGCCGCGATTCGCTGTGCAGAGTTGCGTCCCTTGAGCATGCCAGAAACCCATGATTGTGGGTTCGAATCCCGGTTCACCCCAATTGTTTCTAGGTTTGTCAGCACCATACACATGCTCGTGGGTTTCACCGAAGTGGTAAACGTCTGAGACCTGCATCACTTCGGGCTTTCCTCCCACATTAAGCTGACACACCGGGATATAACTGGAATAATGTTAAAAGCAGCGTTAAACACAAGTCACTCACTCACTCACTTGGTCCAGACCTGAACTATTTCAGGGTGCTGAAAAAACAATATGAACTTACGTTTATCTTAATAGGTCATTCTAATTCTCAATTTGATCTGTATGTTGTTTTATTCTTCATTGATTAATAGCTTCTTGTACTGATAAGACTGTAAAATTGATGCACATGCCGAGTTGCATCCCTTAAACGTCTTAAGACCTGCATCATTTCAGGCTTTCCTCACACATCAGTCTGACAAACTGATAGAACTGAAGGCATGATAGAAAATATTGTTAGGCCCAACTCACCCACTCATTTTGACAGTATTGTTTTCATGGGTCCTATTCTATCATGAATGGTAATTTAGGATATTTAGCTTCACTTCCGAGTCAATAATATCAATGGTGTTAAACACTGTTTGTTGTAAATATATGTATCATACACAAATGTCAGTCAGATTGTTGTGGGTGTGATGTTTTGGGCTGATAGATGAACCATGTTTTTAGCTTATGACTTCATGGATGAAATATATCATCAATGACTAGTCACAACTAGCAATCAATATGATATTGCAACATTGTAGCTGCTTAATGTGACGATTGTTTGTTTGTGTAACTAATGCCACACTCAGCATTATTCTAGCTATATGACAGCGGTCTGTAAATAATCGAGTCTGGACCTGACAATCCAGTGATTGATATCATGAGCATTTGTCTCCGCAATTGAGATACAATGACATGCATGAACAAGGTCAGCGAGTCTGACCACCCAATCCGCTAGTCGCCTCTTACGGCAAGCATGGGTTGCTAAAGACCTATTCTAACCCAGATCTTCACTGTTCTTCGGGTGTTGGGATAGTCTGGTAGTTGAACTGTTCACACTCATCAGGTACCGGTATATTACCTGGGTTTCATTTTTATTGGTTCAGTGTGTGGAGCCAAGTCTTGGTATTCCCTGTTGTGAAGTTTTATTGCTTCAAAAAGAGTTTTAGTTTTATGGCTTCTAAAAAATGACTTGTAAACATTTAGCCTTAGTCAAACGTTAAACTAAGACATAAGATAAGACAGAATTATCACCAGTACTTGTCACCTGTATTCAAAAAGCAGATCCAGGATTGAACAGATCTTCCTGGGTAGGCTGGAGATCACGTTTGTTTGTTGTTTAATGCCGCACTCAGCAATATTCCAGCTATATGACGACGATCTGTAAATAATCGAGTCTGGACCAGACAATTCATGGACTGATATCATGAGTATTGATCCACTCAATTGGGATACAATGACATGCATCAACCAAGTCAGCAAGCCTGACCACCCGATCGAGTCAGTCGCCTCTTCTGACCAGCAGGGTCACCTTTTATGACCTATTCTTCCCCGGATCTTCACGGGTCAGATCACATTTTGAGTTACTGAGGGTGGGGAGGTGTAGGGAACAGCACACTTAGAGGCAGACAAAAAGAGGGAATGACCCCCCCCCCTCGCCCCACCCAAACTGCCTGCCCCTACCCCAGCCACACAATCTGACTAACAGTTCTTTACAGTATTGACAAGTCTGTCTGTCAATGGAAGCTGTTATATTGTATGATTATGTTAATTTGTTTTGTTTTTTCTATACAGAAAAAGGCTTAAACAGTCGTACAGAATACTTCACTTATTTCAGTTTATGTTTGACTGTGTTCTGGTGATGAGGTGCCTCACTCTTGCAGTGTGGTTTTGAATCCTGGATTGGACTCAAACCCCCAAAGTGCAAGAATCTGTACCTTACTTAATTTTTTTTATCCCAAATGTAACATTTATTACATTTGATCACTTCTAAATGGCATTGTGTATTTATATTTCATTTTAATTTCAAATTCGTTTGTCTTTTTTTTCTGTTTTAGCAAAAAGGGATTCCAGGTGAGGTCGTTCGGAACAGGAAGTCAGGTGAAGCTGCCGGGATCTGCGCCAGACAAGCCAAATATCTATGACTTCAGCATCACCTACGATGAGATGTATAAGGACCTCATTAGGAAAGACCCAGACCTGTATCCCATTCTAAACCTGTATTTTTGTTCATAATCTTTCGGGGGCACGGGTGGCCCAGTCGTCTAAGGCGCCGCGATTCGCTGTGCAGAGTTGCGCCCCTTGGGCACGCCAGAAACCTATGATTGTGGGTTCGAATCCCGGTTCGCCCCGATTATGTTTCTAGGTTTGTCAGCACCATACCCGTGCTCGTGGGTTTCACCGAAGTGATAAACGTCTGAGACCTGCATCACTTCGGGCTTTCCTCCCACATTAAGCTGACACGCCACGATATAACTGGAATACTTTTAAAAGCGGCGTTAAACCCAACTCACTCACTCATAATCTTTCTGTTGTGTAATGCAATGATTGTGGCCCTAAGCACTAAGCAGACTCTAGTATACCACACACTTGTCCAAACTGACTGCTAAAATTGCAAAGAAATGGTCTTGACAAATGCGATGTGATTCTTGAGAATGTATTACTTGCGAGTTGTGGATCAGTGGGGTGTATTGTGGTTTGGACATTCATGTGTCTTGACAAATACTCAATTCATTTCACCAGGGGGTGTGACATGTAGCACCATGGTGTTTCGGGAATATTGTTAAATGCATCGTAAATCCATCCTCGCTCACACAGAGGGTTTAACTTATTGTGTTTATTTGATGCATTGGTTTTTGTTGCATTAAGTGTTTAAGAGGTCACCTTCCGCCTAAGCAATTTCAGCTGACCTATCTCTCTTTGGGACTCCTGTGTGTGAGTAGGGTACACATATCTATTGTGAGTTTGGTATTCACATAATGTCTGTTTTTGTATTGATATGATTTCTTTTTTCGTATATGGATATAATTTCATTTTTATCCTTGGCTGCTCTATTTAGAAACGTTCGAGTAGCTTTCCATCTCTCAGAAATAGTGTGAGTTATTGCATATCTTGTCTTCAGGAGATCTATGACAGATAGCGGATCTAACTGCAATTCTTGTTTTAACCGAGCCCGGGCTGGGGTGTGGTATTGACATTCTAGTAACACGTGAGCAATGGATTCAGCCTGATTGCAAGATGAACAAACCTTGTCATAGTGCTTTTTGTGACCGAGTCTGAGGCGTGAGATGGCAATTTCAATTTTCCTTTCATTTGAGTATGAGTTTGCCTTTTGTTGGATCTTGGTTGTATTGGGTGTTATACTGATCCTATATTGATTATACTGATGGCTTGGATGAATGTATTTGATGACTAATTAGCTTGTGACATGATTTTGACTGCCAGGTGTTAAATTGACCGGGGTATGATACCCTTTCAATTTATTAGCGCCCAAACTGTCAAAACTGGTTTTCTATGATCATGTTCAGTCCAGTTTGTCTTGTTTTTTTAATTTCACCTAATATTCATTTCTTACTAAAAATCGTTTATTTTTGCCCGTACTGTTCATTTGAAAATGCAATTTATACTGAAGGGAGACAACTCCACAAATTATCATTCATTATCTCCCTTTGCCTATAACCCTGTAATGGAGATATTCAGGATCAATGAAGAGGTATGTATTCAAGTGTTGACTTCTGTTCATTATTCTTAATTAGAAATACAGTATATTCTACACATGATATATAAATCTATCTCCCAAGTGTAAAGCTACAATACCCTAGAGCAATTATGATAAGCATGATTTACTTGTGTTGATTCACCATCACAAACATGTGGAAAATTACTATTTCTAAGGTTACAATGATTTGTTACGTTACATAATAATGGTTTTGTCATATTTGAATAATTGCTTATTTCATTTGTTACAGATTGTTCCTGTGCAACATTTGTCTTTCAAAATGTCGAACAATTGTGAGTGAGTTGAGTTCTGTGTTCTGAAATTGACCATCTGTGTAGCAAAAGTCCTGAAGAGGGTCTCCAATGATACAGTTCAGATGTGAATATTTTGTGTTGCTTAATCTATTACTTGTGAAAATGGTGGCGCAGGTTTTGGAAATAATAGGCTTATTGGACCCGTCTTGTTTCGAAATGAAGGGGGAATTTGTATTGCTTGTTAGGCTTAAAAAATATTAGAATTAGTTCTCAAGCAATGACTTTTGAAAACATAGTGCGGGCAGGCAGTGGTTTCTATTTTCTTTTTTGCGTGTTCAAACTTGTATGTAACCAAATATACAGTTGTGTACCATCAACCTGGGAAAGGGCCTCTCTACATAAACAATTATGCAAACTCATATTGCCGCCATGACCATAACACGAGATGTGCAGTAAAGCAGTGCACATGTAAAGGGAAGTAACTCTTTGATATTTTGGATCGTATTGTTCCTGAGTATTAGGAAATTTTTTATTTTTTTGAAAACGGAAACATGCAGCAGACTTTATGATGATGCTGCCAGTGCCTGAGAACCAAGACTATTATTTTTTAACCTTATGTATATTTGAGTAGTGGTAAATTTGAGATACAATCGATCAAGTTTATTTCGTAATTCAGGCTTCATGGCCCATAGTACAGTTGTAAGATAAATCATAGTTTAGGTCACATGTCCGAGTGTTACATCTGTCAATCTCATTTTAAATTATTTACATGAATATAAAGCTATCAAGCGTAGTTCATTAATGCCACAGGATTTAAATAAATTTGCAAAGATAATATTACCTTTATAATATTTCTGTAATGAGGTAAAAAAAAAAAAGGTATATCTCAAATGAATTTATTTCTTACATACAAAAAAGACATGGTATTCATCCTCTAATAAATGAAGGTCACAGTCTTTACATATAGATTCTGAATGAGGTATACTTAACAGTGACTTTTTACAACAAATTTTGACTCGAAAGTTTTGAAGAGATATTCGATATTTACCCATTGCTCTAACTAATTGTTTGTGTCTTAGTGCTGTTATGTATAATTCGGGTTGCAGAAGAGATTTTATATCAGCATAATGCACTAATAAGGTAGATGACTCTAAACTGTGGTACCATGATTGGAAATATACATCTCTTAAGCCTCTTTTCAATGCAGATAAAAACATGTTTTAGTCACCAACATCTTGGAATAACCACACATAAGCAAAACCACTACTAAATAACATGTCTCACATACAATGCCCAATTGACTTTTCCATTCTCATCTAATACTTTAAGGGGGGCACGGGTGGCCCAGTCGTCTGAGGCGCCGTGATTTGCTGTGCAGAGTTGCGTCCCTTGGGCACGCCAGAAACCTATGATTGTGGGTTCGAATCCCGGTTCGCCCTGATTATGTTTCTAGGTTAGTCAGAACCATACCCCTGTTCGTGGGTTTCACCGAAGTGGTAAACGTCAGAGACCTGCATCACTTGGGGCTTTCCTCCCACATTAAGCTGACACGCTGTGATATAACTGGAATACTGTTAAAAGCGGCGTTAAACCCAACTCACTCACTCTAATACTTAAAGCATAACATAACTTTGTGAGGGGTATCAACTTGCATTCATTCACAAAAGCTTAATCCAGTACTTAGTTCCCCTTATTTGCGTCTTTATAAACATAGAATGACATCCAGTTTCACCCAGAACAGCTTTGTTCGCTGCAAATTTACCCACACCAAGATAAATTTTAGATACACACACCATATGATTCCAGACTGAAGAAATATGCAAATCAACACTTTAACACTTACGGAGGTTTCAACATAATTGATGGGATGCCTACATTACAGATATGTCGTGAAGTTTAGACTAACTTGTGAATATTGATGACATAAAATTGACTGACAAGAGTGTGCATACGTGTGTGTTGTTTACACTGCACTCAGCAATATTTCAGCTGTATGACATCTAGGTGCGGTCGAGTAGACTAGTGGTTAAAGCGTTCGCTCGTCACACCGAAGATCCGGGTTTGATTCCCAACATGGGTACAATGTGTGAAGCCCATTTCTGGTGTCCCCCGCGGTCATATTGCTAAAAGCGGCGTAAAACCATACTCACTCACTCACTATATGACAGCGACCTGTAAATAATCTTGCCTGGACCAGACAATCCAGTGATTGTTATGAGCATCGATCCACGTCTTTAGGTTGCATTGGCACACCTGCAATCATGTCAACAAGCATGATCACTTGATCCATTAACTCACCTGTTACGAGCAGCATAGGTTGCATGAAACCCATTCTAACCTGGAATTCCCACAGGTTTTGAATTTAGTACACTTCATGCCATTGGCAATGGGGTGCAAGGGGCACGTTCTATACCAGGTCCCCCATGATTGATTGCCACGAAACTCATCCAAAACACAATTAAAGAGCTGGTAAAGTGAAAAAAATGATTGCGATTTTTTAGATAGATTTAGTCAATTTCCGAAAGAGAAAAATTCATAATATTTGTAGAAAGTATTTAAAGGTCCAAGTGAATGTGCGGAAATCATATTCTTCTAAAATAGCCTCCAAAACACACCTATATTTAGGCGTGGCTGATATGATTGTCACATTGATTCTTATGCTGGTTCAATTCCGGGGTAGAATAGGTCTTCAGCAACCCATACTTGCCGTAAAAGGCGACTATGCTTGTCGTAAAAGGCAACTAACGGGATCAGGTGGTCAGGCTCGCTGACTTGGTTGATACATGTCATCGATCCCAATTGCGTGGATTGATGCTCATGATGTCAATCACTGGATTGTCTGGTCCCGACTCGATTATTTAACAGACCGCTGGAATATTGCTGAGTGCGGCGTTAAACAACAAACAAACAAACAAACTTATGCTGGTTCTGATATTTCTGTTAATCCTATAAAAATAACAACATTGCATGCATTGTTGGATGTGTGAAATGACCTTTCATCTTGACTTTGGGAATAATTAAAATAACAACTAGCAATTGGTAACTAGGGTTTTATTACTAACATCTTGTTTGGGTAATATAACACCAGCACCCATGGCACACAATAATGCCTGTCGGGGATTAATCCCCCAAAGTTAACAACTGAATGCATCTTCAGGGTTGTTACTAAGGTGACAAAAGTTGTGGTCACTGTAATCAAATAAATGAGCTGACAGAAAAACAACAGTCC